GTTTTCAAAGTATGACCTGATGATTATTTGTATTTTCTCAGTGTTCATTGTTATGTCCCCCTTTTCCATTTTTGAATTTGTTAATTTGCATGTTCATATTCTGCTGTTGGGTAAGTTTGGATAAAGGTTTGTCTGCCTTGTTGATTTTCTCAAAGAACCAACTCTTTTATACATTGATTCTTTGTATTGCTTTCCTATATGTGTATGTTTTTCTGGTTGTAGTTAACTTCCTTGGGTTGGAGTTTTCCTTCCAGAAATTTCTGTAGGGCTGTGTTAGTGGATATGTATTGTTTAAATCTGGTTTTGCCATGGAATATCTTGTTTTCTCCATCTATAGTGATTGAAAGCTTTGCTGGATATAGTAATCTGGGCTGGGATCCGTAGTCTCTTAGTGTTGATAGAATATATGTCCAGGACCTTCTGGCTTTCAGAGTTTCCATGGAGAAGTCAGGTGTAATTCTGATAGGTTTGCCTTTATATGTGGATCTTGCCTTTTTCCTTAGGTGCTCTAAGTATTCCTTCTTTATTCTGTATGCTTGGGGTCTTGATTTTCTTCTATGATTTTGTTGAATATGTTTTCTGCCCCTTTGAGATGGGTTTCTTCACCTTCTTCTATATCTATTATTCTTAAGTTTGGTCTTTTCATGGTGTCCTAAATTTCCTGGATATTTTGTGTTACGGATTTGTTGGTCTTAAGATTTTCTTTGGTCGATAAATCTATTTCTCCTAGTGTGTCTTCAACTGAGATTCTCTCTTCCATCCCTTGTTCTGTTGGTTATGGTTACATCTGTAGTACCTGACCATTTCCCCAGTTTTTCTGTTTCTAGCATTCCTTCAGACTGTATTTCTGCTTCTATTGTGTGGAACACTTTGAGAAGAATTGGTATAAGCTGTTCTTTGAATTTGTGGTAGAATTCTGCACTGAGGCCATCTGGACCTGGACTTTTTTTGGTTGGGAGACTTTTGATGACAGCTTCTATTTCCATAGGGGTTATAGATCTATTTAAATTGCTTATCTGTTCTTGATTTAGTTTTGGCAAATGATAGCTGTCCAGGAAGTCATCCATTTCCTTTAAATTTTCGAATTTTGTGGAGTACAGGTTTTCAAAGTATGACCTAATGATTCTCTGGATTTCCTCAGAGTCTGTTGTTATGTCCCCCTTTTCATTTCTGATTTTGTTAATTTGCGTGTTCACTCTCTGCTGTTTGGTAAGTTTGGACAAAGGTTTGTCTATCTTGTTGATTTTCTCAAAGAACCAACTCTTCGTTGCATTGATTCTTTGTATTGTTTTCCTGGTTTCTACTTTGTTGATTTCAGCCCTCAATTTGATTATTTCCTGGCGTCTACTCCTCCTGGGGGAGTTTGCTTCTTTGTGTTCTAGAGCTTTTAGCTGTGATGTTAATTCTCTGGTATAACTGTTTTCCTGTTTCTTCATGTGAGCACTTAGTGCTATGAACTTCCCCGTAGCACTGCTTTCAAAGTGTCCCATAGGTTTGGGTATGTTGTGTCTTCATTCTCATTGAATTCGAGGAAGTCTTTAATTTCTTTTTTATTTCCTCTTTGACCCAGGGATGGTGCAGTTGAGCATTATTCAATTTCCATGAGTTTGTAGGTTTTCTGCAATTTGTGTTGTTGTTGAATTCTAATTTTAAGGCATGGTGGTCTGATAAGATGCATGGAGTTATTCCAATGTTTTTGTAGCTGCTGAGGTTTGATATGTTGCCAAGTATGTGGTCGATTTTTGAGAAGGTTCCATGTGGTGGTGAGAAGAAGGTATATTCTTTTTTATGTGGATGAAATGTTCTATAGATATCTGTTAATCCCAGTTGGGTCATTACTTCTATTAGACCCTTTGCTTCTTTGTTGAGTTTCTGTCTGGTATTCTTGTCTAGTGGTGAGAGTGGTGTGTTGAAATCTCCCACTATAACTGTGTGGGGCTTTAGATGAGATTTAAGTTCTAATAATGTTTCTTTAACGAATGTGGATGCCTTTGTATTGGGGGCATAGATGTTCAGGATAGACACTTCATCTTGGTGGGTTTCACCTGTGATGAGTATGTAATGACCTCCTTCATCTCTTTTGATTGATTTTATTTTAAAGTCTAGTTTGTTAGATATTAGGATTGCTACCCCTGCTTGTTTCTTGGGTCCATTTGATTGAAAAATTTTTTCCCAACCTTTAACTCTCAAGTAATGTCTGTCTTTGAGGGTGAGGTGTGTTTCTTGTATGCAGCAGAAGGAAGGGTTCTGTCTTCGAATCCATTCTGCTAGTCTGTGTCTTTTTATGGGTGAGTTAAGGCTGTTAATATTGAGGGATATTAATGACCATTGATTGCTCATCCTTCTTCGATTTGCGATGGTTATTGTTGGTGGAATTATGGGTGGAATTTCACCCCTTTGTTCTTTTGGCTGTTGGTAGAGAGGGATTCTCTAATGCTTATGTTTTTCTGGTTGTAGTTAGCTTCCTTGGGTTGGAGTTTTCCTTCCAAAATTTTCTGTAGGGCTGGGTTAGTGGACACATATTGGTTGAATCTAGTTTTGTCATGGAATATCTTGTTTTCTCCGTCTATAGTGATTGAGAGCTTTGCCGGGTATAGTAGTCTGGGCTGGTATCCATGGTCTCTTAGTGTAGGTAGAATATCTATCCAGGACCTTCTGGCTTTCAGAGTTTCCATGGAGAAATCAGGTGTAATTCTGATAGGTCTGCCTTTATATGTTACTTGACCTTTTTCCTTAGCTGCTCTTAATATTCTTTCTTTATTCTGTATGTTTGGGGTCTTGATTATTATGTGGCGAGGGGATTTTTTTTGTGGTCCACTCTATTTGGTGTTCTGTAGGCTTCTTGTACCTTCATTGGCATGTCTTTCTTAAGGTTGGGAAAGTTTTCTTCTATGATTTTGTTGAATATGCCTTCTCCCCCTTTGAGGTGGATTTCTTCTCCTTCTTCTATACCTATTATTCTTAGGTTTGGTCTTTTCATGGTGTCCCATAATTCCTGGATGTTTTGTGTTAAGGATTTGTTGGATTTAAGGTTTTCTTTGGTTGATAAATCCATTTCTCCTAATGTATCTTCAACACTTGAGATTCTCTCTTCCATCTCTTCTATTCTGTTGGTAATGCTTGTATTGGTAGTGCCTGACTGTTTGTCCAGCTTTTCTATTTTCTGCCTTTCTTCAGATTGTGTTTTTTTTAGTGTCTCTATTTCAGTTTTCAACCCTTGCAGCGTTTGCATTGCTTCTTGCAATTTTCTGTTTATCTGTTCGTCCATTTGTTGCCTTTTATGAATTTTTTGGTTTGTTCTTTCTTCCATTTCTTGCATTTTTTGGTTTGCTTTTTGTTCCATTTCTTGGATTTTGTGCTTTGTTTCTTCTTCCATTTCCTGCCTTTTTTGGTTTGTTTCTTCCTCCATTTTTTTCATTTTTTGCTTTGTTTTTTCTACCATTTCTTGCATTTTTTGCTTTGTTTCTTCTTCCGTTTCCTGCCTTTTTTGGTATGTTTCTTCTTCTAATTCTTGCATTTTTTGCTTTGCTTTTTCTTCCATCTCTTGCATTTTTTGCTTCATTTCTTCTTCCATTTCGTGCCTTTTTTGTTTTGTTTTTTCTTCCAATTCTTGCATTTTTTGGTTTGTTTTTTCTTCCATTTCTTGCATTTTTTGGTTTGTTTTTTCTTCCATTTCTTTGAGGGATTTTCCAATATCCTCTTTTAGGGCCTCTATCATTTTCATGAAAGTGCTTTTAAGGTCGTTCTCTTCTGCTTCCTTCGCGTTAGAATATTGGGGTCTTGCTGGTGTGGAGTCTCTAGAATCTGGCGGTGTCATATTTGTTTTTCTGTTGCTGACTGTGTTTTTGTATTGTCTCTTTCCCATCTCTTCTCCTAGTGGGTGCAGAAAGAGGCCCTTCCTGGTCTGGGGACCAGAGTTCCCTTTTGGTGGGTGCTAGTAAGTCCAGTAATCTGGTGGTTCTTCTATACCTTGTCCAAATGCTGGTCCGTGGGTGGAGAAGAAGAACAGGAATCTGGGGCGCTTAGCCTCCTACCAGGTCCCCTGGACCCTATGCTGGGTCCTGTTGTACCTGATCCGGAGCAGCTACTCCCCTGGTCTCCCTGGCTCCTGTAGTTTCCTGGTCTCTTTGGTGGGAGAGAAGATCTGGAGTCTGGGGTGCTTGGCTCCCGCCGGGATTGGGAGCTCTGTGCAGTTCCCAGGCGATCTGCAGGCTCTGGAACACAGGCCGGGAAGCTGGCCTGTTTACCTGATGCTGCCAGAGGGACAGCTACTTCCCTGTACTCCCAGCCTCCTCTCGTTTCCTAGTCTCGTTGGTGGAGAGAAGATCTGGAGTCTGGGGTTCTTGGCTCCCGCCGGGATTGGGAGCTCTGTGCAGTTCCCAGGCGATCTGCAGGCTCTGGAACACAGGCCGGGAAGCCAGCCTGTTTACCTGATGATGCCAGAGGGACAGCTACTTCCCTGTACTCCCAGCCTCCTCTAGTTTCCTGGACTCGTTGGTGGGAGAGAAGATCTGGAGTCTGAGGTGCTTGGCTCCTGCCGGGATTGGGAGCTCTGTGCAGTTCCCAGGCGATCTGCAGGCTCTGGAACACAGGCCGGGAATCCGGCCTGTTTACCTGATGATGCCAGAGGGACAGCTACTTCCCTGTACTCCCAGCCTCCTCTAGTTTCCTGGACTCGTTGGTGGGAGAGAAGATCTGGAGTCTGAGGTGCTTGGCTCCTGCCGGGATTGGGAGCTCTGTGCAGTTCCCAGGCGATCTGCAGGCTCTGGAACACAGGCCGGGAAGCCGGCCTGTTTCCTGCTACTATTTTATATGGGACATAGAGTCAGTTCTCACTGGGTAATTCATAAATTGGAAGGGACATGTTAAGATAAATGAAAGCTTTGATACAGTAAGGTCTCATCATATTTACACAGACTAAGAAGCCTCATTTCAGATGCAAGCAGCTGAATTTTTCAGAATTGTTCTCACCCATCTTCACTGCATACTTTGCTCTGTAGAATTTCCAGTTGTCCTGGTCCCATACCTCCCATGCCTACCATAAAGGAAGACAACTACAATTCTGATGCTAAGGTAGGATGCTCCTGTGAGGATTAACCTTCCTTGCCCAAGGTTTGCTTTTGTTTCACTCTTAAGGTTTAGAGTGTTCTGGATGCAATTTTATCATATGCAAAGTTAGTAAGTGGAAACAAGATTGTGAGTAGCCGAAAACAATTGTCAATATGGTAAACAATGAAAAGGACTAGTAGCTACTCTGAGGTGGTGGGAAAATGGGGTGAAAATACAGAGCCAAAGAGAAATTGTATCAGCAATAGGCTTTCAATAATAGAGGATATTTGAAATTTGGTCATCAATTATTTGCACAAATGTAACTTGCTGTGACTTATAATGCCCAAGTAAATCTTTAATAGACTTAATTTGTTACTATAGTAATCAATTTCCACAGTGCCTTTAGATTCAACAGCACAGGACATCTAGCAGTTTATTTTCTAGGACACTTTTATTCATTACATTTTAAATTCGTATTTAAAATTTTTCATGTTACTTGTCCTTTTGTTTTTTGTTATTTTTCTTAGGATACTTTGAATTTTGGAATCGTATAAGCTTTTAGGAGAGGCTATCCTCTATTTTTATCTTTGATTCTCCATTTAAACTGAAATAGTACTAGAAATGTGAAAATCTAGAGTTTAAAAAATGTGTTTCTCAAAATTTGTGCTAAAGGGAATATTGAGCATTTTCTAAATCGTCTTATGAGTAATGTAAGGAAAGCTGCTTATGTGATCAAAGTTGGCCTGCTTTGCTTCAAACAAAATCCAGTTCTAAAAGCAGAAACTCATAAAAACACATAGCAAAAGTTTAATATCATATTTTTAAAAATACTTCATTTTTTAAGATTATAAATATATCATTTCCCCCTCCCCTTTCCTCCCTTCAAACCCTCCCATGTACCTCCATTGTTCTCCCTTTTAAATTCATGGCCTCTTTAAAAAATTGTTACACAGTGTGTGTTCCTAAATATATAAGTACAATTTTCTCAGTCTGTTTAGTGTTTCTTACATGTGTATGTTTTCAAGGATGACCACTCAGCATTAGATAACTAGTTGGTCTGCTCTTTCCCCCACTCTCAGTATTCCTCAGTTGCCTGTAGTTCTTTGTGTTCTGCTGTGGCCTTGTGAGCCTCCTTTTGTCCATGTGACTGTGTATATGGACATGTAAGGCAGGCATGTTTGTGAGACTTCATGGGTGTAGCTCCTGACATTCCTAGGAGACACTCTTGCACAGGAAACTCCCCGTTCCACTGAATCTTACAGTCTTTCTGCCCTCTTTTCCACAGTGATCCCTGAGCGAGGTTCAGAAGTCATGATGTAGATGTATCATTTGGTACCAGGCTCCACAACTGTGTGCTTTAGTTAGTTATGGTTTTCTGTAATGCTCTCTGTCTGTTGCAAAGAAAAGTTCGCTTGATGATGGGTGAGAACTACACTTATTTGTTGGTATAAGGACAAATATATGGAGTGTAGTTAGGGATTATGCTGATTTAGTAAAGTGGTGGTTGTAGATTCCCCTCCAAGATCCATATCTTTACTATCCATGTGTAGCTGGCTGGATTTCTCGTACCAAGTGTTAAAATGTTGTTCAATTTCAAGTCTTAGATGCTTTGGACCTATTTATTTGTTCACTTAAAACTCACAATGGAAGTTAGACAACCTGTTTGTGTATACTCTGGGACACTTAGAATCAAATTTTACATATGAGACAATTTTGATTATATTTGAATGTAATATATGAATAGACACATGGATTTCTATCACGAAATGTTGCACATAATACCATATGTGTGACGCATTTCATAATTAATTCTTTTTCAGCTTTCAGGCTACTTGAGGTCAGGAGAGTTACACAGAGGAACTGTGCCACTACAGGGGAAATAAGAGATGTCATAAACAGGAAAGAAGGGCTACATGTTTTCCAATAATAATCTTAGATAAGGTTGTTAGATGAGACTTAAAAAATCAGGCACTTGAAAAATATCCTGTCTAAAGCCACATTAGAATCATGATTATCAATTCTTTCTCAGAGTGGAAAATTGAGAGATGATTTCATTTGGTATACTTCTTTTAGCTTTGTTTTCAGTAAGTGGTAAATAGTCGTATACCTATTAAATGCTTTATTTTATAGTAATAAAATATTATTTTATGATACAAAGGGCAACACTAATGTTATAGACAACAGTATTTCTGGACACATACACCCCTTATAAAAGCTTCTGTTGTATTTCTTCTTGGAACATTTTCTTTTCTTCAGTGTTGGAGCTCAAACCCAGCATCTTACACACTGTGGGCACTTACCACTGTAGGTGCTTTAATGACTGATCCAGTTTCCAAAGTCCTCTGTTTTTATACAAACTAATATACATAGAAATAGCTTTTCAAGCCAAATGCCTTATTTATTAGCATTTTTTAAATTTTAGAAGCACTCTTATTTACATATCAATCCCTCCATTCCCTTGCCCTCCCATCCTCCTATGCACCCCATCGACCCCCAACCCACCCCCACCCACTTCCCAGGGATAGTGAGGTGTCCTCCATGGCGTGGGGGTTATCAAAGTCCATCACATCATTTGGGGGAGGGCCCAGGTCCTCCTTCCCATATCTGAGCTGCAATAGTATTCTTCCATAGTGAATGTGCTCCCAAAGTCCATTTATGTACTAGGGATAAACACTGGCTCCACTGTTAAAGTTCCCATAGACTGCCCTGGCCTCCTAGCTGACATCCACATTCATTGGTTTAGTCCAATGCTGGTTTCCTGGCTTTATGACAAAGGTATCTGTGCTCTTGCTAGGTCAGGTCAATTGTTTCTGCGGGTTTCTCCATCACCATCTTGGCTCCTTTGCTCATCTCTCCTCCCTCTTCACAACTGGATTCCAGGAGTATAAGCCAAATGCCTTCTAATTGTATTTATTTATTACTGTTTGTAGTGCATGCATGTGTGTGTGTGTGTGTGTGTGTATGTTTGTGCAGATATGCATGTGCCACAGTGAGCATGTGGAGGTCAGAGGTCAATTTGTAGTGTCATTTCCCTCTTTCCACCATGTGTGGGTTCTTGGGCTGAAGCTCAGCTCTCAGGCTTCCTAACTGCAGATCGTCTCTTAGGCCCAAGCCAAGTACCTTAATACTGAAAGGATTTCAGTCATCTGAAACACTTCAGTGTCTACTGCTTTCATATATCAATCATATTTACAAGAATGTATGGTGATATATTATTTATGATTTATTAAAGCTTTTCTGAGGGTCAGAATGCAAGGCTAGCCACAAGCCATAGAGTCAGGCAGTGGTGGCACACACCTTTAATCCCAGACTCAAGAGACAAGCAGATGGATCTCTGTTAGTTCAAGGCCACACTAAGCTACACAAAATTGATCCAGTCTAAAAGAGAAACAGAGCTCACACAAAGGTGATCTCAGCACTTGGGATCACATGTCTTTAATCCTTGCATTAGGGAGGTGGAAACAGGAGTGATGTGGTTGGGCAGAGAGGGGTATAAAAGAATTAAGCGTAGGGTCTCATACAGAGATTTAGTTTCCAGACAGGGAGATCAATTTTCTCTGTGGATTCATGGAGCTAGCTGGATCACCGTTTCAGTCTGAGGTAGAGGTAAGAGCTGGTGGCTGGCTTCTCTGTTCTTCAGCTTGAAGCTTGAACCCCAATATCTGTCTCTGGGTTTTTATTATTTTTGTGTTGCAAGAACGTGCTTACACATGCACACTTTTAAAAAGTCCTTCACTTTTGATGTGGAATCAAAGGGTTAGGTGCTATAATTGTAGTCCTTCTGGAAATATGCACACGAGTAAGTATCTTGTCCATGGATATTTTTCCTGTAAATTGTCGTGTCTGGTTTGCAGAATTATCAGTCCTATAAAGGTTTCCACATAAAGCCACAAAGATGGGCTTGATCTAGAGAGGCATGTATAAGGTTGGGTACAGAAACACTGAGATTTTAAACATGTTTTCCCCCTTTTTATGTACAGTTGTGTAAAAAACTAACCAATTCACATATCTTAAAGTGATTAAGGAAATTTTATGCAACGAATTTTAATATTAATTTTAACAGAGCTTCTCTGAGCGTGCCCCTCTGACCTGTGCTGAGAATACAGCCAAACGAAAGGTGGAAGGTATGCTCTCTGCTCTGTAAAAGCGTCATTTTGGAGAATGTTGTTTGTAACGTGAGCAACTAAACCCTTTTCCTTGTAGTGGACAGCAACAAGAGCGTGAGACAAGCTGCCAGTGAGCTGGGTTTCATCTCCACTTCCCGAAGCACATTAAACTGAGAATGTTGCTTAAAGACACTTAACCCAAATTAGGACGGCCATTTCAAGATAGGCTTACAACCAAGGGCCACACGTATATAAGGAAAAGGGAATGAGTACTGGGTGTGAGGAATAAAAAGGGCAGGAGGAGGAGGGGTAAATGAAGGAGAAAACATCAAATGTGTCATCGGACTGTGGGAAAAGAAAGTGATTCTTTAGAAAAAAAGATGGTGTTTTCTCAGAAATGTGAGAAAAATCTAGGAACAGAACTGGTTTAGGAAGTAGGAAAGCTGCCCCTCCACTCTGTCTGAATCCTTCACTGTTGGAAAGACATCAATAATTGATGTACACAACCATGAGGAGGGAGGCCTGATGTACATGGGGGAATATGAGACTATGTGAGCAGTCATGTATGTAGAATACAATGTTATCTGGAACGTTACTGCTTTACCAGCTAGTATTACATAGGACAAAATTGAAGTTGGAAAGAAGGGAGGTGAAAGTCCAGTTACAGGAAGTTCAGGAAAGCCATTGCCAAGCATGGCGGGCAGGCACTGCAGGCTACATTGAAACACAAGTTAGTGTAAAGGGGTATGGAAGCCGGGCGGTGGTGGCATTAGGAACTGAATTTTCAGTTAGTTCTTAGTCACCACGGGGTCAGGCACCCTCTCAATAGCACTATCTATCTTGTCACTTTTTAAGCAAAATGCAGACAAGAGGCTATTGTGGAGTAAACAGTGATGCAATAATATCAAGACAGAGAGCGACTATGCTTTTGTTTCCAGTCATGTCTGCAAAAAATGTGGAGGAAGCAAAGAAATCATAATCCTAAAGTGATACTGTAAAATCGGAAATTCATGGTAGGAATAACCCACAGAAAGAATGAAAAATGGAAAGTATGAAGACCAGAGATGCGGATGTCACTTTTTCGAAGGGGATGGAGGCTCTTGAGCACTTGCAAGTAATGATATATGGACTACAGGGTATACTGTGTGACTCACGGTGTCACACGACACCTTCCACACTGGCTTTTCTTCTTTCCTTTTAAATCTGATTTTGTTTTATCCTGGCGAGCAGAGGTTGGAAGAACAGAGGGCAGATAGGAAGGGACCGGGAAATGAGGAGGATCAAGACACATGGTGTGAAATCCACAAAGAATCAATAAAAAAGTAAAAAAAAAAAAAAAGAAAGGAAGAAAGAAAGAAAAGAAGAGGGAGGACTGGGGGTGAGGTTCAGTCAGCAGATGCTTGCCTGGGATGCAGGATCCCTGTGTCCAGCACCTCACAAGCTGGGCACAGGCCTCTTATTAGAGCACACAGGCAGAGGCAGGAGGATCAGAAGTTTAATGTTATTATCTGCTACACAGTGAGGACAAAGTCAGCTTGGATACATGAAGGTCCCCCCACCCCCCACAGATAGGAAAAGTGTAAGAGCCAGAATAATTCTGGACAACACTAGGATTAACTGAACTTAGTTCAGATGACTTCAATACATGTGCATTCAAACCAACGATGAGGTCCTTGCTGCTCTATGAAAAGTGTTGGGTTGAAGGAAGGCTAGAATGTAATAAGCTGTAGTCACTTCTTCACCTATTTTGTTACATTTTGCACAGATTTTTCCCGAGTATATTTTATTTTAAATTTGTTGCTCACATCCGTGTGCATGTCCGCCACATGCGTGAGGGTGCCAGCAGGGGTCAGAAGATGGCATTTGATCCCCTGGAGTCACCACCCAGTGTGGGTGCTAGGAACTGCACGTGGGTCCTCTGGAAGAGTAAGAAGTGCTTTTAACCACTTAGCAGTCTCATGAGCCGCATCGGCATACTTTTTTGTTTAGCACATTTCAGTTATGTAGCTGCCCAGACCTGTAAAAACCCTCCAAATATTCAAATCATGGAGTAATAACTGGAAAGCTAAGAATGAGAATCTGGTTCTGTTCTAATTCTTTTTGAGCATATGATTTTGATGTTGTATCAGCATAGAAATGAGTATATTTCCCTTTGCTTTTTTTTTTTTTAGCATGGATTGAGAAAGATTTGTCCCCAAAGGTAATAAGCCTTTTATTTTTATCATGAATTATTAAATATATATTATGTGGCATATATAACATTAAAATATTCTGCTTGAAAACCTATTCAGCCTGCTCCTGAGCCTGCCCCTGAAGTAAGAGAATCTGTTACAAATGAAACAATAGAAGTAATAGAGCTGTTACCCTCTGTACCAGGTACGTTTTGCAAAGCGAGTCATTTTGGATAGAAATAGAGTGTATGAAATGCTTGCAGACTTTGCCATCCTAATTCTGTCCCCCCCCAAAGTTGGTGCTATGATTTGATATAAATGCGAACGTTATGTTAGCACCCATGTTTTTAAAAAGAACATTTCTGAGTGTCAGAAGGAATCTTTTAAATGTAAGTTTAACGAGGAACTTCCACATTTGTATTTCAGTGGGATCTCTGTCATAACGATTTACAGAAATTATGACACTCACGAGATTCTCCATTGTTTACAAAACGTTGTCTGGAGAACTGGATACTCTTCTGTGTGCCTGTGATTCCAGACACTTGAGAGGCTCTGAGTAGAGATGTTCATTTTGCTCAGGAGGTTCTGGACTAGTGCGTGCACAAAGCAACATATTTTTTTCCTAAAAGTCAAGAAAACAATTTTATTTCTACTAGGGGGATCCAGTCTGTTTGTTGTCTGGATCTAAAGTGTGTTTTTATTCTTTTCTTTTTCATATCTGTGAAATGAGTTTTGTTATTCAGTCACATATCCTATCTGTAACCACAAACCACTAATTACAATGCTACACAATTGACTTTAGATTTCAAAGCCAAAGATACTCATTAAAGTGTTCTGGTTGCACTTGTATTTTTTTTCCTTATTTTTGTCCCCCTGGAAAACACTGAATCTGTCCCACCTTACCTCCTAATTATCAAACCACCCATTAACTCTAGAAGAATCTATCCCTAATATTTTATTTCCATTCTCCAAAATCTCATGCCATTTACTACCAGGATACAAAAATAATCATTGAGTAACATCAAGAAAAATTGATTATACAAGGGTGATAGAAAAGATTGGCATCTCTAGTGCAGGGGTGAAGGAGAGACAGGGGAGGAATAATTTGCAGTTGCAGTGAAAATTCACTAAAGCCCTGAAGCAGACAAAGGAAAGCGATGACCAGGGAAGACTCCGTGCATTAGTTTGAGGCTTGGAAGAAGAAATTTGTCTGATAGTTGGTGAAAACATCTTCACATGTTGGAAACCATGATCACAGACAAAATGTTTGATTTAGCTACCATTTTGGGGTCAAGATGTTTAAAATGAAACATAAGATAAAAATGAACACAAATGAATTTATTAATTGCTAAGGTCTTTGGAAATTTGTTTCTTGAGACTTTATTTGTTTAGATTGAGTGGATGAATTTATGTGCAAATCTTTATGATGTATGGCATCCTCTGCTGGTTATGAATATCTGATGTGCAAAACATCGAATATGTGATCCCCAGGTTGAGAACAACTAGACAACTAGAACTATCCAGCTCAATACATATGTACATATTTAATTGAAATTCTTACTTGGAAAGTAACAATATAATGTTATTTTTATATAATGCTATTTTTAAGTCATTTAAACAGCTCCTTTAATATGTAGACTATTGCTTCATATGAATTCTATGCAGTCTAATTGAATAAATGTACTTGCCAACAGAACCAGAGTTAGAATTGATGTCAGTGGAAGAAGATATGTCTGATGAAAGTGAAAATAATCAGCCACTGGTATGAAAATAATTAATTTTAAATATCACATAATATTGCGTAGCATTAGCCACATGAAATCATATTTTTAGATTACTTAATAGAATCAATAGATCATAACTAAATACTTAATGTTGAAAACATTTCCCTTGTTAAAAATTTAACATAGCAAGTTCCAAGGCAGCCAGTGCTACACAGAGAAACCTTCAAAAGTAAGATAAAACTTCCGAATATTCTTAGACTCCATAATAATTTATAGCTAAGCTTGAAAAAATTTGTTGTTTGAGAATTTTTTTCACAATGCGTTTTGATCATATTCACCCAACCCCTTCCAGATTCACCCCAATTCCCTACCCACCTAGTTTTGTGTAACCCTCCATCCCTCTTAACCGTACATTTATTACATTCAATAGAGAATGAAGAGGAACCGAAAGTCAGGTTCACAAATAGCTTGGAGCAGCTACATAGACACAAATAGATGGGTATATGTTATAAAACTCAAGTGTACGGTGTCTTCAGTACTAGGGTCTTACTCTCAAGCTCTGGAAGGTAATTAAGAGCATGCTTGCATTTGTTGTGGAATATCGTTTTAAGATGTGTTGCATTTGTTTAAGCTGTGGAACATTTGTTTTAATGATGCAAAGGTGTGTTGCATTCTTTTATGCTGCTTTTGTTAAACTCTAAAGCTGTGTTACTTTGCCGGTCTAAAAACACCTGATTAGTCTAATCAAGAGCTGAATAGCCAATAGCAGGGCAGGAGAAAGGATAGGCAGGGCTGGTAGGAGGGTAGGAGGGAGAATAAATAGAAGGAGAAAAAGAGATCAAGGAGCAAGAGAAGAAGGGGCCAGCCACTGAGCCACACAGCCAGTCATGGAGTAAGAGTGAAAGTAAGATTACAGAAGAAAAGGAAAAAGCCCAGAGGCAAAAGGTTGATGGGATAATAAAAGAAAATTTGGCTATGAATAAGCCAAGCTAAGGCTGGGTATTTGTAAGTAGTAGTAAGTCTCTGTGTGATTTATTTAGGAGCTGGGTGGTGGGTCCCCCCAAAGAGAAAAGAGTAAAAACATCCAACATGTGTTGTTTGGCTTCAGTGTTGCATCACTAGCCAACAACCTCAAAAGAAAGTACCAATTCCTGACACTGGACTTTTTATTAGATGATCTCTGGAATCTAGAAGGAGCCTTGTTGCCTTGCTACAGGCTTGTATCTATCATCTATCTGTCTATATATTTGTGTTGTGGTATATTTGTACTCTATATGAAAGTGTACTGCTTTGATTGGTGTAATAAAAATCTGAGCAGTCAGTATTTAGGCAGAAGGTATAGGCAGGACTTCCAGGCAGAGAGAAGGAAGGAGGAATCTAGGTGTGCAAGAGAGACTCAAGAAGCCACAGAAAAAGTAGAATGAGTGGTATGTGACAGAAGATAGATTAACAGAAATGGATTAATTTAAGTTATAAATGCTAGCTAAAAACAAGTTTAAGCGGAGACCAAGCTTTCATAATTAATAATAATAAAATTCTGTTTTAAATTTTCTAAATAGTTGTGTTGGAATACAAACAGGGCTTGTGTTCAATTTACAGATGGCTTTTGGTAAGACAGTCATTTCAAAACGTTAATCCTACCAGTCCATGAGCATGGATGGTCTTTCCATCTCTGGTGTCTTCTTTAATTTATTTTTCAGTAATTTGAAGTTTTCATTGTACAAATCTTCTACTTCATTAGATAAATTGATTCATATATATATGCATACACATATATCATTGTGAATGGCATCATTTTCTTGACCAATTGCTTTATTTTTGAAATTAAATTGCATATTTCCCCCTTCCATTTTCTTCCTTCAAGACCTCCCATATATCCACTCCTTTTCAAATTTATATAATTTTCTTTATTTCTTTCTTAGTTTGTCACACATAGGAAGACTGTTGATTTTATATATTTTAGTTTTGTATTCTGTGACTTCTCAGAATGTATTTATCAGCTGTAGGAGCTTTTTGTGGAACCTTTGGGTCCTTTTAGGCATAGAATCACATCATCTGCAAGTAAACAGTGGTACCCTTTTAAATTTAAATTTAAAATTGTTTTTAGAAGTTCTTACGTGAGTTTATAACATTTATATCATTTTCACCCCTCCTTCTACCCCATCCAGCTCGTCCTGTGCCCACACATGCTTCCTCTCATTTCATGCCCCCCTCTTTAATTTTGTTGTTGTATATATTTGTATACATGTATATGGGCATACACATATATACAGTCTTAGTATCCTCTTCTTACTAAGGTTTGCTATGCTTTTAGGAATTTCTTCATTATGATATTACCTCTAATATTTTCATGCTATTATTTAAATACAACATAAATAGAAATTTTCTAACTTATCACTCATTTAATCATTTTTCTATCATTAAACATTTTATATAAAAACACGTATGATTTAAAAATTGTTCAGCGTTTTGTTTATACCCCGCATGACAAGCTAGGAATTATTTTTACAGAAAATATCTTCTGGTTTCTGTCATTGTAGAAGTATTCTAAATGTTAAATGTTGTTCTATAGCAAGTGTTTTTATTTTTCAACAAAATTTGTCTAAATACATATTTCCTAGAATTCTCCTTTTTGTGGGAAATGAAAAGTAGGGTTAGGTATTTGTAAGTAAATTCTTATTAAAATATGCATGCCAGTCGTTATTGTGTACATGAATTTGTTTCTCTTGTCCTTTCATGATCTGTTTACATGTTCAGTAACCATATGACAGAAAAGGATTAAAATGATATAAAGAACATATACAATATCCCCCTCAAGTGTTTTACTGTCTGTACAACTTACTCTTATTTTCTAGTTTAATTGCTTTTGGAGCTGGAAAGTCAGACATCTTCTTAGAAGGCAGTTAGGAGACATTTATGTAACTTATTGACACTTACTTTTTAACAGAGTGTCTTGGAGCATCTTCCACAGATGAATGTTGGCCATTTATCTGATGCAGAAGACGAAATGGAAAAAAATGATATAAACAGACAAGTGAAAGGTAGGAATAGCATTTTATTAAAAAGAATTATGTGATGGCTCAAGATTGCATTTTATAGACTTCAATTGCTCTGTAGTGACACCCATATTTACATGCAATATCACATATCCATGCAATTGCTTCACAGATGCTATTCACGTCATTTACCCAGAAGTGAACACCCTACTATGATGTTATTGCTTAATGAGTTTAGCAGATTAAAGAATCAGTTCATTCAAAACAAACACCCTAACCATAGTAAGATGTGCACCAGAAAAATGGGAAACACAAGCAACTGAAACATAACTTACTTTATAGTTTTCTCAAATGACAAGTCTATTTCTCCAATGATTCAAACCTATTTATACATTACTTCATTTACTAAGATTTGGTCTACATCACATACTGACGAATTTAAAACCTAAATATTCCTGTAAGCATTTCACCAGTTATGGTCTGGATAGTGTTTATCTTGCCAAGTAACTTCTTTTTTTTTAAATTTTAAATTTAAATTTAAATTAGAAACAAGGTTGCTTCGCATGTCAATTCCAGATCCCTCTACCTTTCCCTCCCCTCCTCCCACACCCTCCCACCAGCCCCCCCCCAGTACTTCCTCATTTTCCCAGGGAGGGTGAGGCCCTCCATGGTGGTGTCCATAGTTTGTCATTTCATCCAGGGCAGGGCCTAGACCCTCCCCAAAGAGTCCAGACTGAGAGTGCATTCCTCATTGTTGGATGGGCACCCAAAGTCCATTTGTATGCCAGGGATAAATACTGATCCACTACCCAAGGCCCAATAGATTGCCTAGGCCTCCTCACTGACAACCACATTCAGGGGGTCTTGATCAGTCCCATGCTGGATTCCCAGCCATCAGTCTGGGATTCAAGAGCTAACCCTTTTCAGGTCAGCTGTTTCTGGGGGTTAAACCAGCCCAGTCCTCCCTCTTTGTCACTGGATTCCTTGAGTTCAGCTCAGTATTTAGCTGTGGGAATCTGCCCCTGGTTTCATCAGCCATTGGATGAAGGTTCTGTTCCCCAGACTCTCTGACCATGGGACTGTGGGCTGGCACTCCCCAGATCTATGTCTAAAATCCATATATAAGGGCATATATAAGGGAGTGCATACCATGTTTGTCTTTTTGTGACTGGGTTACCTCACTCAGGATGGTTTATTTTAGTGCCATCCATTTGCTTGCAAATTTCAGGATTCCATTGTTTTTTTTTTTCTGCTGGATAGTATTCCATTGTGTAAATGTACCACATTTTCTCTATCCACTCTTCAGTTGAGGGACATCTAGGTTGTTTCCAAGTTCTGGATATTACAAATAATGCTGCTATGAACATAGTAGAACATATGTCCTTGTTGTATGAATGTGCATCTTTTGGGTATATGTCTAAAGAGTGGAATTGCTGGGTCTTGTGGTAGGCTTATTCCCATTTTTCTGAGGAATTTCCATACTGATTTCCAAAGTGGCTGTACAAGTTGGCACTCCCACCAGTAGTGGAGAAGTGTTCCCCTTTCTCTACAACCTCTCCAGCACAAACTGTCATTGGTGTTTTTGATTTTAGCCATTCTGACAGAAGTAAGATGGTATCTCAGAGTTGTGTTGATTTGCATTTCCCGGATGGCTAGGGATGTTGAGCACTTTCTCAAGTGTCTCTCAGCCATTGTAGACTCCTCTATAGAGAATTCTCTATGTAGTTCAGTCACCCACTTTTTAATTGGATCCTTTGGTGTTTTGTAGACTTGCTTCTTGAGTTCTTTGTAAATTTTGGAGATCAGCCCTCTGTCAGACGTGGGGTTAGTGAATATCTTTTCCCATTCTGTGGTCTGCCTTTTTGTTTTGCTGACTGTGCCCTTTGCCTTACAGAAGCTTCTCAGTTTCAGGAGGTCCCATTTATTAATTGTTGATCTCACTGTCTGTGCTACTGGTGTTATGTTCAGGAAGCTGTCTCCTATACCAATTTGTTCAAGGGTACCACCCACTTTCTTTTCTAAGAGGTTCAATGTTGCTGGATTTATGTTGAGGTCTTTGATCCATCAAAACAATCATTCACCACGATCAAGTAGGTTTTATCCCAGAGATGCAGGAATGGTTCAACATATGAAAATCCATCAATGTAATACACCATATGCCAAGAATGTGCTCGATTTTTGAGAAGTTTCCACGTGGTGCTGAGAAGAAGGTATATTCTTTTTTATTTGGATGGAATATTTGGGGTCTTGATTATTATGTGTCAAGGGGACTTTTTTGTGGTCCACTCTATTTGGTGTTCTGTAAGTTTCTTGTACCTTCATTTGCATGTCTTTCTTTAGTTGGGGGAAAGTTTTCTTCTATGATTTTGTTGAATATATTTTCTTCCCCTTTGAGGTGGTTTTCTTCACCTTCTTCTATACCTATTATTCTTAGGTTTGGTCTTTTCATGGTGTCCCATATTTCCTGGATATTTTGTGTTAGGGATTTTTTGGACTTAAGATTTTTTTGGTCGATGAATCAATTTCTTGTAGTGTATCTTCAACACCTAAGATTCTCTCCTCCATCTCTTGTATTCTGTTGGTTACGCTTGCATCTGTAGTACCTGACCATTTGCCCAGCTTTTCTATTTCCAGCCTTCCTTCAGATTGTATTTTTTATTGTCTCTATTTCAGTTTTCAACCCTTGCACTGTTTGAATTGTTTCTTGCAATTTTACTTTGTCTTTTTGTCCATTTGTTGCATTTTTAAATATTTTTTTGGTGTGTTTTTTTTCTTCCATTTCTTTGAGGGATTTTCCTATATTCTCTTTGAGGGCCTCTATCATTTTCATGAAGTTGTTTTTAAGGTCATTCTCTTCTGCTTCATTTGCATTGGTATGTTGGAGTCTTGCTGGCGTAGAGTGTCTAGAATCTGGTGGTGTAATATTTGTTTTTCTGTTGCTGAGTGTGTTTTTGTACTGTCTGTTTCCCATCCCTTCTTCTAGTGGGTGTAGAAAGAGCCCCTTACTGGCCTGGTGGTTAGGGGACCATAGTTCCCTTTTGGTGGGTGCAAGCAAGTCCAGTCCTAGTGCTGGTCCCATGGGTGGAAAAGACCGGGAATCTGGGGTGCATAGGCCCCTACCTGAAGGGGAGATTCAGTGGCACTCTCCAGGCACTGGAGCACAGGTCCAGAAACAGACCCCGAATTTCCTGGTCCCATGGGTGGAGAAGAAGACAGGGAAACTGGGGTGTGTAGCCTCGCGTTGGGAGGGAAGGCTCAATGGCTGTTTGCAGGTACTGGTCCAGTGGGTGGAGAAGAAGACCAGGAAATGGGTGCATGGGCTCCCGCCAGGAGGGGAGGCTCTCTGGCTGTTCCCAGACTGCCCCAAGCACTAGAAGGCAGGTCCGGATACTGGGCCCAGTTTACCTGGTCCCCTGGTCCCGTTGGTGGAAGAGAAGACAGGAATCTGGGGTGCGTGGTTTCAGCCAGGAGAGGAGGTTCTGTAGTAGTCACCAGACAGTCCCTGGGCACTGGAATGCAGGCCCGGATACAGGGACTGGTTTACCTGGTCCCCTAGTCCCGTAGGAGAAGAGAAGACCAGGAATCTGGGGTGCTGGTGCATAGGTTCTCGCAGGTCAGGGAGACTCTGTAGCAGTCCCCAGGCACTGGAAGGTAGTCTGGTTACAGGGCCTGGTTTACCTGGTCCCCTGGTCTCCATTGTGGAAGAGAAGACCAGGAATCTGGGGTGAGTGGCTCCCTCTGAGAGGGTAGGCTCTGTAGCAGTCCCCAGGCAGTCCCCAGGCACTGGAAGGCAGTCCAAAATGCAATTATTATGAACACAAATTTTAAGATACCTTCATTTACTGCTATAAAGACTATTGTTTTGTGTGCAATGTATTAATAATGCTTAACGGACTATATTTATTAGTAGAGCCAGACTTAGAAGTAACATCAAAGGAAGATCACAATAAATTTGATGACAGGAGAAATATCCAGACATTGGTATGTAAATGTAAATTAGAATTTCCAGTATAAAATTTTTTGTTGTTCAAGAATGTTGCATGAAGCCTGGTGGTGGTGCTTGCTTTTAATCCCAGCACCGGGGGACAGAGGCAGGTGGATCTCTGTGAGTTCAAGGCCAGCCTGGTCTACTGAGTGAGTTCCAGGTCAGCCAGTCCTGTTACACAGAGAAACCCTGTCTTAAAAAAAGAATGTTTCATGGACCAAAGGAAATTACAGTTCAGACAACCAAGAATTGATTGCTTATAATTTAGTACTTAGTCTTAAAGAATGTTTTACCATCTTATGGAACATATGGCTAGCATTTATCCTTAGACAAACATTATTTTCCCTGTGTTTATTAGCCCTAGAAGCAAGCCCATATTTATTTTTTCTCTGATAAGAACGATGACTGTTTTCACTCTTAAGTTTGTGCATGTGTAAGTACTAACAAGGTAGTAGGGATGAGTCCAACATGAAGGAAATACAACAGTAAATATCCAAAGTGTGATCTGTTCTCTTTAGTGGACTTTAGAACATATTTGAACAATTTAATGCAGAGAGCTTCTATAGATGAGATAATATTAAATATATATTTCCAATGTTTTTGGAAGAAAAACCTGCAACAGAAATGTTGCAGATGGTTCTTGAGGCATTATTGAGAACCTTTTAATTATTGAGACCTGTGCTAGCTAGTTTTATGTCAACTTAACATGAGCTAGAGTGATCTGTAAGGAGGGGACCTCAACTGAGAAAATACCTCCATAAAATATGACTGTAAGGAATTTTCTTAATTAGTGATTGATGGGTGAGGACCCAGCCCATTGTTGGTGGTGCTGTCCCTGGGCTGGTGGTACTGTGTTCTATAAAAAGTCTGAGAAAGCTATGAGGAGCAAGCCAGTAAACAACACCCATCCATGGCCTCTGCGCCAGCTTATACCTTCAGGTTCCTGCCCAGTTTTGAATCCTTGTCTTGACTTTGATGAACAGTGGTGGAAAGTTAAATAAACCCTTTCCTCTCCAAGTTGATTTGGTCCTGGTGTTTCATCACAGTAATAAGACAATACCAAATAATTTTTGTTATTGTGGGTCAGTGATGTACTAGCTTGGTATTTAGCACCAAATGTCCCAGATGTCTCATTTTCTAGTGAAAATAACTAAACAATATCCAGCAAGTACTTTTAAATCATATGAGAACAATATCAATTTACACAACATTGAAGGGGTTTGTAGTTAGGATGGGACTGTAGGTGGCGGTGCAATTTTAAATTCTGAGAAGATTTTTCTGCATGAGAAGCAACTTCTAATGAAAGGATGGAGACGATACCAACCAAGTGAGATCTCGTCAAGATGACCGTCTGGGCAGGAAGAGCGTGCATCACATCTTTTCTTTAGTTGGCTTTTGCCTTACATAATCAGGAAGCAGGGCATGGGACAAACTTCACAACAATCCCTTTACTCTTGTAATGTGTACACAGAGATGCACAGCTAATGGAGTTGTGCAGTTCAGTCCCTTAGAAACTCAACACCATTGTGTTTGAAGTTCTCCATTGCAAAGGGTTGTATAGTAACACAGAATATTTGCACAACATTATTTATTCATTCCATAGAGAATTTTGTTTTGCAACTTTGTTATTTAAGTATTTCTAAATTAGCATACATGGTGTTTTAAATTAGCATACCAGGTATTTTAATACTTATCTTAGGCTGATCTCCTCTCACTCACTCTCACCTCAGATCATACCCTCCCATTCTCAGTAGTCCCTCCCATTTCCTTTCTCATATATTCTATTACCTCTCCCACTTGCTGTCCTTAAAGTCCCAACCCATCTAATACTCTTCTTCCTGGCTTCATTAACTTTGCCTATACCCTCACAGAACACTCAGGTCTAATTATTAGAAGCAAGGATTTACATATGAAAGCACATCTGACATTTGTCTTTTTGAGTGTGGGTCCCCTCACTTAATATAATAACTTCCAAATACATTTATTTTCTTGCAAACTTCATGACTTTCTTTTCTTTGTGGTGGAATTAAATTCCATTTTGTATCTATACTGCATTTTCATTGATTTGCTTCACTCCACTTTCCCCTCTGTGAGAGCTGAATTCCCACCTATAGTTTAGATTTCTAGCAATGTAAACTGCCTTGCTGTCTGAATTTTGTGGTGATGGATTACTGGAACTCTTGGATATATTTCCTTTGGTGAGACTCACCTAAACATGAGCATACTGGTGTAGTTGGGGTGCATTTGGGCTTCTTTGAAGAGAAAGAATTCACTAGCTAATTTTTTTGAGACAAGGTTTCTCTGTGGCTTTGGAGGCTGTCCTAGAAATAGCTCTTGTAGACCAGGCTGGTCTTGAACTCACAGAGATATATCTGTCTCTGCTTCCTGAGCACTGGGGTTAAAGGTGTGCGCTACCACTGCCCTGCTACTAGCTAGTTTTATTCCTATTTTTATCCTTTGCTCATTTTTCTACTAGTAGCTTTTACATCTCTTTCTCCCTCCTGTCTCATGGTTGTGGCTTCCAATAAGCCATCTTTCCCCTGCTCCCAAATTTGTCATTTTAAACCATTTTTCTCCAGTAAGTAAGCAATTTTAACACCACCACCACCACCACCAAAAATACAGACTTTTACCCCTAATTTAATTGAAGAAACTATATCTTATTTTGTGACACATATTATATCTGATTATAAAGCACCTGCTGTCGTTTTAAGTACCCTGGATATTCAATGTTGTATTACATCAAGTTGTTTACCTATGTATTTTTTTTGAAAAATTCTCTTATTTTTGTGGGGAATGCAAAATAGATTTTGATAAACAAAACTAAATTCCTGACTAAAATATATATGTAATCTGTTATTGTCTACTTGTATGTTCTTTTGACCCTCCATGCTGTTTACATAGTCAATGACCACATGAAGATAAAAGTTAGAATGGATCTGAAGAGCATGTATGAGGTTCTGTTTCCAAATATTTTAGTTTTTAAGAGTACTTCTTTTATATTCAACTCTGTGATTTTTAAAATATGAAATTTGGCACCTTCATGAAATTGATTGGGAGGATTTTGCACAACTTATGATCACTACTTATTGTAACAGAGAATCTATAAGGACCTTCCAAATGTTTCTGGCAATGTGTCTGCGACAGTAGACTCAAGAAGAAAGACAAATGGACAAGCAAGAGGTAGGAAGTACATTTTATAAAAAAGACATTTGGGGTGTTGCTTGTTAATGACAGGAGGCTGGAGTTTCAGTGACAGTTTGAGAGTATAGTGATACTCACTAAGAAGGATGAATTGTGAGTTATATTTCTAGGTATCCTACTACCAGAGATATGCTAGTAAGTTATAACAAGGTGAGAGAAATGGGGAATGAGAAAAGCTGTGACAAAAGGGTATAAGTAAAGTATGTCAGGTATATGAAGTAAAGGGTTAGTATTCTGAAGTAAAGGGTTAGTGTCCTAGTTTTCCTCTGGTCTGTGGTAAAGTACTCTGAAGGAAACAAAATAAGTGAGGTGCAGTATGTTAAAACTCAAAGGGCCAGGGCGTAGCTCATCCTAGAATTGAAATCAAACTATCAGGAGCTTGAAGCAGCTGCTCACATTACGACCACAGACCACAGTCAGAGATGAATAACGAATACATACTTTCTAGTGCTCAGTTCCTTTCTTCCCACAGACAGCCTAGTTTCTCTTGCATAGGGAATGGTGTCACTCACAGTGGTGGCACTTTACACCTCAATGAATATAATGAAGACAATTGCCTACAGGCATGCAGGTCAGTGTTTACATTGAGAGTACCCTCCCAGGTAATTCTGGGTTGTACCAAGTTAATAATTAAATTGAGAAAATTTAAAAAATTGTGCAGCAAAGAAAAGTAATGTATTTGACTTGTGAGGAACATGTGACTTGAGTGTCTAGAACTCAAGATTGTCTAAAATTAGAACAAAGTATCCCACTCTTTTTGTATTCTTCATCAGTAAGACCCCATTAAGAATTTAAATACTTGGTTTTTCAAATCTATGTCTTATTACTAAAGAACAGTATAACTATAATAACTGACCTACTGTGAATGTATATGTATTTTGTCCATTTGCAAACACTACCACTTCAGCAGGTAGAGTTCTATAAGTGAAAATTCAAGAACTGGAAATAAGAAACGCATGGGATTAGATTAAAAGTCCATTATAAAGTTTGTGACTGCTTATATAATCTCAGTTTGGGTGATGACAGTGTAGATTCTTAGAGTAGGTTCTAAATAGATACATATAAGCATTTGGAACAAAACCGTGTTGACTACCACTTGTTAAACTTTGGTGAATCATCTACTTTGGCCTTGATAAAAATAAACTCTGGTGAGTCATAAATGGGGTTTTGCATTTGTGATGAATTCTCAGTTGGTTCAGATGCTACAAGAAGTCACAGTGTATAAAGAGTAGTGATGATGGAGACTGAGATTAAATCTGTAGAGATAATTATTGTGGAAAGCATAATGGGCCCAAGTGCATTTTGCCCTTACTTATTCTATCCAGAAACAAACAAACAAATATATATAGAAACTGAATAATTCTATATGATTCTTAGGATACTGTAAGTGGGGCTCTCTGTGGTTATAAAATACAATTTTTTAGTTATTAGGTATTTTTGCTAAACAAAGATGAAAGAAGTGGTCACAATAATCCACAAGCTAGCATAAAACTGAAATGAGATATAGAGGTGCTTTGTTAAGAAAGATAGTCTAGATAGGAGAGAAATTGCCTGGAAGGCATGAAAGTTCACTCTGAGGAAACTTGAAAGAACTCACTTTCGCTATTATCAGACTATTCTCATATAAACCATATTACACTGTTGTGTGCCTGCATAGATTATTGGAATCAGGATGGTATTAACCACCTGGAGGTGGTACTAGTCAAGTGGAGGCAGAAATGGAAGAAGAAATTATGGAGAAACCCTGCTTACAGCCTTGTGTTCAGCTTGCTTTCTTATACAACCCAGGACTATCGGCTAAGGGGTAGCACCATCCACAGTGGGCTGGGACCTCCCACACCAATAGACAATTAAGAAAACTCACAACAGACACGACCACAGCCCAATCATATGGAGGCAAATTAAGCAATTTAGGTTCCCTCTGCAGGAATTCACAGTTGTTTGACTTATTTACACATAATTGATTATCTATTTGGCTTTTTAAGAATATTTGAAGGAATATCAACCCTTGATTGTAATAGCCTTTATGTTTTCGCTTTGGATAATTTACATCACACTAAATGCAATACACAATTATTGTTCAATTGTTCCTTCAAACTCCTCTCAGGTTATCAATGAAATGAATGATTCTATTCTAGATAAAACAGCAGAGATGAAGGAAGCACGGATTATACAAGAGGGTACATTTTGCACTACCAGTTAGTTAATCTGGAAAGATATACTCTAAATATTACAAATCCATGTGGATTTTCAGACTTCTCACTCCTATTCCCATTCCCCAAGATTAGATGAGATTGCAGGGTTTGTTCTAAATAACACAATGTTATTGTTGGCATAGATTTTACAGAAGACATTTACAAGTTGAAGGGACTGGTTTGGAGAAGCAACTTGAGTTAGTTGTTTCTACTTTTTTATGCTTTAAGGTAATCAGGGGTTCATTCAGTATCAGAAGATGTTCTCAGAAAAGGACAAAGTTAAGAAAACCATTTTACACAGAGTAGGCTCTCCATTTCATATTCCTTCATACCCTTTGTCAATTATTGAGTAACATCTAACTCTCTATGGAACAATGCTTAAAGTTTATTCACTTAATAAAATTTGTTCCTTACTGGGCACTGATAATTTTATAACTCAAAATTGTCTGGAAATTTCTACTCAGTTTGGGGTTACTGCAAATGCTTCCATATGTGTTTTCAATTTGGTTCCAAAAGTGTGTTCATTGGTGTTTAATGGAGTGATTGTTACTGAATCTTTGAGATAGGTGTATGTTGTATACCTGACACACTTGAATGATGTGTAACTAATGCACAAAAACTTTTGATAGTTAAATAAGTCAGTACTTATACTGTTGAAGAGTTAACCTATTTGAAGATTCTAATTAGAAAATTAAAAGTCCAGTTGGTGTTATTATTAATATTTAATTTTTTGCATATGGAATAATTATTATCATGTTATTTAAATGTTTTCCTGGATTATTTTTAACATGTATGGACTTGTCAGGAGGACCAAATATACAATTGACATCAGAGGAAGAACCAGATAGTCACAATGGCTCTGGAAAGAATCCATCACTGGTATTTAAGTATTTAAATATGAATTACAAGCTGATGTTTCTCATTGTAAAATAATGTTAAATGTGTCAGAGAAAGTTACCTTTCAAACTGTCCTCAGAGTCAGTAGATCATGACTCAGTGTTTAATTTTAACACCATTTACTTAGTTATAGAATAAAGGATGTTTTTAGAATCTAAAAGTAACAGATAACCCTAATCTTTAGATGTAAGTGAAAAAAGATTATTTTAATGTTGTTTTCCATTCTCATAGCCTACTTACTTATTTAAAGACTAGAGCAAATTTGAGACTTATAACTAAGCACTTTAAAGTTTGAATGATTTCAAGGGGATCACCCCACAATTTGATGTATTAGAAAGACCTATTATTCCAAGTAACTAAAAAAATTGAGGTTTCCTATGACCAGTCAGTACTATCAATGTGTAACTTTCACTTACTCATTTTAGTCTTTAGTCATATATCTGTTGTGGGAGACAACACAGGTATACACAGTTGTTCCACTACCTATAAAGAGAAGGTACCTCCCACTAGGGACATAGGTGCTATGCTTCAAACTCATCCTATTTCAAAAAAGGGAGTCAGAAACTATATTAAAATGTTACCCAATGACTTTACTGTATAGAATGTGTCAGGACTGAAGAATGCAAACTTTTTATGAGTTTCATGTCAATCTTTGGCTTTTAGTTTAGAGAAAACTATTTAAAAACATGTGCCATATGAGTATGTTAGTGTTTCAGGTTTCACAGCAGAAATTTTACTTGTATGATCTTGAATAATTTCAGTTACTGAGTATCGGCTAAGAACTTGGCAATTAGGCTCTCAACATAAAAAATTATGGCAAAGTAAAAATAGAACCAGTAAACACTAAGTTCATATAATGAGCATCCTTGATGTCAAGACAGAGAAGGTTGATGTGTTATTTAAATTTAGGATTGGAATGGCAGTGTGAACAGAAATAAGAGCTCAGAGAAGACATTTTTTAAAGGACTCTCATAAATGGGACTGCTTCTCTGATTTCTTTTTTGGTGTCTTTGCCATTGGAAGAATACTAATTTTTGCATGTTAATTTGTAGTTAAGGACTTTCATGAATGTGTTTATCAGTTTTAGATTTGTCTGATGGCTCTCTGTATCAAATTTTTTGAAATATGTTTTTAATTGAAATAGAATTGCATCAATTGCCATCCTCCTTTTCCCAGAGACCCTCCCTCAAACCCCTCCCATGACTTCCCTTTCCCAAACTGATAACCACTTTTTACTTATGTTGTTACATACATGCATGTATATGTATGTAAACAAATTCATATAAGTAAAACATGCTGAGTCATTTTTGTTGTAATACATTTTCAATACATATTTATTTTAAATCTAAGTTTTTATTTTAAATTAAGCTTTAAAATTTGTGCATACATATAATGTGTTTGGGTCTGATCCACACTCCATATCTTTCCTTCCAATTTCTTCTTTCTTGAATTAAATTTAGTAGATTTTAAGATAGAAAGCAGATTTTGCTGGAAAGTGATTAGAATATGTTATAACTGATTTTTGATGCTTATTTTAACAGAACATCTTTAAGCAAATTCAAACACAGAATGTTGGTTATTTATCAATGGCTAAAGATCAAAGAGGAGAAGAAACAGTGGTATGTGTGGAAAAAGGTGAGGAATCTTACAATAAAAAGTCCATTGACAGAATATTTGTTTGAAACACAAGGAGTTACATATGCTCTAAACCAGAAAAGTTACCTCTGAAATATTTACTGAGTAGCAGGCTACATTAAGTTGCAGTAATCTGCATGTCAAAAAACAAGTTTTAAGACAGGATAAATGAAGCATATCAAAAGGGGGATGGTATGAGTTACCTCTCAGGTGTTTAATGCCCAAGGAAGGTTAGGAAATAAATGGAGGGGTGAAGAGTGGGGATAGGTTAATAAAGGTAGAAAGAATAGAGAGGAAATGAAGAAAATGAAGAAAGGGAGCATGAAATTTATACAAAATCATGGGTAGGGTACTGCTATTGTGAAAACACTATAAAGTGAGCTGCTAATGCACAATTATGGGTAAGAGGTTGAACAATGTGTTCCCATAGCCTTTTTCCCTCACTTAGGGGGCAGTATAAAAAAGATTTCACATGTTAGATTCTTCTCCAGTGCTCTATCTTGTCCATAATTGACATCTGTTCTCAGCTGTATACATTGTTTAATGTCAGTTAAAGTGTTCTTAAATCCCAGTATAATACAATATGAACCTCAAATAGCAACAGAGAAAGGAAAAATATGGAGTTTCAACCATAGGTTGATTAAAGTGTTCATCAAGAGGTTCAAAGAGCATTCAAAAGATTAGGATGCTGATTCCAACTGCGAGACATGGTGGGAAAAATCACACTAGAGTTAAGTTAGAGTAAAGGAATTTTGCAAGAGATATATTGGTCAGAGATTCTTACAGTTTCATGACCCACCTGTTAAGAGAAGCTTTTTGTTTGCTAGCTGCTTTGGTTTATCCCCCGCCAGCCACCTGGGCTCTGCTACGTTGTAGTCCCCAAATAAACACACAAGAGACACTGTATTAATTATGAAGCTGTTGGCCTTGCTTGTCTCTTACTGGCTAGCTCTGCTTTAAGTAATTACCCCATAATTGTTAATCTAAGTATGTCTCTTACCGGAGAATAGTTCCGGGCTCCTACCCCACGGCGTTACATGTTGACTCTCTGTGTTTCTCCTTCCCAGAATCCTCCTGGACTCCTAGCCCCACCTATCTAGATTCCTATTGGCCAGACAGTGCTTTATTGACATATACACAGGACTTCCCCAACATCTCCTCTTTTCTGTTTAAACAAAAAGAAAGGTCTTAACTTTAACATAGTCAAATTGTATATGACAGAACAGTTATCAAGTAAGAACACAGTTACAACATTTTGTCTATTAACATTTAGCAAGATCTAAAGAAAATATCATCCATCCCATCCTTGTGAGTCCAAAGTCCTATATGTAGCTTATCTTTTATCATAACTAAGGAAAACTATAATTATAACTATCTGTCTTCAACTCCATCAAAGACCACAGAAGGATAATATATAAACACTAGGATTGACAGAGGTATCTTACTGCCTGGACAGTCACCTGAAGTTCCTATGTAACATTGGGACATCCATCTTCAGCCCATAGGCCACAATGTGTCTGGAACACTTCTCAGCAAAGCAGGAAATTTCAAACTGTCCATCTGCGCTGGCAGTCTGTCAGTCATTTTTCTTTGTCCTGTAGAAAGTCTCTTAGACTCTTTCATGAAGCAGGAACCCTGTAAGACTGAGTTTAGCAGTCACTTTCCTGTGGGTCCTGCATATCCAGATGATACAGCAACAGTCAAGCAGTACAGGCAAGAGCAGTTTCTTGCCCAAATGGCTAATCTTGCCATGTTGAAAGCAAACTCCCTAACGAGTTTCTTCGATGCCCATTTTCCTCTCAGACATAATTGGTGCTGCCAGGAGCAGACATTTCTCATTGTCAAGAAAAACCCTAAACCATTTTAAATGCCATTTTCTGAAGGCCTTTGAGAGGTTTGAAGACTATCTATCTGTCTCAAATACATCTCTATATATCTAGAAAACCTAACTTACCTAACTATAAGTTCTGACTATTATAAGTAAATATCTATAGTCTGTATTCAATTATGCATTATGTTTTAAAAGATCAGTATAAGCACAATACTTAACCAAGAGGAGAAATATAAGCATCACAAAATTGACCTTGAATTTGTATCAATAAATGAAAAACAATACCCATACCATAATTCCCCTTTTTACCATTAAAAAAATATTGGCTGTGATCATTAGACAATTATAAACAACCCCATTTAAATGAAAACAAAGATTTATAAACAAGATGGGAAATAGGACGTCGCTCATTCCAAACTGCTTCGTGCTGGAAGGGGGCGCTGTTCATACCATGGGGATCATGACAAAACTCAGAAACCTGTAAAAGTCCTTATTTTCATGGTCTGTAAAGCTCCATCATCTTAGCTGTCTCAATTGTTGAAACCTTGCCCACTGCTTCCGGGGGTCTTGGTTCGTCAAACCACAGAAGCCTGGAAGGAATCCTCAGCTTTTCATTTTCTGTAGAAACATAAGCAAAATCTCCTTTCCCAAGTAACATATTCTTATACTTAAAATTTGAAGTTAAGGCATTTTTAAAAGATAGAAGTTGGATTAATTCAGCAGCATTTATAATCAAGTGTACTTTAGTAGCTGTTCCTTCCTTAGCAATCAAAAAACTGAAAAACACAATAGTGTACAGTATCCAGACTCTCTGTGTATTTTCCATCTTTATGTGGCTTATTTATTTATCTATTATTACTTTATTTCTTTCACTTTTATTTATTTTTCTCTGAGACAGGGTTTCTCTTTGGAAATCAGCCTGCTGCTGCCTTTGCAGCAAATCTTACTCTGCCTCCCGAGTGCTGGGATTAAAGGCGTGCTGCCACCAACGCCCGGCTTTTCTATTTATTTACCACTATGCCTGATTCTTTTTCTCTCTCAATCCTATATTTTTAAACACACTGTAAACCTTTAGAGGTTTTGTTCATCCAAGTCTGACTTTACTGTAAATCTTTGTTTTTCTGGCCACGTGTCTTATCTGTAAAACCGTGGCTGTTTTAAACTGCCGTTTTTTTTTTCAAGATGGCGGGCGTAAGCGTGATTCCAGCTTACCGCCTCAGTCCATGCTGACCTCCAGCAAAAGCTGCCACTTCCAGCTGTACATACAACTTTTCAATTGTTAGCAGAGTCTCTTAAAACAACCTTGTTTTTGTTTTTTTTTTTTTCTGTTTTCTTTTTATGCCGAGTCAGGAAGACTCCGGTAAGCGAGCCACGTGAATCTCGGCTTGTCGATAGCAAAACAGAGCACACCTGAGAAAAATGCTGCTACCAAAAATCTGTGCTTCTCTCTGTTCTTCTGTTTCTAAAATTCCTTTAAAGCTTTTGTTATTTTGCGTGGAAATTCATGATCCCACTCCTGATCACCATTTTGTTAAAAGAAGCTTTTTCTTTGAGAGGAGCCTTCCCGCTAGCCTGGTTCCAGAGCCGTATCAGTCCCAAATAAGCACACAGGACGCTGTATTAATTATGAAGCTGTTGGCCTTGCTTGTCTCTTACTGGCTAGCTCTGCTTTAAGTAATTACCCCATAATTGTTAATCTAAGTATGTCTCTTACCGGAGAATAGTTCCGGGCTCCTACCCCACGGCGTTACATGTTGACTCTCTGTGTTTCTCCTTCCCAGAATCCTCCTGGACTCCTAGCCCCACCTATCTAGATTCCTATTGGCCAGACAGTGCTTTATTGACATATACACAGGACTTCCCCAACACCCACCTGTTGAGAACAATGTTTGAAATAATTTTGGTTCAACTTTTCTGGAGTTCTTCATTTCCAAGAAGGTGTCTAGTGGTGCAGTTGGTGTTCTAAATACAATGAGTAGTCAGTGTGTGTAGACTTCCCATTAAAGAAATTGAGAAAGATCTTTTGGCTAATAGTTTAAGATAACATCTAAGACAACTTAAATATTATTATTATTATTTCTGAGAATGTACACAGAAATGTCATTGAGAAAATGTAATTCAATGACATTTTTTGATCACTAATCCAAATTCTATCTACATGTTTGAGGATTTAATTTCTACAGTTGTATCAACACCAAATGAAAAAGAAGGGAACTTGTATGATCAATTTGCTACAAGAATGTAAAAGGGAAATAATGTGTTGGAAGACAGGAAGTGTCTTATTTTGCTTATTGTTGTGATAAACACCATGACCACAAGCAACTTGAGGAGGAAAGGGTTTTTTTGGCTTATACATCCCTGTTCCCTGTCCATTGAGGGATGCCAACTCTGGTTCCTGGAGGAGTCAAGAACTTTAATAGAAGCCATGAAAGATTGCTGGTTTATGACTTGCTCCTCCTAGCTTTCTCAGTTTGCTTCATCATATACCCCAGAGATTGGGCTGGGATGTTCCATGTCAATCATTAGTCAAGAAACCATCCCACAGGCTTGTGTGCAGGCAAATCCAATGGGGGTATTTTATCAGTTGAGGATCCCTCTTCAAAGATGACTCTATCATGTGTCTTGTGTCATGTTGACTAAAAACTAACCAACACAGGAAGAAAAAAAATAACATGTGCAAATTTAGAGTTAATGACAAGGAACTATAGAGAGACCATCTCAGAAATCTTTTATATATGTTGATTCAAATGAAAATGAGATTATTGGTATTGTATGAGTTATTGGAACTAAGAGGGAATGAGAGTCATGTGGTGAACTACAACACTCAGTAATCTCCATAAGTGTAAGTCAGGCATTAAAGTTGTAGATTATAATAATCTTAGGTATTCAGAAGAGATTAATTTGAATGTAGAATTATCATCTTGTTTCAAAATGATAGCTAACTTCTTTATAAGATTGTTAATCGATGAAATTCTACGTGTCTATTCCCACGGTGACCAAATAATGTAATTGTGAAAAAGGACATATATAGTTATTTGTTGAATATGTAACATCTCTAATATTAAGTGCTGTTCTGATTTGAGATGTAACAAATTAGTACTTTATAATTCTTTTATGAAAACCTTGTTTTCATATTTCACAAAGTGATTTTAATTAACTATTTTTATAGTTGTTGGTACACACATAAATTTTGAGGTATATTCACACTCGTGTCTTCTCTTTTCTTGTAGTTTAGGTTCACATATGTTCTGAAAAGCATTTATCAAAAAAGACATGTGTATTGTAAAAAGGAAATGAAATCTGAATGTCTAAAAGTAGTTCACACGTGTGTCTGTTGAGGCGAATCATTATGCAATGTCATTCTGCACATGAATACCCTAATTGATCAAATTTGAAAACTATAATCATTTACCTCTTGGAAGTTTTATGTCTGATTGGTGGCACAAAAGTATGAATATGATGTGGAGAAGAGCTCTTATAGTATTATTTGGATATCTCTGAAATATTTCATTCGAGATATGTGCTGATTGGTTTAGTCATCTGCTTTAATAAATGAGGTACCACCTCATAGTTATGGTTTCTTCCTGGGAACACATATCAGTTTCCTTTCCATCCATTAAAAATACCACAATGTTGTATGTGCCTTTCCTATTAAGTTATATTCATTTGCATCATATTATTTTGGATAATTTTAAGTGAAATTATAACTATAGTTTAATTTTACTCATGGGATTTCTGTCATGGTCCTTAGTTGCTTAAAATAAAACAAAGTAAAATTTCATCAAAACAAAATAAAATAGCCATTATCAAGTTATCCATGATGATCATTTTCATATTAACTTTTTATAAATATATCCAGCCAATATTGTCATATTTGTGTTTAATTGATTGTTCCTTTGACACTTCAGGATTTTCTAAGGAATGTCCTCAATCAAAGGTAGTTACTTTTAATTTTATTCTGAATCATTAATTTCATATTCTATAACCTGCACTAGAGCCGTAAGTGTCTTTTTTTTCTAAATTCATACAGCCTACCATTGTAAAGGAACAATATGTCACAGTGCAACCATTCTTAGCAGGTAAGTTTTGTAGTATTAAATTCCATGGGACAAATATCTCAAAATATTTGAAATGCTCACAGTCTGCTATTACTAGTCCATATTCTCCAATTTTTTTGCTGAATAATTTGATGCAGTTCTTACTGTTAATCTGAATGCTTCAAGAAAGTTGTTTGCTATTTCAAGGTAATTTGTTTAAAGTTGGTAACAAATCACGTGTATCTTCTTGTTATGTGTCTTTATTGTGGTGATTTATTTTTCTAAAAATATCTCATGCTTTCAAAGGGGCTAAATTTTTGCCAGAACCTGAAGTCAGCTAATAATATGTCTTGAGACCATTTGAGACTATATATTCAGTCTACTGCCCTACTGTGTACTCAGCCTGTTTAAAGTGCCAAGAAATATTGGAAGCAACATGTGGATATAGATCAATAACATTTCTGTACTGGTTCGAGTGCTTTTTGAGGGTCAGTTGAGGTCAGTAAGGTAACTTCTCTTATAAAATTCTATTAGGGATTTCTATAAAAAAGTATTCCTCATTCTTTTACCATACCAAGAGTTTCTAGTGCTGTTCAATGAATCCATAGCAATGCCCTTTGTTAGGTACAACCACAGGAAACAGGAAACAGGGATAGAGTGATCAGATAGGAGCAACACTCAGACAGGTCAGGCAATGTCTTAGGGTTTCTATTGCTGTGAAGAGACACCATTACCATGGCAGCTCTTTTTTTTGTGGTATCGTTTCATTAATTTTTAAAAAATGAAATAACATTTAAAACATTTATTTCACATACTAACCAGTTTCCCTTCCCTCCTCGCTTCTCATCCCCTCCCCTTTCCTATCTACCCCTTCCCCATCCACCCCTCCTCTATCTCCATTCAGAGAGGGACAGGCCTCCTATGGGCTTGCACAAAAGCATGACACAAAGTTGAGGCAGCACTGAACCCCTCCCTTATGTTGAGGTGGGACCAGGTAATTCAGCATGTGGAATAGGTTACCAAAAGCCAGCCAAGTGACCATGGCCACTCTTATAAAAGAAAACGTTTAACTGGGGCTGGCTTACAGTTTAGAGATTTAGCCCATTATCATCGTTTCAGCTTACAGTCAGACATGTGTCCTGGAGAAGGAGCTGAGACTTCTATATCTTGATTAGCAGGCAGCAGGGAGAGATTCTGTGTCATATTGGGTGTAGCTTGAGCATATGAGACCTCAAAGCCCGCCTCCACATTGACACACTTCCTCCAACAAGGCCACACCTCCCAGTAGTGCCACTCCCTATGTGCCAAGCATTCAAACACATGGGTCTATGGGAGCCATTCACATTCAAATAAACACAGGTAAGCAACATGGATATATTAGTTACATACAACAGACTACAGATATGTCAGTAAGCACAAATTAAAGAGGGGAGTCAGGGAGAGAAGCAGAAAATTAAAATTTGGGTTCACACTTGGTTACACTACTCCAAGAAGAAATTTCTGTTTTCATGCCTTAAAGTGACACTGCCACATTTTTCATGAAATATCTGAGCTTTCTCTAGTCCATAATCAATCTAACAGTCTTTCTGTATTCTCTTCCACATAGTTCCATGAACCTTGAGGGGAGGGGTTTGATAAAGATAACTCATTTAGAATTGAGTGCTCTGGGGTTTCTCACTCTCTACACATTGCTCAGCTGCAGATCCCTGTATTATTTCTTCTCTACTGCATAAGGAAGCTTCTCTAATATTGACTGAACAAGACACTGGTTTATAGGTGTAGCAAATGTCAGGAATCATTTTATTACTATGTTTCTTCAGCAGAACAATAGTATTTGGTTTTTCTGTAGGTCCATGGCCTATTGAGCCTCAGGTTCTTGGCCACCTGAGCAGTGTTGGGTATGGCTTCCATCTCATGAATCTCAATCAGATAGTTTTTGTTTATCACCACAATGTTTGTATCACTGTTGCACCAGTGTTATATTACTTTTGATTGTGCTTTTAGTTTCAGCCGTTGTGTTATTTTTCCATTTGATATCTCTGAATTGCCCTTTCTTGGCTTGACCTAACACAATAAACAATGCAAAAATCTACCATACTTTAATATTAAAATACCCATTCTCACTCGTGAGGATTATTTTCTATATGAATTCTACACAAATATGTACAGTCAATATCAGGTTTACATGGAATTCATTATTCCTCTTTGACATTTTAGACACCCCTAAAGACTATCCTCTATCAAAGGTAATTACTCTTCTGTTTTTTTCCTGCATAGTTAACTTCATATTTTATGGCATGTTCAAGAGTTAATATGTAACTTATTTCTAAACACATACAGCCTACTGTTGAGGAAAATGATTCTGTTCCAAACAAAGATGCTGATATAAAGCATGGGAAATGGTTCCAAGAAGGTGAGTTAATATTAATAATTTTATGGGATAGGTAAATATAAATGCTTGAAATGTTTAAAATGCCCCATTTTTGCTCCTGTATTCTCCAAATTTCATATAAGTATTTGATATAAATAATGCAGTATCATTGCTATTGTTAAGTATTTCAGCATTAACTATTTAAGAGTTCAAAGTAATACATCTGATCCCTAGAGGAGCTGCAGCAAATCAATGACTATTGAGAGATGGTAAATAAGTTTCTTCTAGGGACATGCTCCCTGATGTGTTATCCAATCCCAAGCAGTTCTAAACACATCTACATATAAGCAACGCTAACTGGACATAGTAGGTTGCATATATGCGTGTGAGTGAGTGTGTGTATAACAATAATAATTAAAGAAGTTATGAATTTGAGAGGAGGTAGAAACACAGAAGAAGTTTAAGTAGGGAAAGAAAGAGTGGGCATGATCTATGAATTCTCAAAAAAATAAAAAATTGCAAACTAAAGAAAAACCCAAGATGTGATACTATAGTCAGCATGTGTGTGTTCGTAAAAAATAACATTTTTTTGTGTTATAATTATACAAATGAATAGCCATGAGTATAAATTCAGAAGCATCCTTCAATAAGAAGTGATATTCACATCTCTAAGAAAAGTAGTGATTGCTTGTAATTTAGATATAAAGTGAAGAACATGATAAATTCTCACAGACACTACAATGAATGTCTGTGAAGTTAGTTTATTGCTGTAGATACAGTCTTTCCCATGCTATAATCAGTTTTGGCTCCTTCAATATTATCTTGATTTCATCCTGAAATTACAGATAGATTTTATTCTCCACCCATTAGAAATGACACCTTAGAAATGTTCACTGAACTCATAATCTTAATTTGAAAATTGTCAAGTTTGATTAAAATTATATAGTCCATCCATTTCAGTAGATTTCTATCATGTATATTTTATTCAAGAGAAAAACAAAAAGTAAAAATAATCATTGTATAAGCTAACCACAAAGAATATTTTTGATAGTAATTCTTTATGAAAGTGTGATAAATTTTACTTATAATGAACTATATTTATCTGTCTTTTTAGACTGTCCTAATGAATATGTTCAATTGAAGGTAATAAGCTTATATCTTATCCTGGGTCATTAAAATCATATTATTTGAAGCATGCAGTTGTTAAATATCTTCTTTCAAAATCTCTACAGCTTCCCATTGAAGGGAAAGATTCTTTTGTGGGTGAAGCACCAGCAAAAAAGCAAGTAAAATCATATTGTTCAGGTAAATTTCCCAACATTAATTTATGTAGGAAAAGTGCTTCAAAAATGTGAAATCTACACAGCATTTTTGATTTTGACTTCTTAGCTGTCCGAATTTGATGGAAAAACTTTACTTAAGGTACGAAATTATCATTGTTAGGTCTCATTGTTTACAAAAAGCAATTTAGTTGTTTAAAATGACATTTTCAAAGTTTCAACTCTACCACAGATATTTTCCCTTTTGTGTCTTGCTATACTAACATTGCCATTTTCTATTTTCCAGAGTAATTGTGCTAGGTATAAAAGTTCAATGATTTTTGCATAGCTTGAAAATATAGGACTGGCCGGGCGGTGGTGGTGCATGCCTTTAATCCCAGCACTTGGGAGGCAGAGGCAGGCGGATCTCTGTGAGTTCGAGGCCGGGCTGGACCGATAGCCTCCAAAACAATACAGAGAAACCCTGTCTCGTTAAAAAGAAAAACAAACAAACAAAAAAGAAAATATAGGACTGTTGTTTGTAATAGTTTATGCTTGTAAAGTCAGTTACTTGGAAGACTGAGCAACTCTTCTTTGGAGAGCATACTTTTGTGGTATGAACTAAATTACAAGTTACTGCTCATTACAAATTCAAATTATGCTTTTACTTTGACACACTGTCTTCAAACAGTTTGTATTTTTACTCATTTATTCTCTAAGTCTGTGCCCTTTAATTGTGGCAATAGAACTGCTGCAGGAACTAATGTAATACACAGCGTGATGAAATATCTGTCTCAGTTTTTGCCTACATGTATAATTAATGTTCTATGTTAGAGAAAATGGCAGAATGTCTCCTATAGTAGTCATTAGAAACTCTGTTCATGTAATCCATATTATTGAATTATTGACTCAGTATTTATGATACAAATTTGATTTTATATGGATCCTAGGGCCTCATATATTTCTATTCTTATACCATATCTATAAGCTCAATAACACTTCATTTGATACCAATAATGCAGATTCTATTATATTCTATTATACAGGGATGCATGTTTATTCTTGTATTCATTCAAGGGTTGTAGTTTCCTTACTATTTGCTTTTGAATTTATTTATCCAGAAAATCTTCAAATAAACATTACACCAATTTGCACCTTTGTACCTACTAAACTACGTCCCTCCATTTTTTTTACTCATGCCACTAATATTGTTGATTCTGCATTCATCTTAATTGTTTTTAACATTGATTCTGTTCTCGCATTTACAATTATGTAAGGTGCAAAAGTGAATATGGAGGATTTTTAAATATTAATGTGCAACAATTTTTAAGTTTGACATAAACCTTGGATATTCTCTTCCCTAACCCTTCAGTTTTAAGTCCCTTGATGTGACAGAATAGCTGGCAATATCCAATTCATTTTTTCATTTGTCATTTAGCAGCCTCATTTATTACCGGTGTTCATAGTCTTACTCTTTCCTGTCCTCAATCTTCCTAAGATCACTCTTCAGGGGTCAAATCAAGCTTTACTTCAAGAAGTTTATAATTTAAATCTTTGCCAATGACTTAAATTTCAGGGCTACCTCTTACTAGGAACTTCACAAATAATTATTGAATAAAATGAGCTAAAGACTGACTGTACAAAGAAGAAGTTAAAATTATGCTTTCTAGTCTAAGATAAAAATGAAGAATGAAGAAATGACTTATGATTCATGTTATAAGAAAAATGTTGAAAAGTGCCACCAGTATACTACAGACAGCAAATTATATCTTACTACAAAAAATATAGCCATAATAGAGGCATTTTCAAATATTATATGAAGTCTTAAGGGAAAAGAAGCTTGTCAAAGAACCAAATAAATAAAAAAATTATGATCTAAGGAGGTTTGGAAGCGTTCAGTTGATAACAGCTAACTGAACTCTCAGATTTACTCTTATAAAGTAGAGAATATTTTTCAATATGTTTTTGTTTGATTGCACATGCTTTTAAGTATTGTTTCTGTAAACACGTTCTAGGCACATTTGGCAGAATAATTGGGAATGGATTTATTCATGCCTTGAACATATCATTCTCTACTGACAATGTGTATATGATATATTGCTACTGCTTTTGTAATTACATGGATTTCCCAAGTCAGTGTCCAAATAACCTTAATCTTAACTGGAGTTTTAAACTTTTAATTATTGTGGATATTCTATAGGTACATAGACTATCATTTAAAAAAGTCTTCTGAGAGTATTTTAATTAACTATATAGATTTTTCTGCAGAATCATCCGGAAAAGTGGCATCAGAGGAAGAACAAAAATGTCATGACGACCCAGAAAAGGAAGAGAGAGTGGTACATAAGTGTTTACTTTTGAATTGTTGTTTAAGATAATTTTCTTTGGTAAATGATGTACGATAGTACACAAAACATTTCTTCAGACTGATCTTGAGACTCAATAGGTCATATTTTAAAAGTTTATTTTAAAACTTTTTTTATGATTTAACATTTATCCTATAAGAATCTATGCAATATATAATACTTTATAAATTTCACAGCTTAAGCAAAACCCCGTTGAAGGCGAGTTTGTAATTATTTCACTAGACCCACGATACATGCTTATTGGGAAACAATTACACTGAAAAATACAAAGGACCACGGGAGTGCTTCTATGTCCTTCCTATGGATGAGATTGGCTGACCCACCAGAAAAGAGGTGGTGGCGCACGCCTTTAATCCCAGCACTCGGGAGGCAGAAGCAGGTGGATCTCTGTGAGTTCGAGACCAAGCCTGGTCTACCGAGTGAGTTCCAGGACAGACTCCAAAACAATACAGAGAAACCCTGTCTCGAAAAAAAAAAGAATCCAAAGGAAAGCCAAGCCTCAAACTTCCCTCTTTCTGCGTCTGTCTGCCTGAGGCCACGCCCAAGGGGTGTGACCACCTTTACAAGTTCACTGTAAGACCCCTACACCCTGTCCTTGGATTGAACTCCACATTGTCTTCATTGTTTTTGCATTCCAATCCTAGATATTCCTTACATGCTTACATGTAATCAATCAAAATGCTTTTGACTACACAGGCAAGAGTATGAGCAATGTAGCAGTGCTTACTCCTGAATTTATTTCATGCCTATGTATTATCGCTCTCAGTCACTCAAAAGTTGAGTGTAACTCAAATGTGAAAAGCCAGTCACTGTCTCAAAGTTTTACGTTTCGATCCTTCCTTTGCTGCCTCGTAATCTTCAGCACCTCTTGTGGCAGCCATGAGTGCCAGTTGAGTCCTGCTCTGGAATGGAACCTGTGCTGTTCCACTACAAACGATGCAGTGAATCGTATATGTACTTCAACAAATAGAACCATTAGTATAAAAAATGCTGCCCACCGGCTTTCTTGGCATTAGACTATATCAAGATTTAATACCGTACAGAGAGCATACATGTGTGCTACTATATGGTTTTATAACTTACACAAAACCATTGAAAGACGCAAGATGCTGTTATATAGCTATTACTATTTGAGGCCTCTTTGCATGCCCTTCAATTGTTTGCACTCTAAATAATTTGAAATTATTCAGTGCTAAGCAAGCGCTAGGCTGTTAGATCCTGGTAGAAAATAGTAGCTTAAGAGCAAAAGAAGAGGAAAAATAGCATAAATGTGACATATTAAAAGACCATATAGTACGAAGTTGGAAATGTTTGTGTTTAAGTTAGGTGTAGTAGTGACAGAGAAAATTTTTATCCCAATAATAAATTTGGGGTGTCACTTTGAGGCTGCCAACAAAAGGACAAAGAAGGGGCCATGGGGAATGATAACAGTGAGTCATACCTGTTACCCATTGAGACTCAGCACTTTAGACTGGTTAGAAAACTTGAAGAAACAGTATCACCATTGTGGTTATCCTACAGCTTATAATACGCGGAAAATAAAATGTGTAAATGGGAACCAGATAAATTTCATACACTTAGAAGGAATTTTTATTTTTATTTTTTTGGTTTTACGAGACAGGGTTTCTCTGTATTGTTTTGGAGGCTGTCGGTCCAGCCTGGCCTCAAACTCACAGAGATCCGCCTGCCTCCCGAGTGCTGGGATTAAAGGCGTGCGCCACCACCGCCTGGCAGAAGGAATGTTTTTATGCCTCTATTTTTATTTAATGCTTACTGTATTTTTGTATTTTCTCAGTGTGAAAGACCTGCCTATACTACCTCATATTTAAATGTTATTCAAATATGTCCTAAATTGTTCTTTTCATATTTCTTTACTATTTTATATGGCTGTTTTTTCCCATAGGAAAAGTTCCTCACAAAATATTATACCTTTAATCCAAAATGGAGCCTCTATGACAACATTTTGTTTGTAATAACCATCATGCACTTTGAAGCCTCTTAGGTATCTTCTTTAGACACCCAAGGTTCTGCCATTGAAAAGGCTTTAAACATTTAGCACAGCGCTATTGTAAATTATCCTATGGGATTGAAAAATCCTTATTATAAAAGTCCTCACAGTTTTCTGAAGAGTAAATAATATTTAGGTATCTGAAACTAATTTTTTATTCAAGTATGCACCTGTGGATATATCTTCTTTTAGACTTCTCTAGCTTGTTTACACAGTCAGAGAACCTAAGAAAATACAACATAGTATTTAGAAGACATATATAAGGGTTTTATTTTTCTTAATTTTCAGTGCTTTCCAGTTGTATTGTGAATAACTTGTTTAAAACAGTAAAGGAAAAGAAACAGAAAATCTCTAGGTAACCCATTTCCAATGCTAATTTCAACAGGGTGTGCTCAAACAACCTCAACCAAGGGACATTGCATATTTATCTGTGGCTAATGATGAAAGCAGAGAAAATACCAGAGAGGGCCAAGAGGAAGGTAACAACTCCATTTTATAGAAACTTCATTTGAATTTGACATGATGGCACACGCCTGTAATCCCAGCACTCGGAGAGTGTAGGGGAGATAATTTAGACAGGGAGAGTTTGGTTTTCCCTCCCTCCCTCCCTCCCTCCCTCCCTCCCTCCCTCCCTCCCTCCCTCCCTCCCTCCCTCCCTCCCTCCCTCCCTTTCTCTTCCTTTCATGATCTGGACTACAACCTTAAACTTTCGCGTTGCTCTTTACCATTCCAAACTGCCTAATTCTTTTTTTTTTTTTAATTTTCCAGTTTAAATTTAGATTAGAAACAAGGTTGCTTCACAAGTCAGTTCCAGGTCCCTCTCCCTTTCCCTCCCCTCCTCCCGTGCCCTCCCCCACCCCCATTATCCCCTCATTTCCCCATGGGGGTGTCCATAGTCTGTCATTTCATATAGGGCAGGGCCTAGACCCTTCCCCAAGAGTTCAGGGTGAGAGTGCACCTCACATTGTTCTATGGGAGTCCAAAGTCCGTGTGTATACTCGGGATGGGTACTGATCTGCTGCCCAAGGCTCAATAGATTACCTAGGCCTCCTCACTGACACTCACATTCAGGGGGTCTTGATCAGTCCCATGCTGGATTCCCAGGCTGATGCCTGGGATTCAAGAGTTAACCTTTGTCAGGTCAGCTGTTTCTAGGGGTTAAACCAGCCCAGTCTTAATCCCTTTGGTCATCAGTCCTCCCTCAATCCCATGGCCAGAGAGTCTGGGAAAAAGAAACTTCATTCAGTGGCTGATCGAAGAAGAGGCAGACTCCCTCGGTTAAGTACTGAGCTGAACTCAAACTGCCTAATTCTTAAGTTCTTTGGGCCTCACTTGTTCCTATCTTTCATCAGGGACCTGTGTGAGAACAACAGGCCATGGGCCTGTGTTGTACTCTTTCGAAGTTTCCTCTGCCAAAGAAATTAGTCCATGATTCTTTGGTTTAGCTGCATGCAAATTCTCAGGATCCTGGCATTGTGCAGATAGATTCTTTGGTAAGGTAGCACATGAGTGGCCTCTTTCCCCAATCCTGGTAGAGTCCTTATTCTCCTCTGAAACCTCACAAACTACGCCTCTATGGCTCCATGTTCTTCTCAGGGTTGCTGACTTCTGAGCTTTTACTAGAACAAAGGCACATTAGACTCCTTTTACAATGTTCAATGGCTTTTTTTGCCCAAAGTTCTCAAATCAATTGTCTACATTATTTCTACAAAGCAAAAGTCAAACCTAAAAGCCACATAGGTTTTCCACAGCAATGAACTCACTCTTAATACCAATTTCTGAATTAGTTTCACGTCTGTTACTATGATTAAATACCCTGACAAAAAACTTTGGGGAGAAAGGACTTGTTTTGGTCACAGATGGATAGAGTAAATCACTGAGAGGCAAGGAAGGTTCTGAAGCAGGAGCAGAGACCTGACTCATCACATTGTGTATGGAAACGGAAGAAGAAAGAACGAATATCAGGCCAAACCTGACTATAAAGACCCCAAAGCCTTCCTCCAGCAAGGCTCCACTTGCTGAATGTTCTATAATTTTCCAAAACAGTGTCACTGAATGGAGACTTATGTATTTAAACACACAAGCCTCTGGAGACTATTTCATAATCAAAAGACAATTGCATAGACTTTTCTTTTAAAAATATTTATTTATACTTATTTACTTTTTTCTTCTCTCATAAATTACATCCTGACCACAGTTTCCCCTCCATCCTCTTCTCCAGTCTCTCCTCCCCAACTCCCTTCTCCTTTAGATCCACTCTTCATCCCTTACTCTTCAGAAAAGAAAAGGCCTCCTACAGATATCAACTGAACACAGCATAACAACAATAAATAAGACTAGGCACATGCCCTCATACCAAGGCTGGATGAGGCAATCCAGTAAAAGGAAAAGGGTCCCAGAATCAGGCAAAAGAGTCAGAGACAACCCCCACTCCCCCTGTTAGGAGTCCCACAAGAAGAGCAAGCTATGCAACTATGATATACATACAGAAGGCCTACATCAGACCCATACAGGCTCCCTGGTTGTTGCCCCAGTCTCTGTGAACCTCTAGGAGCTCTAGTCAGCCGATTCTGTGGGCTGCGTTTTTGTGGTGCATAGACTTCTCTTAAAGGAAATGTATAAAATGTCTATTGTGTAGCAGTTTACAATATAACCAAACAAAAGGAAAGCCTAGATGCTGCTTGCACTTCTGAGCAGAGCACTAGCCTGGGGAAAGGAGCACGGTGAGAGCAGACAACACATAAAATTCTGTGAGATTTCTGGGATAATGATTTCATCAAGTCTACATATTTCAAGAAGGGTTATTTCATAATTCTAAAAACCCAGTCACTACGTGGAGAGGAAAGGAACTTTTATACTTCAAAAGAACTTAAGAGGACAGTTTAATGGCTGCTAATCTAGAATATACTTTGACAAAAAATGATGTACATTGCCATAATGTAGAAGGAAACCTAAGAGTTAACGATAAAGAAATGAGAGACTTGCATCACATTCTAATATTAAAAATGAAGGTCTTAATTCTTGAGACAACTCTGTTTTAGTACTTCTTGTGAATTATTTGTAGTTTAGGGTCACATGCTTCCTTTGTAGTGAACTGAAATATTTAGTATGTGTAAACTAGAGAGGAAAAAATGCAGAAATGCAATTGCAAACAAACAAACAAAAGAGCAACTGCACTTATGAGTATACTGATATGGGTTGTTCTTATGTACCATCACCTGGAAGCAAGTGCCCAACCTTATAAATACAGAAAATTTCCTTTAATAAGAAAATACTGTTTCATGCTACCATAATGGGTTTCAAGGGGGTTTTATACAGTGTTCCTAACAAGATCATGACAGAACAAGCAAAGTAAAATCCTATCAAGATCAAAACTTAAAGTAACCATTTCAAAAGATAAAAGATGAAGAGTACTTTTTCATGCTAATCTTACACAAAAGCAGTCCATTCCATCATGCATAATTGATTATATGACTCTTTGTCATTGCAGAGTCCCCAGAACAACATCGTCAGTGGAAGGTAATTTCTCTTATATCTTATCCGAATTATTAACATCTTTGCATGAAATATATGAGTTATTGTACACTTGTATCTAAGTCCATGCAGACTACAATAGAAAGAGAAGACTCTGCTTCGAGTGAAGTATCAGCAACGAGGCATGTGAAATCCTTCCTCACAGGTGAATATTGCCATAATTTATGAACTGAGTGGTTCCATATATTTGAAATCCTTTCCTTCTAATTTGTATGCATCTGTTCCTCTAATTTCATGGATGGATTTGATGTAAATAATGAAAATATTGCTAAGCACTAGTTCTTAGCTGGGAAACATTCAGAAGTTATGAACGGCGGCTCAGAGAGTTTGAATTTTAAGTCTTAGTAACAGAGATGTTTCTGTAACCCTGTGGTCCTCTGGGACACTTGTAATTGGTTATGAGAGAGCATCATGTTCTCAAAGTTTGCTGGTTGCTAGAATGGGGTTGTAGTGCTTCATAGCTCTGTAGTCAGTTGCCTATGAAGCCATTAATGTGGGATGATCCAGAATTTACATGACATATTCCTGCACAGTATATGTGTCAATTACACTCATTAGTTGAACTCGAACATAAAGTCTATTGAGTATTTGTATCTGCTAACTTATGCATTGATTAATTTAGTGCCTTTTGACTATCATGGTAGAGGGTCTGTAGTAAGATTTCATATACTATGTTGATAAGCTATATTTTCCTAACATGTATAAATATTGTTCTGTATTATACAAAATCTCTAATACTAGGCTACATAAACTCAAAATCCAAATTCATGTACCTATACTCAACTTACCTTCTTTTAAGTTTTTATATTATTTTAAGTTTAAACTTGTATATGCGTGTTAGCATTTGCTTACATGTGTGTGTATATGCATACATGTGTGTGGGTATCCATGGAGATCAGAAAAGGGCATTAGATCTTCTGGAGGAAGAGGGAGACCTGCAATATAACATGAAAGGTAGGTGTAACAGCTGAAGAAAATGCCTAGCTGATGTCTGCAGTGTTACTCTGACAGTGTAGAGAGCAGTATCCAGCATGAGTTCTTTGATTCCATGTGTTTTTCAGTTTTACTTATGAAACTGCCATCTTTTATGGTTAGTGGGATATGTGCATAGTTCCATGAGATGTGTGTGATTCTGTGTACCTGACAACTTCTGCCCTCCATCTGTACTATGTATTGAAGCTTTTGGGAGTTACACATATCTTCTTAATTGATAAATATTAATCTGAATTTTAAATTTATTTTACTTTTGAGATTATAATATAATTACAATATTTCTTCTTTTCCTTTCCTTCCTTAAAAATCTCTTCTATACTCCTCCCCATTCTCCTCCAATTTCATGGCCTCTTTTCTCACTAACTGATATTGCATGCATATATGTATATACGTATATATGCATGAGTATAACATGCTCAGTCCATATAATGATACTTGTATGTATGCTTTCAGGGCTGACGGTTTAGCACTGGACAAGTTGGTGTGCTCTTCCCTCAGGAAGATCATCTCTCCCTCTCCCAGCTTTCCTCAGTAGCCTGTAGTTCTTTGTGTAGGGCTGTGCAGTTTTGAATGTTCATTGGTATCATCCTTGTTCAGCTCATGTTTAGTCAGTCATGTTGGTAAAACTTTACAGTGTAAGTTTCGGGTGTTACTAGGAGACACTGTCTCACAGCAGAGTCCCTGGTCCTCTGGCTCTTATACCCTTTCCGTTCCCTCCTGCAATGTTCCCTGAGTCTTAGGCTTGGGATTGTTTTGTAGATGTACCCTTTGGGATGGGTAATAAAATCCATCACTTATAGTTTTAAACTAATTATATTACAGCCAAGCCAACCATAAAAGCGTCAGAACAAGAATGGTGTGGTGGCAGAAATGTCCAAGGACAGGTACGTGAATATTTAAATTTAAACCTTTAAAGGTCATCCTTTTTATAGTAAACAATGTACCAGGAGTTAACCCATTGTTCTTGTTCCAGAGAACCAATGGATATTTAATTTTCAGTGTTAACATCATCCTAAGTACTTAAGCAGACTGGTACAAGTTAAGTTAAAGTATGCTTTTAGATTCTTAAAACACTTTCCATTATTTTCAATACTTAAAAACCTATACCAGACTTATGATTAAGCAGTGGAAGCTATGAACAGTGTTAGAGTGATAACCTCAGGATTTGGTTCATTCTAAAGAGATATCTTTTCTAGCGGTTCAAAGTTTGATGTTGCCCAATACCAGTCAGTGCTGCCAAGAAGGATTAAGCTTCATTTATTTCAGTCACTTGTGTTCTTGCTTCTGCCATGGAAGAGGATAGATGTGTACAATTAACCCCACTACCCATAGAGAGTGTGATTCCTTCCAGAATGGAGACTTTGGTGTTCTGTATACAAATAAGAAAGTTGCAATAAAGAAATTCGTTAAATATAATATTGCAGTAGACTGGCTTTACCTAGCATTACAACATACAGTGATTGCAGATAGCCCTGAAAATTTACATGAATGCACGTCACCATATGGACTAATAATTTTTTTACACTTTTTTTATTATATATTTAAATTAGAAACAAGCTTGTGTCCCATGTCAGTCCCAGCTCCTCCCCTAGTCCCCCATCTCCTCACCCAATCCCAACTCCATTACCCAGGGAGGGTAAGGCCCTCTATTATATTAAGGATTGCTGTAGTTCTATGTCTTGGTTTTGCTTGTAAAAACCTAAAGGTTATAGCAAATTTTATATATGTTTATATATTACCTTCATGATTGTTATTTTAATTTTCATATCGTGCAGACAACACAGTGCAAATACGCAGCTTGTACCTTACCCATGTTCAGTGAAAACACATTTCTCTTCATTATATTAAGGATTGCTGTAGTTCTATGTCTTGGTTTTGCTTGTAAAAACCTATAGGTTATAGCAAATGTTTATATATTTTTATTTAATCATAATAAAAATTTTGTATCAATAATTTTTTTCTGCAACCAACTATCTTATCAGTAAAAAATGTACTCAAATATTTACTACCTTAGTCACAAATGGAGTAACCACTACAGAGTTTTATTTGAATCAACTCCATATTTCTCTCGGTGTTAAAAGTATTGAAGTCATTGGAACTGTTCATAAGTAATGGCATTGTATGACTGGTATACATATCATAATTTGATGATATATGCATTAAAACCCTTGAAATTTTGTGAGGGAATGAAAATAATTAATATTCTGAAATCAATTCCTTGTTTAATTATGAACGTTGACTTCTCTAATATCTATGCACATGTCTCCTCTGAAAGTCCATTGTCAACTTTTATAACCAGAGATCCAATAAGATTAATGATACTTAAAATATGTATGAGAATCTATTAAAATTTAGTTTTTCAATTACGCTTCTTTTAGTTTCAGTCTAATTACTTTTGAAACAGAAAACTGAGATAATTTCTGGAAGATTATTAAATCTGTGTAACTCACTACTGATACTAATTTTAACATTATATCTTTAAACAACTCTGACCAAAGGACATTAGCAATTTATCTTTGGCTGAAGATCAAAGATATGAAAGGACAAGACTTGATGCAGAGAAAGGTAAGAATTCTATTTACAAACATTACTTGACAACATGCTTGCTTGCAAGGAATATTGAGCTATTTTCCCAGTGAAAGAAAAATTACTTCTTACATAATTATTAAGGAATAGGATATTTTCAGTTGCAATAATTATATCTTATGTTTTTCAAAGCAGGTCAAATTGAGAATATCACTGGGAGAGAAGTAGTGAAGATTAAGAAAGACAGAGAAGGGCTGGAAATACGGCTCAGTGAGTTAAAACATGGACTGCTAAGACTAATGACCAGAAACCCAGGTGGTGGAAAGAAAACTGACTCTTGGAAATTGTCCTCTGATGTCCACACTCATTCCATGGCACAAGACATTCACACACATACACATTCAAAGTATATCAATGTAATAAAAAATTTAAGAAGAAAGAGTATAGAAACCAAATTGAGGAAAATGAAGCAGGAGTATATAGGAAAGGCTGTGAAAAAAACTTTAGGAATAAACGATGGTATCCAATACGTGGGAAGAATTAGTGTGAGCTGATTGTACAAATGCTGTGTAAGTGGGCTGGGTAAAATGCTCCCAGTGAACCTTGTCATCTTGACCTCTGGGAAGTCACTAGGGATTAAAACAATGGGACATAAAGGTCTGCAGTTGATTTATAGCAGATAGGTCTGAGCATGGTGCCAAGTCACATATCTGAATAATTTCCATCACACACAGCGTGCTACCACATAAGAGAAAGATTAGGACATTAGGATTATTTATACAGTGTTAAGGAATGACAGAACTATATGGAGACTAATTATTTATTTAATACTACATTGAGATAACTTTTAAAAAATTTCATACATTTTATTTTTATTCTATTTTCCTTTTCCCAAGTCTTCTCAGAGTCTCACAACCTCCATACCCATCCATGTTCTTTTCCACTCTCAAAAAATAAAATCCTTAATCACAAAAACAAACCCCAAAGACAAAAAACACCAAATCATAACAAAAAGGACACACACGCACACACACACACACACACCACCATCAAACAAACAAAACTGTGGAGTCCATTTTGTGTTGATCAATTATTTATGGGCATGGGGCCTATCTTGGAGTCATGCTGATGTATCCAGTTTCATGCCATTGGTGAAAACTGATTTTTTCCTGTCACAGCAATTATCAATTGCAAATAGCTTCTTTGTTAGGGGTGGGACTTTGTGTCTACTTTTCACTGTTGGATTTTTGTCTAATTCTTGCTGTCACAGTTTCTGTGAGTTTATATGTGTAGTGTTCACAAGTGCCAAAAGCATGTTTAAAGGGTTATTGTACCTTATGTCATTTCAATCTGGGAGACCTAATAGGGAAAAATAACTTGAGGTTTTAGGTTCTATATTCTAAAAAATTAAGTTATGGTAATGGAATATGGACCATTACATAGTGATCAACATTTTTACAGTTTGTTGGGAGCCATGTTCCAAATACCAGTTGTGGTATTTGGTCCTCCATTTGAAGTTGTCTTGTGATGCAGTTGCTGCCAGAGCTGTGAACTGAATTTTAATGACAAGTTCAGAGACATCTTCTAAGGAAAGGTGCACAAATAACCACTGGGTAATGATTCAACACACACCGGGGACAGAAGAAAGCACAGACTTTGTTATTAGTCATTTCTCTTTTCCTGGCCAGTGGAGAAGAATGCAAACAGGCGAACAACAAAGCAATATAACATCATATGGCTCAAAATGTAGAAATGAAAAAATAAAAAGGTGAATGATGTGGAGACTTTTCACAGAAGGGCCAACATTTTAAATGGATATATCTGACAACTTCCATTTCCCTCAGTTTAGCAACAATAACTTCAAACGATGGACTTAAATTTCCTAATAAAAACATTTTGAGCCATATTCCTTTAGGAGAACAGTACCAGTAGGAACTTTCTTAAAACCATGACTTATCTAATCCCAGTTTCTTGGATCCTTTAGCAATTTCATCTCACGGAGGGGCCTTTAAGCCCAGTCAAAACGTGACTGGTTACTCTCACAGCATCTGTGCCAGTATTACACCAGTATGTCATGCAGGCAGGTCACTGTTGATGCAGGGGTCGTCACTGTGTGAAATTGATAAAATATTTCTTCACCAGTGGTGTGCCCAAATCAAAGTTCTAAACAAGAAATTAAATATCAATCTTGGATTATCACAAATTATTAGTTGTCTCCCTATAATATTATTAGGACCATATATTTTTTATCAAAAATTGTCTTTGTAGTTTATTTTAACTAATTATATGGATTTGTCAGAATCAGATGTACTCTTGTCATCAGAGGAAGAGAAAGAATGGCCTGATGACTGTGAAGGGGAACATCTAAAGGTAAGTAAATGTCTACATAAATTCTCTTTTTAGATTTTCACTGGAAAATGTTGAACTCATGAATCACATGAAATTACTTTTTGACTTACATTGAAAATCAATAGACTGTGATTTAATATTTAACATCAGCTTCATAGCTAGGAAATATTCCAGTTTTAGACTCAACAGTGGCATAAAATAAACTTTATCCCTGGAATTCTTTCAATTAAGAAATCATTTTTTGTCTTTTTAAGTCCTTTAATGTCTTTACATGTTAATGACAGTCAAATTTGAATTGTATTAGTCATAAATTAAAAATTTGAGCAATATAACAGCAATTTCCTCTGAATTTAATTCATTCTAAAGAGTTATTATCTTTGTGACTCAAAATTTGTACTACCTATTCCTAATCAGTATTTCACAGCTTAAAGTTTCAATATATCATTTGGTTCTCTAGTTTTGTTTTCAACACAATTACTTAAGACATAAAAATTAAACTTTTTTGAGACTTGATTAGGAAATCTTTATACTACTTGTTGATGCTAATTTAAAAATATGTTTAAGCAACCTCAACCAAAGGGCACTGCACATTCATCCATGGCTAAAGATGAAAGAGGAGCAGATGTCATAAGTGACCAAGAGAAAGGTAAGAACTCTATTTTATTAAAAAATTCCATTCAAGAGTCTGAGGGAGATTTCTCATTGCATAAAAGCAATTGCCACTCAGGCCTGACAAGTCAAATTTAATTCCCAGAACCCATGTAAAAAGCTCAACATGGTGGTACACATCTGCTGCAAAAATGGGAGGGAGAGACAGCAGACTCAACTGGCAGTTTACAGGCCAGCTAACCTCTAGTATGCTGTTCAGCTGAAAGAAAAAAAGAAACCTTGGCTCAATGAGGTGGAAGATGAGAATCAAATGGGACCTCTGACCTCCTCTGACCTTCACATGTGCTAACTGAACACACACACACACACACACACACACACACACACACATCTCCTACATTCACAACACACAAACACATACACATACATACCACACACACATCTCCCAAATTCACAATGTATGTATACACACACACCACAAAAAAACTTTAAAATCCACCTGACAATGCTTAAACAGGAGTGACATATTTTCCTACCCACATCCAACATAACCTATTGTGTATTTAAGTTATAATATTTTAAACGGAGGGACTAGGAGAAACACTCAGTTGGCAATGTTATGGCATTTTAAGTAAGGATATGAATTTGAACTCCTTGCATTTTCAGAGTATGTTCTTGCATTTTAAGTGTAAGGATATAAGCTTGAACCCCTGAGCCCACATAAAAAGGCTTGGTCTTATATGCTTGTAGGAAAGCAGGAGCAGTAGAATACCTGGGGCTCACACACCAGCCAGTCTAGGTTAAATTATGAGCTCCAGGACGTGAGAGACTCTGACTTAAAAGAAGTAGACAGTGTTCTTGAGGATGACACCCCAAGTTTCCTCCACTTGCATATGCATTCAATTGTTTGTACACCTGCACACACATGTGTACCCATATAAATATGAGCACACACACATATAAGAACATTCTATAAGTATTTCAAATGACAACAATTTATATAACTCCCCAAATCCAGAAAAGGGTCAAACTGAGAGTAACACTGGAGATGAGTTACATTATTAGGTGTTTCTCAACTGATGAATACTACAATATGAGAAGTTGCAGAGGGGTTGGAATAAAGGTGAAGACAGTCAAGAGCATAGGAAGTGCATAAAGAATAATCAGGTAGTATTATCTGAGTATGGACTGTGAAAATAAAGTTATTTTAATGAGAAATGGAGGGATATTCGCCTTGTAGGAAGAGGTATCTTAGAGCCAAATATGCATGTGAAGTTCAGCTTCAATGTCAGCATCTGTGCACCTTAGAGTCACACGCTGTAACTTTGAGCTTCACATAAAGGTTCATGGTGGGATGCACATCTAATACTGTATTTTTAGCCTTTTACAGCTACTATCAAATACTCTGATTCTATAAACAGCAGGTTGATCATGACTATCTTTAGGCTGATGGTTTTGTTGTTTAACATTTCTTTGCTATAGAATTTCCTTCCCTGAATCTTCCCTCCATCTTTCTGAACTTAGTCTACAGGAGCCAAGTTCAGGCCTTCTTCTGAAGGGCCACCCATCCCTGACATACTTGATTACATGTTTTAAATTCTGGCATTAGATCCTAATAACTCAGAAAACAATTTAGAAACAAATTGGTTACTCACACAATACAATGAATCAATGCAATTTTGGAAAAAAAGCACACCACGATCGTGTATTATGCTGACTGTTGGACTGATCACTAAGGTAAGGTAATTAGTAAGCGCTAATTATTTTGTGAAAACTCAGTTTATTTTTATTTGACAATCCCATTCCATTACTATAAACTTCTTATGTTTTAGATTCTGAGACTTTATGAGAAATATTTCTTTAAAAATGTAGGATATTAAAAAAGCACCTTGATTCCCTGCACTTGAGAAGCAGAGGTAGACAGATGTCTGTGAATTCAAGGCTGGTCTGCTCTACAAAGTGAGTTCCAGCACAAACAAAGCTATAGAAAGAAACCCTGTCTCAGGAGGGAAAGGGGTATTGTAGTCTTCATAACAATCCATATGTACCAGCAAAGGAGAAATATTTTTTGCATCACTATTTTTAATGCTAATATACAGCCTAATCAAATTAGAAAGCTTTCTTTAACAAAACACTGATTTGTGTATTTCCCTGGATTTTATGGCTGTGTTCTCCTTCCTGAATTAATAATGTGGAAAAAACAAATTCTTATTGTGAAAGTTCTACTGGCAATATATGCAGTGTCATGTTCCTGTTCATTCTGACATCTAGGTTAGATGATACCATTTCACAAAAGAGGCCATCTTTCCCTCCATCAGTTAGGAATGAAACACTGGCATCAATACGAGAGTCTTTTCTATTTAGTGGTGTTTACTATGTAATCTCACCTTGGAACGTTTCATGTAATTGAAGTCAAAACCTCGTTTTGTACTTGACTTTTACTCTGTCTCCTAATAAGACTACAACAAAGCAAGTGAAGATAAAGCAAACCCCAGTCTTAAAGGAAATATTCCCAGTGATAAGTCTGATGATTAGTTTCCACACTGATTCTGCATGTAATCTTGATTGACCTTGTCACATTAACATGCAATTAATTGCAAGTGTTTGGTTTCCCAGGCCTTTCTCCTGAATATCCTGAATTAAAGGTAACAATGTTTACATTTTTGTTCAGTTTCCTTAACTTCCTACTCTATGATGTACAGAAGTATCATTGAACGTCTTGTTTCAAACCCATGCAGGATGCCATTGAAAAACAAGATTCTGTGTTAACTAAAGACTCAACAGTGAATCAGGAAAAATCATTAATGACAGGTACATTTATCAATAGTTATTTCCCCAAAACAAGTACTTACGTTTTTTTGTTTGTTTGTTTTGTTTTTTGTTTTTCGAGACAGGGTTTCTCTGTATTGCTTTGGAGCCTCTCCTGGAACTCATTCAGTAGACCAGGCTGGTCTTGAACTCAGAGATTCACCTGCCTCTGCCTGGCAAGTACTTATTAATACTTGAAATATCCAGTTTTTTTATTCCCTATGACCTAGTTCTCTAATTTGGTGGAAGGATTAAATGCAAAAATGTAAATATCATTTAAGCATAATTGCCTAAATTCAAGATATAATAAAAACATAAAGAAGTGTTCTAATAAAAATGAACCTGCTGTGGAAACAGTCTATGGATAATATTCATATAATTTGTGTTCTAATTAATGTACTGCTTAAGTCAGTGACCCTAGTCAACCATGATATCTACACTGTAGCAGGAATTTACCTATTGCAATGTAATGAAACAGATTGTCTTACCTATCCCTAACCAAAAAAAATTAAGTATATATTTTAGAACAGTTTCAATTACATGAAAGCACAGTTACTGGCAACAGCAAATCCAAGTTCATATAATAATTGAATTGATACCTTTTTGATGTTTTTTCTTCTAGTTTGGCTATAATTATATTTTTATCAACATAAATTGGGTTTGAGTTCTCCCTAAGACTCACTTATGTACAGTGGGAGTGAACGGAAACCTATCTATCATTTAATTTATTAATGAGATTTGCTTTGCAAGAAACATACATTCATGAGAAATATTAAATAAAATTCACCAACACCAGGAGATGGGAGAAAAGTATGAAAGTAAACAGAAATCACTCAATCATTTCACTTAGCTTACCCCGTGTCGGTGTCTAGTTGTTAGTGTCTGGTTATTTAGGGGTTCAAGTTTATATTTACACTCTTTTAATTATTTTTCCTTAAGTATTTTTTGAGCTAGTATTGTTAAATGTTCTTGCCACTCAAAAATGTTATTCTTCTCATATCTAGAGCTGATATGCCTTGGTTGCAAAAGGGAGAACGAACCTTTGCTTTAAATGTCAGTGTTTAAGCATGTTACCACTTAACACATCTTGTACAGTAAACCTTAATGATCCGATTCCTTATTGGTCCTCCCTTTCCAGCCCTTGACCATCTTTACCAACTTCTCTTGCACTCCTAATGAGATGATGATGTCTACCTCAACCCTACCTGTAATTTTTTTTTAATTTTAAATAGCTTGTTTTACATGTCAATCCCAGTTCCCTCTCCCTCCCCTCCTCCCGCACTCCCCTTCCACCCTCCCTCCCACCCTATTGCCAAATCCTTCCACATAGGGGATGTCTAGAGTCTATCATTTTACTCTTGGTAGGGTCAAGGCACTCACCTAAGAGTCCAGGCTGAGAGAGCATCTCTCTTTGTGCTATAGGCACATGAAGACAGATTGTATACCAGGGATAGACACTGATCCACAGCTCAGAGCCCCATAGGTTGTCCAGGCCTTCTCACTGACACTCACATTTGGGGGGTCCAGATCAGTCCCATTCTGGCCTCCCCACTGTCGGTCTGGGGTCCAAGAGCACTCCCCTGTTCAGATCAGCTGTCTCTGCTGGTTTTGCCAGCCCATTCTTTGCCAATTTGCTCATCATTCCTCTCTCTCTGTCACTGGGTTCCTTGGGTTCAGTTCAGTGCTTAGTTGTGTGTTTGCCTCTGCTTCCATCAGTCCCAGGATGAAGGCTCCCGGATAGTTATAGACATCAAGTTCATTATCAGGAATGGGCATTCAAGGTGGTCCTTCCACTATTGCTTAGCTTGCCAATTGATGTTATACCTTTAGATCACTCGAGGTCACTCTGGTGCCTGATCTGTCTTCGATCCTATGATTCCCTCTTCCCCCTATTCTACCCCCACCCCCTCAACTTCCTGTCCCCCATGACCAACTCCCTTCCTCTTTACCCCCTCTATTCTTCCCAGGTCCCACTACCCCCCCTCGCCCTGTTCCCCATCCATTCAGAGGATCTTGTCTCCATCCTCTTCTCTTGGGTATTATGCATATATGCATATCTTCTGTAATTTTAAACACCTGCAAGTTGAAACTCTGTTTCCCTTAGTATGCCTCACATGCTACTTTACCATCCTGGTCACTGTATACTAACCCTCTTGTTAAGAGAAAAATCAAATAATTCTCATGTAAGGGCACTGCTGCATTGTTTGCTTGTCCCTTTAAATTCCAGAGAAAAATAAGTAAAATACTAATTTTACAAAATTATAAAAAATTTATCACTTCTAAGACTGGAAATAAAATAGGCATGTGAATAAGTAATTTACACTTCAAATGAAAAATGAAGTGTTAAGGGTGCTGTGAGGAAAGCAACATGTGTGAGCATCAGGAAAAAGAAGTAGAATCAAGGGATATTTAACTTATACTGAGGTAGGGAACGATTTGTCAAAGTAGTAGATACAAACAATGCATGAATATGGTGTAATCAGGTCAAGAATTTTCATAGATGATCTTCGATGTGTTACTTTTAGCAAATACAGAAGAATGAGGGCTGTGAGTATATGCGATTCATAATGACAATTTTGTTACTGAAGATGTTTTCATTTCTGTTTATTGAAATAATAAGTGCATATGTCTTTGGCATGTATATAAGGGGATGATGACTCCTACTGCCTATGTATAAGGTCTATGAAGCTTTGATAATGGCATTTATTTTCTGAATCAGGAAACATCTAGTTGAATATCAAGATATACTTAAACATTTTGTTGCAAAATAAAAACCTGACATTTAATTGTTCACTTTTAAAATTTTTGTATCTGTGGTTTTGCAGGTGATAGTGTTTATTTCACTGCTTTCTTGGCTGACTTTACATATATGTGTTTGTCAGGGGCAGAAACTGTACAACTGAGGTTGGAGGAAGAACAGACAGAATGGTGTGGTAGTAACAAGAAGCAGAGGAAGGTATTTAGGAATTTGCATTTTCACATTAAGGTTCTTCTCCTTACCCTTGGATTTCTTGCATAGTCTTTTCATCACTGTATAAATTCCAACTATTTGAAAAGTAAAAAACATAAAACAATGGACTTCTCTGCTAAGTCAATTGTATGAAAAAATAGAGATGTGATTTAGAATGTATATATAAGGATCTCAATATATCTGCTATATCTCTATTTATCATCTATCTATCTATAAATCTATCTGTCTATCATCTGTCTATCTACATATCTATGCTTATTTTTTTAGGACATGCTTCTTTTACTTCTATCCAGTTAATCTTTTTTTAACAGTAACTTTGTAATTTTTACTTTATTCTTTCAGTGCTTCCTTAGTAGATAATCACATACATAGACAGAAATTTGTTATCTACATGGCAAATTATATCTTTATATCCAGTTAATCTTAAGAAAAGATATTGTGATGTTCTTGGAGAGCAGTCAGGAAATCTCTGTGCAAGTCCTTACTGATCCTAATTTTAACAGCCTGTTTTGCAGCAACTTCAACCGAAACGGAATGATCAAGTGTCTTTAGATCCTGAAAAACATGTGAAAAATTCAGGAGTTGCTGAAGAGAGAGGTAAGAATTCTATTAATAGTCATTGCAAGAAATTCCCATTAAAACATGAAGATGGAGCTACTTTCTTCACCAAGGAAAACTGCCCAACAATGTTCATGAACTAGTCTAACATGACAGAAATCTGTATATTCTCAAGCCCCTGACAGAGTTATGTCATTGAAAGTGTCCCTGATAAAGCTAATGTATGATATGAAGTATTAATATCTTTACTCAATCTGAGAAACATCCAGAAATGGAACAGTATTTAAAAAAGAAGGAACAAAGATTAAAGTAGACAAAGTTACCAAGATTCAATGTGAGCCCAGGGTGAGAGTACATCTCACATTGTTGGATGGGAGTCCAAAGCCCATTTGTATACCCGAGATAAATACTGATCTATTGCCCAAGGCTCAATAGATTGCCTAGGCCTCTTCACTGACACCCACATTCAGGGGGTCTTGATCAGTCCCATGATGGATTCCCAGCCATCAGTCTGCGATTCAAGAGCTAACCCTTGTCAGGTCAGCTGTTTCTGGGGATTAAACCAGCCTAGTCTTAAACCCTTTGGTCATCAGTCCTCCGTCTCTGTCACTGGATTTCTTGAGTTCAGGTCTGTGCTTAGCCGTGGGGGTCTGCCTCTGCTTCCATCAGCCAATCAATGAAGGTTCTGTTTCCCAGACTCTCTGGCCATGGGATTGTAGGCTGGCACTCCCCAGATCTATGTCTAAAATCCATATATGAGAGCATACATGCCATGTTTCTCTTTTTGTAACTGGGTTACCTCACTCAGGATGGTTTCTTCTAGTGTAGTGCCATCCTTTTGCCTGCAAATTTCAGGATTCCATTTTTTTTTCTGCTGAATAGTACTCCATTGTATAAATGTACCACATTTTCTCTATCCACTCTTCGGTTGAGGGGCATCTAGGTTGATTCCAAGTTCTGGCTATTACAAATAATGTTGCTATGAACATAGTGGAACAGACATCCTTGCTGTATGAATGAACAAACTTTTAAGGTAGTTAAAAGGAAAGTGTACATGCTGACCTGGAGAATGAGAAATGTTATCCAGGAAGGATTCAGTCAGTTATCATGAAATTTCATAAGAAGGGAGAGGCTAGTCAATAAGTAGAGCAAAGTATTTTACACAGGAAGGACATAAGAAGTGTAAGACATAATTCAATTAAGAAAATGTCTAGAAACATTTCTCTCCCCAGGAGGAGAATAGTGTGCAGTGTGGAAGTATGTGCTTCCATGGGCCAACTCTCTTAGGGTTTTTATTGTTGTGAAGAAACACCACGACCACAGCAACTCTTATGAAAAAACATTTAATCGAGGGGGCTGCTTACAGTTTCAGAGCTTCAGTCCATTATTATCATGGCAGGGAACTTGGTGGTGTACAAGAGAAACAGCTGAGAGTCCGACATCTTGCAGGCAACAGGAAGTCGACTCAAATCCCACCCCACAGAGACATACTTCCTCCAACAAGGCCATGCCTCCTAATAGTGCCACTCCCTTTGGGGGCTATATCCTTTAAAACCATCATACCAACCAATTCTGTGTTAGTTTGGGTCTACTGGAGTCATTTGTGCATGCTTCTTTAACATGTGTGGTTAACTTTAACTCGGTGCTTCTGCCTATGTGTCTATTCGGTGTATGACTCTCTAAATAATTGTATTCATTTCTCAAGCTAGTAAATACCTACTTGAATATTAAGGTGACTCTAATCATTTCATTGTTAAGTTAAAAACCCAACTCTTCTTTGTTTACTTTTTCAACACTTGTATTGCCAGTTGAGTAGATGATGATGGTTCTTCCACTGTTTTAATGTCTGGTTTTAACCACCCTATGTATCTCTTAGGAGCCACAACAATACAACCGGGGCCAAAGACAGAACAAACAGGAAGATTTGTCAGTGACAAGAAGCAGAGGAAGGTACTTAGGAGTTTACATTTTCCTTTAAGATTCTTATCATTGGTGAATGGTTAACACAGGCTGAGGCAGTTACAAGTCACACTGTCCTGGAGAATAATGGGATCATGTCTAATATCTAATTTTGGAACTTTTTGTCAACTGTGCCGAGTACAACATTTTCAGAACCTACAGCCATTAACTCCTCTTCAGCCTTATCCTTGGATTTCTTTCACAACCTTTTCTTATTGCTGGAGTTCCAGTCTCATAACATCTTACCTAATACAGAGTGAGACCAGATTTGAACTGGTGACTAAGTGGTTTAAAGTATGAACAGTAAAAGAATGACCCTTCCTGAGCCTGATTAATGCTATGATGATCATTCCCAATGACTGAAAATTCATCTAAGATTTCCTACTAACCAGCAGCACAGAAGAGGGTAAGGTATATTTTCCTCTGGACTCTTGCTGCCTTCATTATCTCAGGTGTGTGAGTGGATAGGGAGGCACATTGGACCCCACTAACAATAAATAGAATGCTGTCTTCTAGAATGGCCTCTCTCGTGTTATGCTCCACATGATCACCTTTGAGGTTATCGTTAATTCAGTGATGGATATCAGCAAGCATGATGAAATGTTACGCATTGACTTTGTGTTATAATAAATTGAGATAGGCATTCAGTTGTAAGGCTGAGATTAAGGGACCATGGAAAGGCTGCTACACACATTTGACATTAGTGCTTAGGAAGCTGAAGCTAGAGGACTGCCTCAGAAATTAAAATTAAAATGATGTAAAGAATGGAGATAGAGCTATTGTCACCCTGTCAAACACTTCTGGTACTTAAAAATTATACATATATTATATACAACAAAGATACATGAGAAAGAAAATATAGTCCTAAGATGAAGAGAAAATGGAAGGTCATCAGGACTGTCACAGTAATGAAATGATTCTTAGGGACCTTGCCCATGACCACAAGCAGAGGGATGGGGGTTGGGGGCAGAACAGTGTGACTATGACTGTGTGGAGGCAGATAATGTGTTCTATACTATTTGGTTTGACACAACACTGGGCAAACTTCTAATGCTTTCTTTTGTAGTGATTTAGAGGTGATTTGGGACATCTCAATAATGTGTTATCACTATAAAAACCAGCTATGTAAATTGTTATCCATGTCATGTTTTAAATAAATTCCCTAGGCATGAACATGATCATAGGATTTGGTTACATTTGCTCTGCCTTCATTATACAACTGGATTTTGAAGTTCATTTGTATCGTTCCTTTTTAATCTTTATACACCTTTAAAAGTTCTCTCTTAATAGGTATGGAAACCTGATAGGGCATATTTAATGTTTTCATGTTCTTATTTAACTGTAAGGTAAAGAAGATTTTCAAACTTTACCTGGTCTCTCTGAGTAGCCATGTTGTTATCAATGGAAAATTTATCCAGTGTGTTTAGGGCTTTAATTCCAACAGGACCAACTATAACAGTGTTCCATTTATTCTAAACAGCTTACATAATAAAAGCACACTTCATCTGCATTTCTTCTTTTGATGGGAAATGTTTCTGTCTATGTAAATCTCAATGTCCCAACCTGTAGCAGCAAGAAAATAAGATTTGTTTAAACACTGGTGGTCATGTGAAGATTGCATGTACTAGTAATGCATTCTGACGTTAACCTCTTGTTTAAAGATGCCCAGTGTAGACTCTTCTGTCTATGGTGATGTCTCCTCTGGTCTTCTGTGATCAGTTACCATATGAAGGAAAATGTAGACGTGATGTAGAGAGCATATGTAAGGATCTCATCATATTTTTTGTTTTTCTGTAGTGCATCCTTTATTTACATCCAGTTGCTTTTGATATGAGATCTAGCTATATCTTGGGAAGGTTTTAGAAAACCTCTGTGAAGCTCCTTACCTATGCTCATTTTATCAGCCCATCTTTGAGCGATTTCAACCAAAGTGGAGTGCTCAGGCGTTTATGGGTCCTGAAGAAAGTGGAGAAAACACAGGAGCCACTGAAGAGAAAGGTGAGAATACTGTTAATAAAAAGCCATTTAAAGAAATACCTATTAAGACAGGAAGAAGGAAACATCCTTCACTCAACATGTTTGCTAACTTGGAGGAAATAATCTTTATTTCTTAAGTTTCTAAAGGAGGTTCCATTGTGAGTGTTGGTGAGGAGGCTAAAGTAGAATTCAAATTACCAGAGTTTTTGTTTGAAATGAGAAATTAGAGGAAACAGCAGAGTGTCTAGGAAGAGAGGGCAAAGACTGAAATAGGAGGTGTTACAGGCAGTAAATAAAGGGAAATGAGGTTGCTGTATATAGTTGCAAGCATCTTTGCAAGATGCAAGTCAGTTGCATTAGAAACATAGGAAAATATAAGGCAGAAGCATCAAAGAGTCTAATCTAAGAGACGAAGAGTAGAAAGAAGAGTCACCAGGCCTCCTCCATTCCTTATTACTGGTCAGCAGTAAGAGTGGAAGTACTAGGCATTTTGGAGCTAGGGTTTCTTCACAATAGCTAAACGCAAGCAGCTATATCCAGTTGTACATGCACACACTGTTGTCATGGATAGTGTGGCTCCTTCCATTCAATACTTCTCTGCCTTCCACATTCCTGTGCTTCCTTCCTTTCTACCTTCCCAAACCCACAGTTCAGGAAAGCTCCTATGTATGCCCATCACTGACATGTTTGTTTATCTCCAATGCATTCTAGAACACGAACCTAGTAAAAACTCAAGAAACAATTTCTGGTGTATTCTCTACTTTCTATGCTTAATTTTCTCTTCTCTCCTTCTAAGCTTTGTTCTCTGTATTTAGACAACTTGTGGTTTTCAGGGAGAGTCTCCTGTTCATTGCAAAGTCAGGTTTCTTTGGAAAGAGGTGAGAGCTATATTTATCTGTGTGGACAAGGATAAGTATTTAAAATTCAGTTAGAAATTATACTGCTAGAGCGAAGTGATGGCCACAGGTTCTTTTTCTAAGATCCATGGCTTCCTAGTCTCAAGCAGTTGGCTGGGTTTCTAGTAGCAGGCATGATTTCCCTTCGGTTGAGCAGGCCTGCTATTTCTGCCTGGTATTTCCAGGACCACTTACCTCTAGCTGAGATAAAATGTTTAACCCCTGCCTCAGTACATTGTTTTACACATATCTGCTTTGATTTCTGCCCAACCTAACAGTATATTTACTAGGGATCTCTGTGTTGTTTCTCTCTCATGATGAGGTGCTGCAATGCAACAAAGCTGACTATTGCAGTGTCTCACTGGCAGCAGCTTATATAGCACTCAGTCACTGTCCTTTGAGTCTCCATTGGGATCTGTGAAACTCAAGTTCTTATCTCCATTTGCCAGTATGTCAGTGCTGGGAGCACATGGATCACAAGAATTTTATGTTCTTCTTAGAAGCCATCAAATGCATCATGTAAAAACTATCAAAACAAAACAAAACATTTAAATTACAAAGAAATTCCACTTTAGATGTTTGATGCTTTCTCTTTAGTCCAGTATAAAAGGGGTGTAGTGCTTTCCAGAGGGCTGACTGGGACCATTAGGTTTACAGGTGCCACCATTTTGGCTTGTGCCATGTGGTAGCATTAACCAAGATTGTGGTGAAGTCATATGGCATTTGCTTTCTTTATGGTATCATTAGCAAGGTGACCAAGTCATATGGTTGCTCCTATCTTGATGAGTTCCCACAGCCAAGGTGGCAGAAAATCACATGGTTGTTTTCTGCTCAAGGTGAACTCAGGCTGTGTTAAAGTGAGTCCATACCCCACCAGGGCATGAGTCCCTGGTGGATCAACCATTTTGTAGAACTAATGTGAGTCATTACACCCTTTGTTTAAAAATATGCTTTATGTAGGTAGACTCCTGTGGGGGTAGGATGAGATGGGACAGGTTACCTAGGTAGGTAGACCCAAAAATAAAGAGGGGAAGAGATTTCACAGTCTCAGTTCATAAAGCTAAATCCATAAGCCGCTGATACAGTAGCTGGATTCACAACACAGGTTTCTCTCAGAAGAGATAAGGAATAAGAGATGAAGAGCCCATGGGAAGTAACTCTGTAAGGTGGTGGTTCTTATCCTGTGGCTTGTGACCTCTTGAGCGAGGTCACTTAGCTATCAGATATTTACATTACCATTCACAGCAGTAGCAAAATTATGTTATGAAGAAACTATGAAAATCATTCTATGGCTGGGGGCCACCACAACATGAGGAACTGTGTTAAAGGGTTGCAGCATTAAGGAAGGTTGAGAAACATCTCTTAGGGTCTAAGAGCTGTTACCATCCCAGTTCCAGGACAGGGGGCGGACTGGGCTGTTTTGTCCTCCTTTTCATAACCACAGAGTCAGAGGCCTATCTTGACCTAGGACAGGGGTGTGTAGGGAAAATCTGCTTGAGTCTGGAGTGGGAAGGCTAAATCCCCTCGAGCGTCAGCTTCTCCATTTAAGCAGCACAGGGAAATAACTTTGTCTGCTCTGCTTTGACAAGGAGGGGCCTAGCAGCCAGACTATCATCTGAAAGAGTTTAGGGGATTAGTTTAGAAGTTTGAGATGGTAAAACCCTAAGTGTTGAGGTGATGGGAGGGACAGGAGTGGAGATGGAAAGGGGGCCTGAAGGTGGGGGTTTCACATCATATGCCATTCAGTCTTAGGAAGCTGTCTGATCAGTGAAACCTTGATCTCCGAAAGTGTTTTCCAGTGGGTATCGGGTCCAGACCTCAGTTGACAGGTGTACTGATGCCTTGAGATTTGTTTTCAGGCAAACCAAACATATGGGTAGGGATGTAGATCTTGGTCCCTATTTTAGGCAAGGTAAGAATGATGTTAGTTTCTGGTAGTAAGTCTTTACTTATAACCAGAAAGTGGCTAGAAACAAGTGACCAGGGTCTAGAATGGGCATCCCCAATTCCAGTGACAGGTCAGGCACAGCTGGAGACAGAAAGCTGGAGAACTCTCAGGGTACAGATGAGGGTGAAAATCTAGGGCTCCTGAAGGCTGAACCAGGATGTTGGAAGCCCTGTTGTGTTGAGTGACAGAAGGCCTCTACTCTGGAGGTCAAAGGGGAGGGAGAGAGTGAGAGGGGACCCAAACTAAGTTTACATGGCATACCAAACACCCACAGGCTTCAAGTCCCTACTGGTGGCTATTACAGCCTAGTGAACACAGAGAGCTGCCATGCTCTCAGTGGGATGGGTCTCAGAAAAGGAAGACTGGTAAAAGAAGAGAGAAAAAGTCACCAAAAGAGACAGGCTGGGATTTGGGGCCCCAAACTCAGCCTGTGTTTTGGCACCAAATGTTAGAACTGACAGAGGCCACTTGGGAATAAAGGAAGTACAGACCAGTCTCCATGGGAGCAGAATTGTATTTCAAAGTGTTAGGTACCAATAGAGGTTGGTGTGGTGATCTTACCAGGATCTACCTCACATCCCACAGATGTGACCAGTCAAGTCAGTTCTTCTGTCTGAGTTTCTCAGCCCACCTGAGGGCTTTTCATCCTTAAGCCTTCAGCCAGGCTGGAGGGTTAGGAAACAATAATGACGGTGGGAGGGGGTTACAGGGAAGAAATGATCTGACGGGGCGTGTGTGTGCAAAAGCTCCAGCTAGGGAAGGAGAATGAGGTGAACATATGAGAAGGAGGGAGCAGGATAAAACAACAGTAAGATTGTCTGAAAAAAGGCCACAAGGAATCGTGCTATTGAGTATCTATCTGAAGAAAAGCCTAAGTCCATGCACAAATACATGCATACATATGTATATAAATTTTATAGTACACACACACACACACACACACACACACACACACACACACACACACATTTATCTGGGCTGATAATACCATAAGAGCAAAAGGCATGAGAAAGCCTCTATTGAATTGTTGGTCAGGGTTGTCTAAGAGGCTCCCAAAGCTTAGAGGAGTGTCTGGGCTGGGCCCCGTGTGTGAAGTGCACGGTGTTCTCTGCAATAGGTACTTCCCTTCCATCTCTGGAGGACAACCAAGGGTGACAGTCTGTGTCGTTCATGTGAGTCCATATAGCCTTTACACTTTGTGTCTTAAGCTAGCTGCATTTTGTTTCTTTTTCTGGGACCACTTGTGCGTGCTTCAGCATTGTGCCTGTCCTGTGTATCGATTTGCTATGCGAATCTCTAGATAGCGGCACACATTTCCCAAGCTCGTTGAATAGTAAAGCTTTCATGAGTGTTTGATTGCTAAATTATCATTATTATTATTATTAAAATATTACTTTGATTTTCAACATTTGTGTCACCAGTTAAGTAGATGTTCATGGTTATTTCACTGTTTTTTTAATGTGTGCTTTTGACTACTCTATGTAACCCCCAGGAGCCACAACAGTACAACCAAGGCCAAAGACAGAACAAGCAGGAAGGTTTGGCAGGGACAAGAAGCGGCGGAAGGTACTCAGGCGAACATTCTAGCTGTGTCTTGGGAAGGTGTTAGGAGACCTCTGTGCAGCATCTTACCTATGCTCATTTTATCAGTCCATCTTCGAGCGATTTCAACCAACGTGGAGTACTCGGTTGTTTATGGGCCCTGAAGAAAGTGGAGAAAACACAGGAGCTGTTGAAGAGAAAGGTGAGAATTCGGTTAACAAAAAGTTGTTATGAGAATAATTGTTAAAACAGGAAGAAAAAGAGATAGTTTCTTCACAAAAGAAAACTGATGACAAATATTTATGAATAAAAGTAAACATCAAATGTAATTTACTTCCTGATTTATTTTTACATTTTGTGGGTGTTATAAGAGTCTCTTATTAAAAAGTATATGATCTGATATCATATAATCAGGCCATTTGGGGAGGGAATGTGAACTCCTCTGATGAACAGCCATTGCTCAAAGTAATTCCAAGGCTTCTAACATGAGGATGCTGTCTCTTCATGTGACCACAGTTTTAGTGTTACTCTGCTGTCCTATCTTGGTGTTTTCCTCACTTCCGCCTTCACATTACTGATCAATGGTCAAAGCTCACAGTATTGCTTGGACATGTCTGCCACCAATTAACTTGAATGGTACCTTCTTGTCCATAAATTTCCTCAGAGTATGAGGGTATGCCTTGCTCATGGCAGCCCCTCAGTGGGCTTGACACAGCTTTGAAGGCAAATCTTTAAAAACTTTTCTTATTAATTCTTTGAGAACTTCATAAAATGTATTTTGATGCCACTCACCACTTTCCAACACAAAGAACGCAGATTATCCAAAACAGTGCCCAATAGTAATAACTCTGCTGGAGGAATCATCACCTCTGACTTCAAGTCCTCTAGAGTTATAGAAATATAAACAACATGGTACTGGTTTAAACCAGACACATTGAACAATGGAAAAGCACTGAGGATCCAGAAAAAAATATCCCCAGTGCCCTACGGCCATGTGGCTTATGACAAAGAAGTTGAAGTTACACATCGGAGAAAAGACAGCATCTTTAACAAATGGTGCTGGCCTAAGTGACTATCTACATGAAGAAAAATGAAACTAAGTCTTTTCAATCAAGTGAGCAACCTTGCTAAAGACTCAGAACCTTGAATCTGGCAGAGGAGAAAGAAAGGCCCAAGCTCAAACTTACAGGCACAGGAAAGAGTTTTCTGAACAGAGTGCCGGCAATGGAGGGATTGAGACCAACAATTGACAAATGAGACCACATGAAGCTAAAACGCTTCTGCATAGTGAAGGATAACATTTTATTGAAGAGTCAGCCTAGAAAAAAAGATCTTTACTGCTTGTACATCTGACAGGGGGTTAGGAATGATAACACACAAAGAAGTATTCTTCAAAAACAGTCCCTCAGTAGGTTCTAGTGACAAGTATTCAATAAACATATATTCTTTTTTTCCATATTTTTTATTTTTTATGCATGTCACTTTCAGTTCCCTCTCCCTCCCTCCTCTCTTACCCCCCAATCCTCCCAACCCCTCACCCCCACTCCATCCCCCCTCCACTCCTCAGGGAGGGCAAGGGCCTCCATGAGGGATTTCTAGAGTCTGTCATATCATCTTGGGAATGGCCCAGGTTCTTCCCCGTGTGTCCAGGCTGAGAGAGCATCGCTCCACATGGCATGGGCTCCCAGAGTCCCTGGTATGCCAGGAATAAATACTGCTCCACTTTCCAAGGTCCCACAGATTGCCAAGGCCTCCTCTCTGTCACCCAGGTTCAGTAGGAGGATGTCTGAATCAGTCCCATGCTGGCCCCCCAATCATCAGTCTGGGCTCCATGTGATGCTCCTTGCCTAGGTCAGCTGCCCCTATGGGCCTCTCCAGCCTGATCCCAATCCCGATTCCCTTGGTCATCACTCCTCTTTGCAAGTGGGTTCCAGGAGTTCAATTCAGTTCACAGCTGTGGGTGTCTACCTCCGTCTCCATCAGCCACTGGATGAGAGTTCTAGGATGGCATATAAGGCAGTCATTATTCTCACCATCATGGGAGGGCATTTAAGGTAGGCTTAATGCCAGTTGGTGTCATTCCTGTAGATCTGTAAAGATCTCACTAGTACCAGATCTCTCCTCCAACTTATAATAGCTCCCTCTTTTATGGTATCTCCCATCCGTTTCTCCTCTATTCTTACCCTGGCTCAACCTTCCTGCTCTCCCGTGTTGTCCTCTCTCCTCCTCTTCTCTCCCTCCCTTTCTCCCATCTCCTTATGCCCTTCCCTTCTCCCCCTCCCCAATCTAATTAGGAGATTGCATCCCATAACCCTTCTCTGGGTTATCATGCATACCTCTCTTAGGGTCCTCACTGTACCCCCAGCCTCTCTGGTGGTGGGATTGTGGGCTGGCAATGCCCTCCTCCATGTCTAAAATCCATATATGAGTGAGTACATACCATCCTAAACACAGATTCTTTTTTTTTTTTTTTTGGTTTTTACGAGACAGGGTTTCTCTGTATTGTTTTGAAGGTTGTTGGTCCAGCCTGGCCTCGAACTCACAGAGATCCACCTGCCTCTGCCTCCTGAGTGCTGGGATTAAAGGCGTGTGCCACCACCACCCGGCTAAACACGGATTCTTACAAGCAACATTGAAGGGACTGATCAGGCTCTCTCTCTCTTTATATATATATGTACATACATATACACAGATATATGTATATATACATATCTATCTATGTATGAATATATACACACATACACATATCTATATATGTATATATATACACATACACATGCATGTGTATATATAAAACAATAATGATAAAAATAAGAGGATATGAGTTTGAGAGTGAGTGGGCAATATGAGAGGGACTGGAGGGAGAAGTGGGATGGGGAAAATGATGTAACTACAGTAGTCATATATGAAATTCTTAAAATAATTCTCAAAATACTAAAGATAAATAAACCAAGCAACAAACAACTCAATTAAAAATGGACCACACAACTGAATGGAGAGTTCTCAAAGGATGAAATGCAAATGGATGAGAATAATTTTTTAAAAAATGTCAGCATCCTTAGCTATCAGAGAAATGCAAAACAAAAGTTGCTTTGTGATTTCATCATATCCCAGTCAAGATGGCTATGTTAAACCAAATAAATAAAATAAAAAACCAGATAACAACAAATGTTGGCCTACCTGTGTGGGAAGGAAGACTGAAAACTTGCCTCTCACTTGTGGAAGTGCAAACTCGTACAATTACAATGGAATCAGTGTGGAACTTCCTCAGTACCTACAAATATATGTACCACACGATCCAGCTATACCATTCTTATGCATATACCCATAGGTCTGTATCTTAGAGATACATGCTCATCATGTCCATTGCCTCTCTGTACACAATAGCCATAAGATGGAAATAGCTGAGATGCCCGTCAAATAAGAAAAGGATAATGAAAATGTGGTACGTTAGCAAAATGGATGATTATTCATCTCTTAAAATCAAAGTTAAGGGCTGGAGACTTGGCCCAGTGGTTAAGATCACTGCTCTTCCAAAGGACTTTGATTAGATTCTCAGTACCCACATGGTGGTTCACAATCATGTTCCAGGGGATCAGAATCCATCTTCTGCCTTTATGGGTATGAGGCATAGATTTAGTATGCAGACAAAACACCTATATACATAAAATAGAAAGCAAATTAATTTTAAAGAGAAAAAGCACAATAATGAAAACGCAGATAAATTGATGGAACTGAAAATAATCAACCTGAATGAGGCAACACAGATTCAGAAAGACAAATGTCATATGTTTTCTTTCATGAATGGAAGTTAGTTTGGGATCTTTACATATGTGTACTTCATTGGAATATCCATGGATGATAGGAAATTAGTAAAGCTCCATGGATAGAGGGGCTTTAAATGGAGGGGAGATAGAATGAAAAGATATAAAGGGGGGATAAGGACTAACAGGACAAATAGTCAGATAGACTGGGGCATAGGAGGGGAAGGTGCAGGAGTAAATACAGGAATGTGTAGTTGTATTTTCTTTGGGTCACCAACCGGTTCCCAAATAAAGACACAAAGACTTATTCATAATAATGAATTCCCTGCCTTACCTTAGGCTTGTCCTACTAGCTCTTTTAACTCAATTTAAACTGTTTTATTCTTCTACACTTTGCCTTAGAGCTCTTTTACCTTTTCTTTCATTCTGTATGTCCTACTTCCTCCATGTCTGTCTGACTGGCCCCTGGTGTCTCCCTGTAGTCTCCCTTTTCTTTATTTCTTGAGCCTAAATTCCTTTTCCTACTTACTTCCCAGAAAGTTCTACATATACCTCCTCCCGTGCTATTGGAAATTCAGCTTTTTAAATAGACCAATCTGGGAGGCTTTAGGCTGGAAAGGTATTTAAACATATTTACATAATTAAGCAAACATATCACATCTTTACAGAGCTAAACAAATATTCCACAACATAAACCAATGTAACACTTCTTTACATAGTTAAACAAATGTAACACATCTTTGCATAGTTAAGCAGATATTCTGCAACAGGGATGAACAACTGACACTAAAGGACCTTTAAAAAGTCAAATGGGAACCTATTGCTGTAGGAATTTACACACACACTCACATACACACACACATGCACACGCACGCACACATGCACGCATGTGCACACACATACAGAGACAGAGACAGAGACACACACAGGTAGGGGAGAGAGTTTAAAAGAATGTATTCTATGACAGGGAGACTGTGCCCCACTGGACACAGGCTAATAAATAAAACCTAATTGTTGGCAACTGCAGGACAAAGACCCTCAGGCATTATAAGCTATTGCCATGACTTGATAGTAAGACCCTATACCTGACAATACCACTTACTTAATCAAAGAACACAGAGAAATCTAGTTTGTACTCAAATAGAAGTATCATTTCTACAGGCTAGTTTTTATAGGGATGGGTGATGCTATGTGTGCTATGATAGAATAAAGGTACCACCAATGTTACCAAACTGTGAACCCCATGAGCTATAATGGCTGGCTTGACACTATATGCCCACTGATGTAATAAGATCAGGAATGTTAAAGGAGTAACAACCACATTGTGACAGGATTTAAGGCTGAATTCACAAAATTGAGCCTATACCTGCCACCCTTATTGTCCCAAGAACTTGTGGCTACACAAGTCTTAAGCCCTTGGTAATAATATATTATTATTATTATTTGCTAAACGAACATAGTGTTAAAGCAACAACTAATGACCTATTGCAAGACATATAAATTAGTGTATTTGTCAGTTCTCAGTGGTTTTTCAGACACAGCAGGGTTATACATGTAAACTCACAGTGGCTATGACAACATTCAAAAGACCTGTGCAAGTTCAAGCCACACAAAAATCCCTGCATAAAGAGAGGAAGTTGACAAGATATCCCACTCCTAGAGAAGGAGCTATTTAAATGAAAAGATGTTAGGAGAAGGAGAATAAACATTATTTAAGGTGTTATCCTGTCAACCACGGTCAAGGTCAATAGTGCCCCCATACACTCATGAATATATAAATAGGCAGCACAAATTAAAGTCCGTGGCTTAAAAATGATGACAGGCTGAAAAATTATAAATTATCAAACTTGTAAAAGAAGTTACATTGAGAGTGTCAGTGAGGTTACAAAAGTTTTGTTTAACATGAGAAATTTTAGGAAATGGAGGAATATTTAAAGAAGAGGGAACAAAGACTGAAATTTCAGGAAATTAAAGGAAGTAGTTCATGAAAGTGTTTTTAATGGACAATATGGAAACAAATTCTTTATAAGAGAACAGTTGTGTTATAAAATGTAGGAAGAGTACCAACAAGTCTAAGGTGAGTAGAACCAAAGCACCAACTTGTACCCACCATCATTGCTGGGAAGACACTGACTGAAGTATCAGGTCTTACAGAACCAGGCCTTCCTCACAGTAGGTAAATGTAAACAATTGTGGCCAGTTGTACATATACTTGAGTTAATATCATAGACTGTTTGGCTCTTTTCATTCATTGCTTCTCTACCTCTCTTGTCTTGCCTTTCATATTCCTAATCTTTAGCTTCCTAAATTACCTCTTTAGGAGATACCCCAGACAATACCTGTGTGTGATCATCACTAGCATGTTTGTTTATATCTAACACATTACAGAACATGAATATAGTAACAACTCAAGAAATAAATTTTGGAATAATATATATCATACACACCCAGACACACACAAAGATGATTAAAAAATTGTCCCCCTTAAGCCAGAAATAAGAGTTGGATATCTCCCCCTCTCAACAGTCAATAATTGCCTGTAGCCCTTCATCTAGGGGGGAGGCATTTGAAATATCCCCCAACTGGTTCTTTGGTCTTAAAATATTTCTTGGCTCTTTTTCTTCCATATTCCCAGAGCCTTGGGTGAATGGGTTGTGTCATAGTTGTGTCCGTTGGGCATGGCTTTCCTGAAGTTAGTTGCTCTCTGAATTTTGATCAGTTGTGTCCTTCTGTAATGGTCTCTGATTACTGTATAAAAAAGCTTCTTGAATGAAGGTTGAGAGCTACACTAATCTGTGGGTGTCAGGATAAGGGTTTATAATGAAGTTAGAATTCTTAGTGGTTTAGGAAAGTGACAGCAGTAGGTTGGCTTCCAGGTGTCAGGACCTCACTAGCCTCAGGTAGTTGACTAAGTTTAAAGTATCAGGCATGATTTTTTATCTGTTGAGAGTCCCTTAAGTCTAATTAGACAGCTGTTTTATATTGCCAAGGAATTGGTTTTCTAACTGCTTATCTAATATCAAGTGGTATTGTATATATACAATAACAGAGTAGACTCTGCAGGTTATATTTATAAAGTTACACACACACACACACATACTTATAAAAATAATAATTAAAGAAAAGGAAACCAAGAAGTTAATATGGAGAGAGTGAGGAGGGCACAGGAGGGGCCCGAAGAGAGGGTAGGGAGAGGAAAATGATGTAAGTACAGTACATTAATACAAAATAAAAATAAATTTAACAAAAAGGAGAATTTAGATATCCAAAGAAATAATTAATACCCCAAAGATAAATATTTGAAAAAAACGACCCCTCTTGGGTAGCTAAGGGAAAAGCACACAAGTTGAAGTAAAGAACGTGGATAGAACGAAGGAAGATGTCACAGTTTGTGCCAAGTCTTCTAAGAAGGTAGCCATTCTTCAGAGTAGTAGAGTGAAGGATTGTGGATATACTGCAAGTGTACATTTAATGAGATACAAGAAGTTGTAATTAAGAAAATGCCTGATAGAGTTTTAAAGTTGAGAATAGTGTACAGAGTGACTGTAATGAGTTTCTGTGTACCTACCAATTCTGTTCCCAAAGTTGTGCTAGATTCTGCTTACTCTAACCACTTAACTTTAGTATCATGCCTCCCCCTGTCTATTTGTTGTATGAATCTCTAGATAATTACATTTTCCAAGTCAGAAAATATCTAAGGGAATATTAAAATGAAATGCATGTTTTATTGTTAAATTAAAAACCCAATTCCTCATTACTTTCTTTTTAATCACCAGTTAAGTAGATGACCATGGTTTTATTTCACTTTTTAAAATGTCTGACTATTTATATGTATTTGCTAGGTGCCACAACAGTACAACTGAGGCTGGAGGAGGAACAGACAAAATGGAATGGCAGTGACAAGAAGCCGTGGAAGGTATTCAGGAGTTGATAGTTTTCTTTAAGATTGTTTTCATCAGTGAAGCTTTAACAGAGGCTGAGGCAGTTATAATCACTCTGTCCAAGAGGATAATGGGATCATGTCTAATATATAATATCTAATTTTTTAATCTTTTTCAATAGTGCCATACATAACATAACAGAATTTACAGTACCTGACTCCTCCTCAAACTTTTCCTTGGATTTGTTCCACAACCTTCTCTTATTGCTGGAGTTCTATTCCTATGACATCTTGGTACAGAGATAGACCAGAACTGAACTGGTGACTAAGTGGTTTAAAGCATGAATAGTAGAAGAACGATCCTTTCTGAGCCTGAGTAATACTATGATGATCATTCCCAATGATTGAAAATTATAACAGGATTTATGAATATAGGGATCTTTGGTGGCACATTTTTCTCAAAATCTCTTGACTCCAAAGAAACTGAACTTTGGTTTGACCTTTTGCAGACAAGTTGGTACTACGCCTTGTGGTCATTGATGACCATGTACTTAGCCTAGTATCTTACTATGTACTCAGCCGATTTAAGCTTAATTGGTCTTTTTGTTTTGTTTGTTTTTCGAGACAGGGTTTCTCTGTATTGTTTTGGAGGCTGTCCTGGAACTCTCTCTGTAGACCAGGCTGGCCTCGAACTCATAGAGATCTGCCTGCCTCTGCCTCCCAAGTGCTGGGATTAAAGCCGTGTGCCAGCAACGCCCGGCTTGCTTAATTGGTCTTAAGATAACAATTTAACCAGCCTCACTGTGCTTTGGATTTCCTACGCAATCAGGTTTATAACCGGAGCTAAATGTGCAGCATCAATATTAAGCTATGTAGTATTCCATTTCCCTGGACAGAATAATGTATGTGTTGTGGTAATCATTTGCTGAGAGCAACCAACATGTTAGTAATAATCTTTTTTTTTTTTTTTGGTTTTTTTCGAGACAGGGTTTCTCTGTATTGTTTTGGAGGCTCTCCTGGAACTCACTTTGTAGACCAGGATGGCCTCGAACTCACAGAGATCCACCTGCCTCTGCCTCCCAAGTGCTGGGATTAAAGGCGTGCGCCACCAACGCCCGGTGTTAGTAATAATCTTAAACAGTACATATCCTATAAATACTGGAAGCAATGTGTGGATACAGTTGATAATAGCGGTTTGCACTTTTGAGTTTATTCAAGGTTGACAAGGTGATTCCTCCCCTATTAAATATATCTGCGAAATGGGCCTTGTCCCTTTCCCGAGTTTTCTGTACTGTTATGACAAACACAAAACAAAGCCCCTTGTTAGGGACAGACACTATATAAACACAACACAGGCACAGACACAGACCAGACAGACTGGACACATAGAACAGGAGACAACAGACAGAACAGTAACAAACTACACACAGACAAAAGACATGGGAAGTCAAGTGGAGAATTCATGTTGGGGCTCACACTTGGTCAAAATACCAAGAAAGGAAATTGCCACCAATCATTTGTATTCTTATGCCATTTGGCACAAACGTGGCCCTCAGTGCTGTACCTTAGTTTTGAAAGTTCTTATGCTCCATCTCTTATTTATGATACATATAGTTTTCATTATTCTGTGTTAATTTTTAAAACTTACAAAGGATATGTAATTTTCTCATGCTTTTATTTAGCTGGTGAACTAACGACATTTTCAATATGACTTGGTCTCTGTGTGCAATCATATCTTTAGAGCTTTAATTCTATAACAATGATCACGGCAGTCCCAAGAGGACATGGCAGAAAGGCTCTTTTTCTTGTGCATTTCTTGCTTTGCAACAAAAAGCATTGCTGTCCATGCAAATCATCTCAGTGTCTCATCCTGTAACAGCAAGAGGAGAATAAGACTTGTTTTCATGTACATTTACAAAACTCTGATGGTTTGTGATTATTGCAAATACCAGTGAGACACTCTGAAGTGAACTTGCTTAAGGATGCACAGGGTAGACTCTTATATCGTCATGCCTCCTCTGGATAGTTATGGTCAATTACCAAGTGAAAGAAAATATAGGGTGTTTAGAGAGCGTATGTAAAGATCTGTTGTCAATTTTGTTTTGGTTTTCTGTGCATGCAACTTGTATTTATATGTAACTGATTTTGAGAGAGGAAATTGCCATGTTTTCCTGGAGTGTGCTTAGGGAGTCTGGGCAGCTCCTTACACATGCTCATTTTACCAGCCTGTCTTTGAGAGATTTCATTCAAAGTGGAGTGCTCGAGTGTCTGTGGGTCCCGGAGAAAGTGGAGAAAACACAGGAGCTGCTGTAAAGAAAGGTGAGAACTCTGTTAATAAAGGGTCATGGCAGGGAGTGCCCTGAAATAAAAGTTGGAGACATTATCTTTACCAAAGAAAGTTGCCTAAGAAATATTTAAGAATCCAAGTCCTACATGGCATCGGTGTCCTTGAGCTTCTGAAAGAATTTCCATCCAGATGTCAGTGGAGAAGCCTTCCTGGCATAAAGAGCATCAGGCTTTAAGGAAACAGAGGAGTGTTTGAGAAGGCTAAACAAGGATTGAGATCAGTGAAGTGACAACGAGTAAACACAGGGGAATCATGTGGGTGACTTCAGTGGAGATTCTGAAAATAAATCCTTTGCCAAATGAAGGATAATTGTGCTATAAATGTAGGAAGAACATAAGAGAGAACAACGAAAAGTCTCTCAGAGATGGGCAGTAGAACCAGCAGGGCCTTGGTTTCCCTCAGTGCAGGTAATGTATCAAGGAGACAAATACGAAGTCTTTTTTTTTTTTTTTGCTGAGAATCTGAAAATTACCTTTTTATTTTAATTCTAAATAGGCATTTTTTTCTTTTCAGTAAATGATGATAGGCAGCTATAGTCAAGTTGTGTATGTACTCAAGTTGTAAGAACAGTGGTTCCTTCTATGCAACCCTTCTCTGCCTCTCCTGCCTTCCACATGTCTGCACTTTGCTATTCTCACTCTATAGGAATCACCTTAGGCATCACCTGCACATGACCATCACTGAAACATTTGCTCATGTCCAGCACATTCCAGGACATGACCCAGTAAGAATTTAGTGAATAATGATGGAGCAAATAAAACACTGCTTACACAAAAAATGACCTCAAAAGGATCTGGAGAGATGGCTCAGCGATAAATAGCACTGGATCCTCTTGTAGAGCACCCAGACTCAATTGTAGTACCCACAAGATGACTCACAGACCTTTGTAACTTCACTTCTAGGGGACTGAATACCTGATTCTGTGCTCAATAGTCACCATCTGTGCACATGATGACAGATATGAATGCAGACAAAACAGCCATACATATAAAGTAATAATAATAACAATAACAACAACAATTTTAAAAATGGTCTAAATATTGTCACTTTTAGGTCACAAGCAAAAAGTTAGATATCTAAAGAAATACTTGGCACTTTAAATGGGAAGGAGACATTTGAAAAGGAATGAAACCCTAATGTAGTTCAGAGAAAAGCATGCATTTTCCTGGGGAGAGTGAGCCCAGGAAGATTTCACATCTTTTACTGAGTTTTATGAGAAGGAAGAGGCATAGCAGAGTACTACAGACACACATTTACAACACGAGTAAGAAGGTGTTTGCATAAAGAGGTGTCAGGAAAAGAAAGTAGATCTTTGACATAGTCTTCTCCCCAGGTAGAAATTACATGCAGTTTGGCCTTCTGGGATCCCACGTAGTTATCAACTCTGTTCCTATGTGCGTGTTCATTTCTGTTTACTGAGACAATTTATGTGTGCATCCTGGCATGTGTGCATAACATTGACGAGGTGCTTCTTACTCTGCGCCTATTTCGCAAATGAAATTCTTGATAGTTGTACACATTTCCTAAACAAGTAAATAAATATCCCGTTGAATGTTAAATTTAATTGAAATGTTTAATTGTTAAATTAAAGCCCAGCTTTTCTTTTGGCTTAGTTATAAAGGTTTTTAAATGACTGGTTATATAGATGATCATTTTTTTCCTGACTGTTCACATTGTTAATTTTAACCACTTGTGTGAATTTGTCAGTAGAATCCTCTGTATTATCTCCAATAGAAGAGCAAACAGAATTTCACGGCAGTGACAATCCACAGTTGGTATGTGAATATGAAAAATTCTTTTATACTGCTTTCTTTGATTAAAGAAATGGTCACAATCCAGGTCCAGTTATTCTGTGGACTGACCTAGAGAATCACCAAGAAGGTAATTTAATATTTTATTTGACACTTTAAAGCTATTTTCCAGTAAGTCATCTTTTAATAATCTGTAGGGACTAATGTCCATTCCTTATTCTTAGTAGCTTTTCATAGTGTTCCATTTCTGCTTAGGATGTAATAGTGACATATCTTGACACCAATCAACAGTTTCTAATAGCTTGCTCAACAGGAGGGAAGTCATGCTTGGTACCGGAAATCTAGCTGACTTCCCAGGGCTACTGAGGTCTTGGACCTTAGAGAAGACCTTCTGCTCCCACTTTAGTATCCCAGCATAGTTTCTAAATTCAATCTATATACTTGTTTTCATATGCACAGGTTAGTGTAATTCTCACTCTCCATCATATTCTTTTTGAAATGCTCAGTGGGGAAGACTTTCATATGCTAATATTTGTTTGTTTTATTTAACCATAACTCAAGGAAAGACTTTCCTTATGGCTAGGTCTTTTTTTGCAACCTATTTTGTTAGTAAAATAAATCAACTAAAATATTTCAGACTTTAATAACTAAAGGAAAACTCAGCATTTCATGGTATAATCTCATTTTGTTCCACATTTCTTCTTTCAACAAAAAGCGTTTCTGTCCTTAGAATTCTAAAGATGTAATTCTGTCATGGAGTATGAGAATGTGTTTAAATACATATTTTCATAAATGCTCAGATTTTTTGGGGGGACTGCAGATAAGAATTGTAATTTACTATGTAAATATGTATATTGATTCTACTCTGTTTATAAACATGTCCCCTCTTGTCTTTAGTGATCATTTAAAAACATGATAGTTTTTTATTCTTTGTGAATTTCATAAATACATACAATGTATTTTGATCATATACACCCCAGCATCTCCCACTGTCTCCTCTGTATCATGTACCTATCTCAACTTCATGTGATATTGTTATTTTTGTTTTTAGTAAAACCATGAGTTCAGTTATTGCTGTCCAGACACACATTGGTTTGGGACCATTTGATTCTCGTGGTTGATTTATGTAGCCAGAAATATGGTGAAGGTAAAATTTATTCAGAGAGCATATATTAGGATTCCCTTTGAATTTTGGTTATCCTTCAATACTTTAAGAATTTTAATGCTTTTAAAAGAGTAAATTAAGAAATTTTGGGGGGTAGAAATAACTAGGAAAATTTTATTTACTTCATTATGATACCAAATTCAACAGCATAACCTGGAGCAACTTCAACCCAAGTGGAGTGATCGGGTATGTGTGGAGACAAAACAAGGAGGGGACAACACAGATGCTGCTCAGATGACATGTAAGAGCTTTGTTTATAAAGTGTGGGGACTGAGAAATTCTATTCACTACTGGAAACTCCCTCCGGAATGTTTGCATAATGTCTCTTTAAATTGAGAGATTCACTGAGAGAGCTTAAGTATTATTTCAAATATCGGGGTTTTTAAATGAGTTATATCAGGAAATGAGGGCTATATAAAGGAAAAGAATGAGGCTTAAAAAGGCAGAGCCTACAGAGAAATAAAAGAACGAGAATGAGGTAGGGGTATACAGTGGAGCTTGTGAAAACAAGATGTTAAGGGGATAAAAGGCTGTCCACGATAGAGGCAGGAAGGGGAGAGTGGAAGTATTGCATCACATCTGAGAAGCAAAGTAAGATGCCCCCACACTTCTTGTCCTCCTCTCTTTGGAGAAAGCATTGAAGGACTACATCACCAGGCTGCATCGAACTAGTTTTCATTTACAGAAGATAAACACAAACATCTACACTCACCTATGCATGTACATACACATGCGTTAATGTCATGGGCAAGTGGTCATACTTCGTAAGATATTTTCACATAGGCCAAAATGAGAACATAGAATTAGCCATGACATGGTCAGGAATGCCATTAACAGATCACAGTTGATAGTAATAAATTATGGCTTTTCTGTATGAGAGAGATTGTAGGTGGAAAAAAAAACCTAGGCTGGATCCCAAAACATAGATATTTTATACAAATCTGGAGGGAACTCCTTATTGACCCGAGCCTCTCAAATGTCTATGAACAGGCTGCTGTGACCCCTGTATAAAGTACACATTCTGAGTCAGCAGCTCTTGGATTGCATGTTTGTCAGTTCTCATGGGCTGCAGATGTTGTCTATGTGATTCTCTTAAAGGAACCTAAGAACACATGAAAGTCTCAGGGATCAACCACTCAAGATGCACAATAATGACAGAGTAAAGCACAAATCTGCCATCGATTCTAACCGCTTCTGTCCACAGAGAAAGGAACACAAAAAGGGAAAAACTTTCAGATCAAGTCTTTAAAGGAAATAAATGGAAACTGTAAAGAGCAACATCCTACAGACTACTTTAAAAATGAAACATTGCCTATGGGAAAGGAAGAAAGATAGAAATAGAGAATGAAAACTTGGGAAACTATAGAGAGCATTTTGAAGAAGGTGATGCTACATTTATGTTGAATTCAGACTCACCACTCGGGGGAAATTTGGTAGGAAAAGGCAGTGAAGTTCAGCCACTCAGTTCTCTTGTCCATCAATGTGACACATGAAAAAAATGGGACTCCCTTAAAGTCAATGTCACAAACTGGAAAGCAGCAGCTTCAGTTGTTTTGACAGAATAGTCAGGTTCTTTGTAATTTTGTTGTATGTTGAAAGATGTTAGAAAATTCACATTATGTGCAGCCAATGTAATTATAGAAAATTAACTATATCATTCATTTACTTATCTCATTATTTACTTTCTAATAAATGCTCTCCTGATTTCCAATGTAGAAATTTAGTAATTTCAGAATGATTTTTAAAAAATGTCTTATGTTTTATTGTGACAGTTGTACATTAGAGGCAAAAACCTAGGTTTTATGTTATAGTTTAGGCTATATACCTTCTACAAGGTGCTTACTAAAAGTTCCTATAAACTAAAGGAAATGAAATAAATTAATAATATCCTCAAATGCATGCAAAATTGAACATTTTATGCTTTAGTATTCTACAAGTAAACATCCAAGATGATTACATTGAAAAAAATTTGGAAGACAATTAATCCATTCCAGTGAATGAACATTTATGACTGATTTTGCTTCCTAAATTGCAATAACATGGCGAAACCATAGAATTCCATAGTATAATGGCCAGTTTACTTCCAATTAATTTTGAACACCACATTGTTGGCTCTCTTTTCATCTTAGTAACATTCATTTTCCCCACTGGATTTCAATTTTGTTTCTGTTCTCATCAGACAGAACAGGCAATGTGAAAATAAACTGAGTCCCAGTCTTAAGGGAGCTATTCCCAGTGACCACTATAATGGTGATTTTCCACACTAATTCAGTGTAAAATTCTGATTGACTTGCCATGATAATATATAATTAGTTACGTGTCTCTCATTTTTCAGACCCTTCTGATGAACATACAGAATCTAAGGTAATAATGTTTGCATTTCATTGTGCATCATTAACTTCCCAACATATGACATACAAAACATCATTAAATATCTTCTTTCAAACCCATGCAGACTACCATTAAAGAGCAAGATTCTGCACCTGCTGAAGACTCAACAACGAATCATGAAATACTTATGTCAGGTAAATGTAGAAATGGGAATTTTTCTTTAACAAGTGCTTCTGAGTATTTGATATAATCAGTCTTTGAATCCAAATTCTTTAGCTCTTCAAATTTTATAAAGGCATTTTATGTAAATAATTCAAATATCATTTTGAATGATCTTGAATTACACACAAAGAAATCGTGTTTTCAAATGATGGTGTACTTTTTAAATTCAGGCTGGACACACTGTGTGCTGACTAAACTTCATGTAATTTCTATACTATAAACTTCAGTTTTCTTTGGCCATCATGGTGTCTGGTCTATAGCAGGTGTCCACATGATGTGTTAATTTAGTTTTCCCTATGGTAAAACATTAACAGTATATTTTACAGAAGCTTTTCAATAATCCTCTAGAATAGTTACAGCCAGTAGCAAATTTAAACTCAGATACTCACACAGTGTACTTATCTTTTCTCCTTTTCCCCTGCCTGGGCTGCTTTTCTTCTGATTCCTTTGTGATTAGAGTTCTCTGTTGGCTTGTTTATTCATTTACCTATTTTTCCCTAGTGCCCCTCCCATGCTTTTGTTATTATCTTAACAGTATACTAAGCTCTACTCCATGATACTATTTTTGGTGAGCCTGTTATATGCAAGAAGCAGACATCTCTGAGAAATCTTCAAAGTATTCCGCAAACACATACACACATACAGAAGAAAACATCAAAGTACACAAATCAGCATCATCATTCATACATATGATAATGCTAATAGCAGCACCTAGGGATCATAGTTTATATTTCCACTCTTTAAATGAAACATTTTATGGGCTTATCTTTAGTGACTTTATACTTGGAGAGACTATGGAAACATACTCGGTTTAGGACTGAATTCTTTTTAGATAGCGCTTTCTTTTATTAAACCATTTCTCACCACTTTTCAACATCCACCCATTATTTTTCCTTTCACATTTACAGTTACCTATGTCAGTTGAAAAATGAATGCTAACCACTCCAATAATTTATTTCTAATAATTTTAAGGTTCTACATATAATTTGCATGTTGACTCCTCCTCTGTCTTCCATTTTCAAAGTTATTCATTCAATTTCACTAATAATTATAATACAAAATAGTGACTTTCATTTTAATAGTTTAACAATGCATACCTTATTTTCATTCTCCCCCTCACCACCATCCCTTTTATTTTCTCTTTCTTTCTTGCCTGTCTCCTTCTTAATCATAAAAAGTAAACTCTAAGTTTTTATCATACAAATCCCATTATCTCTCTCATTCTATCCTAATAATCCACTGATGCAGAATTTAAAAACAATTAAGGCAAATATAGTTACTTAGGAATTCATGACTTCATGGCAAAGGCAAACAGGAAATTTAAGCAAATAATGATCACTAATGTTAGAATTGTGGTTACAGCAGAAGGAGTGGAGGAAGTCAATGAGGAGAACCATACAGATGATGTCTACTGAATGTTCTATTTATAAGCTGGATAGTGGATCAATTTGTGCTCATTGTATTGCTATTTAAATTATACATGCATGTAGTTTGGTATATATCTCAATAAAATTAAAAACAGAAAGCACAGACACAAAAGTCCCAACTGTGAGATATCAAAAGCCCTTAACAACATCTTAGATAAAAGAGCTGTAAAATTTAAGTATTGAGATAGCAATTTGTAGTGAATGTCTTGGTAACTAATGTATTTTCTAAGTCAGTGAATGTCAAATTGACAATTAAGCTTAATTGGAGGATTTAATTGAGAACGTAAAATTTTTATTTTTATTATTTTTAATTATCTTTGCTAATATATAAAATTAAAATAAAGTTATAACACTTCATACTGTTCCTTTCCTCCCTTGAGCTCCTCCAACCTCTTCCATGTTTCCTTCTACTCTTTCTCTAATTGATGGTCTCATATTATTATTATTTTTTACACACATATCTGTATATATGTATATGCTACATGCATAAATATATAATATATAGATATAACCTACTGAGTCTGATTTTGTTGTACAACTCACTATATATCTACCTTTTAAAGTCTCATTGTATAAATGGTTTTCATTCTTTAAGTATGTATATTTGTGTTTTGTCAGAAGAAGACTCACAAATGGAATCAGAGGAAAAGCAAAGAAGTCATAGCTATGAAAATATTCAGTCAATTGTATGTAAATATTCAATTTATTTTTATACTGATATTTTAGTAAATAATTCATCATAGGCTAAATTAATTTATATTTCAGAGTTTAAAGATGTTTTATATAATTAGTGGACCATAACAAAAATTTAATTTTAAAAATATTTAACTAGCAAGAAATTAACTAGTTGTAAAAATTTGCACTTGGAATCAGTAGCTTACAGGCAGTAAAATGTTATTCTGGGGTGTGTTCAGTAGGTTATATTATTATTCAAAACAATTGAGTCACTGGACTTTTTCTAGATATTTATTGCTGCAGAAAAGCAAGTGAAATTAATATATTCACATGTATATTTTAAGTATCCTCCATTTATGGACTGTAAATAATAATTATGTATTCTAAGTTACCAGCTACTACTATTGCTTTTTCTATTCCTTCATCCTATGTAGTGAGATATCCATCCTCCCATCCCCCCACCCTGCACCCGTAGCACTGACCACACCTGTTTGGGCATGGTCAAAGGTCTGGAAGTGGGGGAGGGCAGGAATAGGTCTGGGGTCCTGAGCCTAGCTTGCTCTCTTCCTCCCAGTTGGGTCACAGAGAGCAGCCTGGGTGGATCCTTGGAGCTGGAACTTGTGGAGGTCATCTGTTTCTCATGTAAAACACCTTCTCCCCGAATAAAATTATATTATCCTATATTGTGCATAGTCCCGTGAATCTTGATACATGCATCAATAATCCTATTTCCAGTTTACACAGTCATCCAATGAAATTAAAAACCAACTTGATCTAGGCAGCACATGTGATTTTCTCTATTGTGTTTGGTTTTAAGTTTGCATGAATACATGCTTATAAAGTAGAAAACTTAGATTTTAGCTACAAAGTAATGAGTAAATATCCATGCAAATCACTACTGTCATTCATCTTCCAGCATATATTTAAACATCTTCAACCAAAGGGTAAGGATAATTTATCCATGACTATGGATCAAAGAAGCAAGAATATTGTAAGTGGAGAAGAGAAAGGTAAGAAGTGTGTGCCATGTATAAATCATTTGAAAGATGTATTTAGTAAAGACAAGGGGAGTGATACATTCCATTTGTTAAAGAAAGTTGCCTTTCAGATGCGTATAGAGAAGTGTGCTGGAGCATGTGGTAAACATACTCCTCATGAAGTTTCAGTGACACTTTAAGTTTAGAGTAACATGACAGGTGGTGAATTATGACTACATTTCAAGTGTGTTTAAAGTAGAAGCATGGAAAGTGGGAAAAGTTGAGTATAGTGAGCCAATGGAAGGAAAGTTGATGGATGTTGAGAGAAGAAAAGTGAAACAATCTTTTTAAAATTTTATATTATTTTTTCATTATTCCCCTCTGTCCCACCCCCCTAACCTACCCAACCCTATCCCTCATGTTCCGTGAAATAATCCTTTGATACAGAAATGCCGAGTATTGGATAAGTGTGAAGTATGTATGGAGAGGATGTCTCCCCTATTCTTGTCTTCCTCTCCATTGGGAAAGTACCATGAGTTGAAGTAAATTATATTGCAGAACTGTATTTTTGTTTATTGTAGGTGACTATAAATATGTGTTCAACCATATATATTAAATCAATGACTATATATATGTATATATATATAATTTTAACTGTGAATATTTTTTTGTCAGCAGAGCCAGACTTAGAAGTGGCATCAGGGGATGATCAAAACAGATGTTATAGAAGTGAGAGTGATCAATCGTTGGTATGTAGATATTTAAGTCTAAGTATCTCCTTAAACATTGTTTTCTCTTTTAAATATTGCATTATAGAACAAACAGGATTACCTTGTAAACTTCTCTGCATAAAATATATAATAATTTAATTAGTTATAAGTCTTAAGATAAACTTATTTCAACCCAGAGTAATAATTAATGATTATTATTAATCTTTTATCCACTCTTTAGTAGACAGTAGAATATATTAAAATTGGGGTTAATGCAGATAGTGCATATAGATGTGAAACACTATCACCATATACACTGTCTTAGTTAAGGTTTCTATTGCTGTGAAGAGACACCATGAGCATAGCAACTTTTATAAAGTAAAAAAAATTGCGGTGGCTTACATTTTCAAAGGATTAGTCCATTATCATCATGGTGTGACAGTGGTATGCAGGCAGACACGGTCCTGGAGAAGGAGCTGAGAGTACTACATCTTGATCCACAGGCAAAAGGGAGTGGTCTGAGACACTGAGCATAGCTTGAGCATAGGAAACTTCAAAGCCCACTCCCACAATGACATACTGTTCCAATAAGTTTCTATCTCCTATTAATAACACTCCCTATGAGCTTATTGGGGCCAATTACTTTCAAACTACCACATATAGTTTGAATTAAAATATAATAATTTCTGTTTTCTATTGTTGTTACTAGATTTTTGTTGTTGGTGTTTTGAAACAAGCTTTCTCTGTGTAGCCCTGGCTGCACTAGAACTTTCTCTGTAGACCATGATTGTCTTTAACTCAGAGATCTGCCTGCTTCTACTTCCTGAGTGCATGGATTATAGGCAGTGACACCACTGCCAAGAAATGTTCTTAGATTTTGTCTCTATACAATGTTTGCAAACTCTAGTTACTGAATTTTTTATATGCCAACTTCTGATAAACTTGCTTTTGTTTTTCTTCTTCTTCTTTCTCTCTTTTTTTGGCCAAATATAACCTAAAAGATTGAGTCTAAAGTCTACAAGTTTGAGAGTTTACTGATTGACTCTAAAGTTTTGGAAAACTAACTTCTATAATTTTGTGAGCACCTTTATTTTATCTTTTGACATATTAGTTTCTAAATGAAAAAAGGATCAAAAAAGAAAATGGGGAGGGAATAATAACCTTAATAGAGAATTGGGAAATATTCATTTGTTACTGATGCTCCATAATGTGACAGTTCCAAATTTGGGTTTTAACAAAAATGCAGGAAGGTAAGAAAGGTGCACTTGTGCCTTTTTGTTGAAGGTTGAAAAAACAAAGACACATGGAGCAAGCAATGGAGTAGACATAGCAAAATACCCCTGTGAAGCTGCTACCTCTTTTACTGCTTCTGCTGATGCTGGTATTGCTGCTTCTGCCCTGGATGAACTAGTTCTACAAAGAATACCTGGAGAAATAAAAAACCAGAGATTTCTTATTAAGGAGCATGCAATGCATGATGGGTAAGAACATGATATTTAGTAGTAGATAATTGTTATTGTCCTATAAAAATTCTAATTTGGGATAATTTTCATATGATAAGTTTTATGCTTTTACTAGTGCATAAATTATATTGTTAAGGATTTTATTCAAAAGGTAATAATGAGGGTTGTCATAATGGCTGGTTTTGTATGTCAGCTTAATATAAGCTACAGTCATCAAAGAGGAAGGAGTCTCAGTTGAGGAAATTCCTCCTTGAGAACAGTTTTAAGGCATTTTCTCAATTAGTGGTTGATGGGGGAATGTCCAGCCCATGGTGGGTGGTACCATCTCTGGGCTCCTGGTCTTGGATGCTATAAGGAGGTGGGCTGAGCAAGCCATGGGAAGCAGACCAGTAAGCAGCACCCCTCCATGACCTCTGCATCAGCTTCTCTCTCCAGGAGTTCCTGTACTGACTTTTTTCAGTGATGAGCAGTAATGTGAAAGTGCAAGACAAATAAACTCTTTTCTCCTTATGGTGCTTTTTGGTCATAGTGTGTTTCATTGCAGCAATAGAAACCCCAACTAAGACAGTTGTCAAATTTGAAGAAAAAGACATTCTCATAGATGGTTTGTAAATAAAGAAGTCTTATGTAATTTCATATTACATATGAAACTTGTTCAATATATGCTATAGGCAATATATGAATGAGTGTGCTTTATTCAGTAGAACTTTATTTTATACAGTTTAAACACAGGCTTCTATTGCTGTGATAAAACACCAGGACCAAAGGCAACTTCAGGAGGAAAGGGTTTATTTCACTCATAGTTCCATATAACAGGTCAGCATCAAAAACAGTCAGGGCATGAATTCAAACACAGTAGGAACCTAGAGATAGGAGCTGATGCAGAGGTCATGGGGGAGTGATGCTTACTGACTTGCTCCTCATGGTTTGCTCAGCCTGTTTTCTTGTAGAACCCAGGACCACAAGCCTAGGAGTTACACTGCCCACAGTGAACTGGGACCCTCACATCAACCATTAATCAAGAAATGCCCCAGTGTTGCCTAAAGGTACCCCAGTGGAGGCATGTTTTTCAATTGTGGTTCTTTCTAGATAAATGTACTTTTGTGTCAACTTGACAAAAACCAACCAACACCCACCACTTTTTTTCGGTGCATAAGCAACACACATAAAAACTGAACAACAAAAATGGAAACAGAAGACTGTATATAGCCTACAGAGTTGGGCTACATTGCTACACTGTGCTAAATGCAAAATGATGGTAATGAAATAAAATGTATTTTTAATGATGTCATCACCCATGTATAAGATATTTTGCTATGTATTACACTGAGTTTTCCACAGTGACTCCATGTACATTTTACACAAGCTCAAACTTTAAATCACTTATTTCCAGAACTTTTCATTTTCATTCTTATTACACATACTTCACATAAGTATGGCATCTACACTATTCTCAAACCCACCTTTATCTCCTCTCATGCTCTATTACTCCAATTTTTTTTAGTTTTAGTTTTTTTTATTTTCCAGTTTAAATTTAGATAAGAAACAAGGTTGCTTCACAAGTCAGTTCCAGGTCCCTCTCCCTTTCCCTCCCCTCCTCCCGTGCCCTCCCCCCAACCCCCCCCCCCGTTATCCCCTCATTCCCCCAGGGAGGGTGAGGTCCTCCATGGGGGTGTCCATAGTCTGTCATTTCATCCAGGGCAGGGCCTAGACCCTTCCCCAAGAGTTCAAGGTGAGAGTGCACCTCACATTGTTCTATGGGAGTCCAAAGTCCGTGTGTATACTTGGGATGGGTATTGATCTGCTGCCCAAGGCTCAATAGATTACCTAGGCCTCCTCACTGACACCCAGATTCAGGGGTTCTTGATCAGTCCCATGCTGGATTCCCAGGCTGATGCCTGGGATTCAAGAGTTAACCTTTGTCTGGTCAGCTGTTTCTGGGGGTTAAACCAGCCCAGTCTTAATCCCTTTGGTCATCAGTCCTCCCTCTCTGTTACTGGCTTTCTATTACTCCAATTTATGACATATTATTGCTAATTATCACTGATATGTATGCACATACACTATATATGTATATGTATGTATACATGTGTATGTACAGACTTTTGAGTCTGTTCAGCACTGCTCATGTATGCTGCCCATGTAGAACTAGACAACCCATTTGGGAATTTGTTCCTGAATGAAACTGATTATTTTCTTATCAGCCATTGACCATCTATAGTTCTTGACCTAAGGGTGAGAACTTGTGGATTTCCTTAGTCCATGGAAGCAGGGGCAGGCTTGATTATTAACAGTCATTTTTTTCTTGATAATAGAACAGAACAGTATAGTCAACCCCAAAGGATGAGTCCATGCCAGCATATTCATGCTGCGAAGTTAAGATGAGGACAAGAGATGCTAACAATGAAGAGTTTGAGAATGTGGTCATTATGGAAGTCTGAATATAGGAGATAAGTGCAGCCAATGCCAGAGAGAAAAATTATCATGAAAGGCAGTAGAGAACCTATAATAATCAGAGAGAAATATGGGACTTAGTGAAATGTCTTTTTTTTAAACTGGTAGCTTTCAGATTATGTTTGCATGATGTTAGAAAGAAAGCATTTAAGGGGAATACGGCTATTATTCAGTTCCATTTGTATGTCCAAGCACAAGAAAGCTCGATACATTCCCCCTAAGGATTTCTGATAAGCTAACTGATTCAGTTCATATCTTTACATAGTAAGAGGATGTTTTCCATTCTGATTTCATTAAGAAGTGCAACAAAGCTTTTAGTGTATCGTGTATCACACGCTGTGTAGACAGAATTCTGAGATATGAATTCTCATTTGTAATTGACCAGATGTTTGTATTTGGGCAAATTGCTTGATGTTTCTTTGTCTAGATTGTTGCTTTATAAAATACCTAACCCATCTGCTATCTAACAGAATTGAAATTAGTTCAACACATTTATAGTAATTAGAATAATTAGAATAATAGGCTGTAATTGCATAGTCGATCCTGAAAACCTACTTCTTAACATTGTTATTAAATTGTTTCCTTCATGTAAGGAATTAAGCAATATTTTTCAAATACATATTATTGTTTGTAAAGTTCAATTGAAAAAAAATCTCATTTATTGCTGTCTATTAAAATGCAGATAACATTATGACTTTCTAATATATACTTAATAAATAAGATAGTTTAAATAATTAATTTTATATATTATTCTTATTTTATATGTTTATAATTTTTCTGAAATTAATTTGTCCTTCTTGTAGACCCCGAAAGAAAACATCTAAGAAAAAGCATAAGGTATTGTGAAGAGAATAAAAAGTACATCTTTACTCACTGTGTTATAGAAAAGGCAGTGAAATCTTAAAAACTCTAAGTGAAAATACATCATAAAACATAAAGTAAAGAAGTATAAAAAGCCCCAAACCCGTATACATCAGGATTCTCAACATTTGCAAGTCCAAGGCAGGGGGATTCAATGAGTGTGGATCCCGATGACAGTATATTGTGAGTTCTAGGCCAGTGTGGGACACAGGTAAAGATCCTGTCTGAAAACACAAAGAAAATAAAAAGTAAAGAGAATATGGAATTCTTTTGTCTAAAACCACCTGTTTTAAAATTATGCTATGAAAAAGTAGCTATTGAGAAAGCTATCTATTTTATTTTTAAATTCTGTAGGGAAACCAGGAGCATTGACAATAGACTGTAATGTTTGAGTTCTATGGCACCTTACTGGCCAACAATTCCCAAAGAAGAAACTCATTCCTGACACTGGACTTTTAAGCTGTTAATTTCTGGTGTCTAGAAGGATGGCGTTGCTATGTTATCGGGTAGCTCTATTTTAATTCTCCCTATATATGGAAGCATATACAGTAGTAGGTTTGTATATTTCCTTTTGAAAGGTCCTTAGTATTATTTATCTCTGCCCAAGTTCCCCTTTTCTACTCTTCCCTTTGCTTCTCAACCCCATTTTAACCCTTCCTGTTTAATATTCCACTGTGAACACTTTATATCTAAATTTTCTAGCTCTTCTCCCTTGAAAGCACCTGGCCATGGCCCTCAATAATTCCCTGAGTTCTTTGAGTATTCTAAATTCAACACACATACTTGAAAGTCAAATCTAACATCCACAGATTAGAAAGAACATCTGGTATCTCTCTTTTTGTGTCTGGGTTACTTCACTCAGAATGATTTTCTCCAGTTACATCCATTTACCTATGAATTTCATGATGATATCTGTCTTAACAGCTGAATAAAATTCCATTGTACAAATGCACCACATTTTCAATATCCACTCATCAGCTGACAGCCATTTAGGCTGTTTCCATTTCCTATCTATTGTGAGTAGAGCAGCAATGAACACGAGTCAGCAAGTATCATTAGAGCAGAATGTGGAGCCCTTGTGTATAGTCCAGAAAGTTGTATAGTTGGATCTTATGCTCCTTGAGAAACTTCCACACTGATTTACATAGTTGTTGCACCAGCTTGTCTTCCCACGAGCAATGTACAAATGTTCCTGTTTCTCCACATCCATTTGCTTTGTTGACCTTAGCCATTCTGACTTGAGATGAGTTCTCAAATAAAAGTTGCCTTTTCCTAAGACACCAGTTACTTGAGTCATAGAACATGACACAGTCATCCCTAGTGGTTAGCTTTCAAAGTGCCACTGAAGGACAGATGAAATCATCAACCTGATTTAGCTGTGAACCCTGTGAGCTACAATCATGACTGCTTGGCAAGATATGCCCATTGGTGCAACAGTGGCTCTAACATCATAGAACCCATATCTACTTTCTGATTGCGTTTAAAGTTTGCTTCATGAGACAAAGCCCACACCAGCAAAATTACTGGCCCAAGAACTTATGGCTAGCTCCATCAGTAGGTCCAAAGCCCTAGGGAAGAACCTACTATTAATATGCTATTAAATGGGCATACTACTAAACTGACTCCTAATAACTCATTGTCATGCTCACAGATCAGTGTACCCCTCAACCTTTGTCCAAGAAGTTTCTGTTTGCAATAGATGTTGATTAGCACAGTGACCCAAGTCAGGCTATTGTGCAATGAATGAGAGACTGCAGAATGTCCAACCTCACAGGGAACATACATACCTTAATCCCACTCCCAGTGCCCCATAGTCATTTCAGAAGAGGATCAGAAAGGGTGTAAGAGCCAGAGGTGTTGAGAACTACAAGGAAACATTTTCTAAACACAGGAGGGCAGTTTCACATATGAATTCACAGCTGTTGTAGAAACATGCATAAGACCTGTGTGAGCTTAAGCCAGACTGAATCCCAACAGGGAGAGGGCAGTTAGGTATACAGTCTCACCACTAGCTGTGATGCTACTGGCAATCACTAGTTGCTGGGGCAGACAGATTCTTTTAAGAGGGTAGCCCCTGGTTGTGGATGGGGGCACATGTAAGAAGATTTGGGCAGCACAAATTGACTTGAAGGATTAAAAAACAAGCTTGAAAAGTTGGGTGGGTAGGGAGGGAAGGTGAGTCTGGGAAGAGTTGGGGGAAGAGGTAAATATGATCAAAACACATAGTATGGCATACTTAAGGTACTAATAAAATGTATCAATTAAAAAAGATTTCTCTTCAGGGGCTTCTTTGACTTTGTTCATGTAAATCAAGTGATCACTACCTTTGTACATTATGGGGTATGAATATCAAAGACATTTTTACATAGTATTTATCTTTTAGATAACAAAAGAAATAAGAGCTATGGGTGACACAACTCAATCATCTAAATCAGTCTCAGAGGATGGTGAGTTATTTAGATTAAAAAATACTTTAAAGTTAACTTTATTAGGATATGTATGTGAAGCAGCTGTCTGGTCACCTTTTTTCAGGGTTTTCACTATTCCAGATACTCCACATTCCTACTGAATCTTTTCTTCTTTCTCTTTTCTCTTCTCTCTCTCCCTCCCTCCCTTCCACCCTCCCTCCCTCCCTCCCTCCCTCTCTCCTCCTTTCTTTTTCCCCTCCTTTCTTTTTTCCTTCCTTCTTTCCTCCCTTCCTTCCTTCCTTCCTTTCTTTCTTTTTCTCTATTTCTTTCTTTCATCAGTGGGAGTGGAGTCCAGGTCCTGTGCATAGTATGCAAGTCATCTATCATGGAGCTACATCTCTAACCTCCTTATGAACTTTATAATCAGCTTGCTAATTCATTCTTCTAGCAACTTGGAGATTTCAAATTTTAATAATGAATCTTTAGAGTCCTCAACAAAATTTACCTCTTCATTTTCATAAATTGGATTTAATTTTGTCAGAAATATTTTCATCTAATCTCCCTAGTCTGATAGAAACTTTTTTTTAGTAAACCTGGGCTTTGGACAGTCTAGGTGAGGGCTCTTCCTCCCATTGAGCCAGCCTCAGTGCCAGAAGCTCTTACTGGTTTTGCTGCCCTCAAACCTGGGATCCTTCTATGTTCAGTTCCTGAACACTGAGATTATACAAACATTCTCATCTTGGCTGTCTTCTACAATTCCTTCTTCTGTATCTTGTCCTCAAATCCCTCTTACAGCAGGGAGCTTTGGATTTAGGAATGCATGCATTGTTTAAACTACCTGAAGTCCATTGTTTTGAAAATTGCTTAAAGCACTGTATTTCCTGTTTGTTTGTTTGTTTCAAGTACTAATGTTAATCAGGACACTTTCTTCACATTAGGTAGAAACAGATCATAGAATTCTGGCCAACTTTGTAGACAGTCTAGAATCCTTTTTACCATCTGCCTAGCTGTTTCAGGTTCATGAGATATCTTCTTGTGCACACTGCAGATAACCTTATTTGATTACAGAACTCTTGTGATTTTTTTTTTGGTGCCACAGTTATCCATATGGTCATTAATCTGTCTTTTCTACTGGACTCTACACTAAGAACATGGATCTAGTCTGTTCTTTTTACAGCATTTACTTTACTGTAATTTGCATTAGAGGCACTCAGTCTACATCTATTCAGAATATAAATGAAGGGAGGTCAAAATGTACAGACATTGCTTTACACAGACAAGGCATTAATGTATTTTATTTCATATGTTCTTCCTTCATCCAGATTATGGAAGCTCGTTAAAAATACAGGACTCACTTAATCTATACAATGCATTAGTAGATCTTAAAAAAATGAACAAAATACTTACGAAAAATAATAAAAAATTGGAAAATAAGAATAATGCTCTACAGAAGGAAATATCAGAAACAAGAGAGGAGATATCAAATTTACAAGATGAAATCGTGAAATGGACTGAAGAGTTCAGGAACCTGAGGTCTGACACCCTACTTTGAGAACCTTATGTTACAGATATGGAGAGGGAGTCTTGCAATTACTGTCCTTCTAGAGTTTTGCAGTAGAAAAATTCTGTGTCTTATGGATCAAGAAATTGCTGAGAATAATAAAACAAATCAATATTCATGGATATCACTAATAATTAGATATATTCTCTTTAAAATACCCATTTTAATAGATATCCTTTATATTGAAAGTTCACTATTTATCACACGGTATTGTGTGGAATTTTTATTGTATCAACTTAGAAATAATTCAGCGAGTATTATCATTTGGATAAACAATTTTCTACACTCTAAATTATTTACTTTTAATGAGTTCATCAATATAGAATCATGTATTTAAAATATAGAACATTTAAAAATGCCTTTGATCAATATTTCTACACTTTTTCAAGTAAGTTTATATTCCTTTATAATTCTACCCACAGAGCATGAAACGGTCATTTTAATATTTTGAAACTTTACTTAAGGAATATACTTTTTTATTGTTGTGCTGAAAATGAAAATCAGGCCCTTCTGCATGCTAACCAGGACTAAAAGTTACACAAATAATGGGCTTATTCTAATCACCACACATCAAATAAAAAGTAAAGTGGGAAACAATTACTGACAATTCAGCAGCACTTTCATATATAGATTTAAAAAAAAGATACCTTTATTTTTCAAGACAGGGTTTGACCTGCCTCTGCCTCCAGAATTAAAACAAATTCTATATAAAGTGAGGGCATGACCACTCCAAGGTATTGCTGAGGAGAAGGTTTTTTATTGTAGATATGAGAGAGAGTACAGTCAGAGACATCTGGAAGAGTCCAGAACATGAACATGACCAGCACCCTGATAGGAGGGGTAGAGAGAAGAGTGAGAGAGGAAAATCAAGGGAAATGGGACCAAGAGTGAGGGGGCAAAAAGAGAGAAGGAGCCAAGGGGTATGAGAGCTATAGAACGTGGCCAAGATGACAGGATTATATGGAAATAAGGAACTATGGGAAGAGAAGCCCATGAGCTGGAGAAGTTTAGGGCAGCAGGAAGGGTGACAAGAACTGGGAAGAGGAGTCACAAGTATGGAGTGTGCCTGGAGACCATCACATACTTTGGTACGCTCATAGGCACCACAGTTAACCATTTGCCCTAAGTTTCTATTGAACCTGACACATGCCAATAGGCCTGTGTAGCTGTTCTATATTGAGAGAGCACATGATATTTAATATTGGTTTAATTATTTGTTATTGACTTGTTCCAAGTGGGACTTTTAAGTTTTTCATAAAATACATCATAATCAACAAAGTAAGTTAAAATCGTTACAAAAAAATCCCCAAAAACCAAAACCAAAACCAAAACCAAAAACAAAAACAAAAACAAACCCTAAGGCAACATAAAAAGCATTGAGGTTAGACTCTTGACAACATAAACTTATTGTTTTTGTTTTACATTTTTCTCATACAATTTATTATTATAAAAATTAACCTATGAAGATCAGTGTGAGCATTGCATTTTCCAACAAACTTAATTTCATGATATTTAACTTCAGGTTTACTTTAAGGAAAGAACTTGAGGAGACAAGAAATATTCTTTGCTTTTATAAAAATATTAAGAAACATTTAAGTGAAATAGAAAAACAATTCAACGAAAGAGTCGCAGTGACACAGCTTGGGATATATCTGAGAACACGAGATATGGGACTGGAGAATGAAACAAACTCCTTGAAAGAGGTAAACTAATATCAAATAAAACCTTCTCATCTTCACTCAACTTCACCAATATTACTTATAGTCGCCTTTTCATGAATCAATGTGTATCCTGTACTTAAAATTACATGAATTTGGTCTGTCAAATATGTGTTGTCAATTTGCATCACAAGCCAACCTCTCACAACCATATACTTACAGAAACTTAAAACACCTGACATATCAGTAGGCATGTATTTTTAATTTATTATAATTTTAGCTTTTCTTTAAAAATATATTTATTTTAAAGATTATAATATAATCAGATCATTTCACCCTTCCCTTTCCTTTCTCCAAACTCTCCCATATACCTCTTCCCAGTCTCCTTCAAATTATTGGACTTCTTTTTCATTAATTGCTGCTACACTCTTGTGTGTGTGTGTGTGTGTGTGTGTGTGTGTGTGTGTGTGTGTGTGTGGTTTTCTTTGGGCCATCATCCAGATTCCAAATGAAAACATGGAGACTTATTATTAACTATGAATGCTCTGCCTAAGCTCTGTCCCACTAGCTCTTTTAACTTATTCTAACCTGTAGAAATTCATCTATATTTTGCCTCGGGGCTTTTATCCTTTTCTCATTTTGTACGTCCTGCTTCCCTACTTCCTCTGTGTCCGTCCATCTGGCCCCTGTTGTCTCCTTTTCTTTCTCTCTTGATCCTGAATTCCTCCTTCTATTTCCTCTCTCTGCCTGGAAGTCCCACCTGCATCACCCTTGGTATTGACCATTTAGCTTTTTATTAGACCAATAAGGTGATTTAGGCAGGCAAGGTAAACAGCTGCATATCTTTACATAATTAAACAAACACAACACATCATCACATAGTTAAATATTTTATAACATAAACAAATGCAACACATCTTTACATAGTTAAACAAATATTCCACTATATACATACACACACATACATATATGTCTATAATAATATATATCTGTAAATAGAACTGCTCAGACTGTATAATGTTACTTGTATGCATATTTTCAAAGCTGATTACTGGGCACTGACTATTTCTGCCACGCTCAGTGTTCCTTAGTTGCCTGTATGAGGTTGAGACCTTCCAAGCTTTGCTCTGTCCATATTAGCAGGTCCACTGTTGTTGTCACTGTTCTGCATGTAGGCAGTCATGTTGGTGAGACTTGCTGAGTGTAACTCGAACATTACTAGGAGACACAATCTAATAAGCTATCTCATCCTCTGGCTCTTACAATCTTTCCACCCCCTCTTTTGCAATGTTACCTGACTTAGGTGAGGGAGTTTCTTTGTAGATGTATCTACTGAGACTGGCTCCATAACTCTGCATTTTTATTGGCTGAGGTTTCCTGTAAAGGAATATATGATAAGCACAGAGATACTTGCGCATCCATATTTATTATGACACTCATTCACAATAGCTTAGATATAGAACCAGTCAAGATGTCAATAAAGAGTTGGATGGGAAAAGAAATTGTGATACATACAAACAGTGGAGTTTTATTGGCCTGTGAAGAATGAAATTGTGGAGATGGGGAGATGGCTCAGTGTTTGAGAGTGTTGACTGCTCTTTCAGAGGATCCTATTTCAGTGCCAGCACCCAAATGGCACCTCACAACAGTCTGTAACTCCAGTCCCAGAGGATCTGACATCCCCACACAGACATACATACAGACAAAACACCAATCAACATTAAAGAAAGAAAGAAATTGTATCATTTTCGGGAAAATTAATAAAACTAGAGGTCATCATGCTAAGTAGAAGCTCAATTCAGGATGATAAATGTATATTTTCTTTAGCATGCCTATTACAGATTAGAAACATAGGACCTGCTATGTGTATATGGGGTAGACTATATCTAAAGAGGTGGAGCATGAAAGGTTAGTGTAGTATCAAACAACAACAAGCATCACATATTTTTCTCTCCTGTGAATATCTAGAGAACCCTAATGTCATAATGGAATTCAATAGTGTTAGGTTAGATATGTCAGCCAGCCTCTTAAGGTCATAAGTTTGCATATTGTTAATGAGTGACTTTGACCAAGGCATGTTGTTTACAATGTGCGGTATCATTCTTGCTTAATGAACAATATTGACAGCATTTAGGTCACAGATTATTAGAAATGGACAAACTTATTTCTAGTAAAATTAGTGAATATTTCACAAAATACTTGAATTATGCCCCTATCTCATGAAAATGTTGCTCCTTAGGAGATCAAATTTTATGATACCAGCATAATCTTAAAGCTCACAGCAGGTGTGTATCACCATGGGTCACATAATCATAATCTGTGTGCATTCTCTGTTGGAATCTGCCCAGCCCTCCAGTGAGGTACATGCTGTTAGTATGTCTAGCCCATATATGAAAAGACTGGAATACAGAATGCAAACATGCCTACAAGGAGCATGTAGTCATTGGTGGCACCTGAATGCACTTGAATTAAGAAGCAGATGTTGAGACATCTGTGCAGATATTGCCCTCCCCAACTCTTCAGAAAACAACTAAAATCTGAGATGTCACATCACTGTGCCACATTACTGGCAGAGTTTGCATGTCTAGGAACTCTTTGTACAATAGTGATGATGTAGCATTCAAATTTACATATACATATGTATACATACATACATACATACATACATACATACATACATTTCGAGGGTGTTCCTTTTTTCTCATTTCCCAGGCTTTTCTTTGTCTCTATCAGATAATATACAGTTTAAATTTAAGAATAACATATTTCAATCACGTAGAAATACCAAGACATGCTTTTATGACAAGAGTCATATTACAGTGTCCCTACAGACTTTGTGAGCTGCAGTACTCAGCTATCTGCGAAGTTTCAAAACCAGAGTTGCCACAGGCAGCATGTTCAGGAAGAAGCTAGCTGGATTCCACAAGACTTTAGTGTATTATCAGTTAATGGCTAGATTTATGAGGAATATTAGTAAAATTATTTTCAATCTTTTTTTTTAGTTTCTGGAAGCACAAGATGCATACATAGAGACTCTAAAAATTGTTCAGAAGCTGAAAGATCATTTACAAAGGTATAACGTAAAGTAGATTTGACATGACTTGTTTATATAACAAGTAAGAGGTGTGATGGAGAAGTGCATCAGTTGTGAGTTAGTATATTACTGTGAAGCCTGGGTCATGTGCTTGAAGTCACTTGAAACACAGTTCAGGGTTTATGAAGTATCTCAGTGGTAGAGAATGTGCTCATATGACTGACAGTCTGGTTATTTCCCAAATAATACAAAAAAATAAAAATGAAGAATCACCTTCATCCAGCGACTGATGGAAGCAGAGACAAACACCCACAGCTAAACACTGAACTGAACTCCTAGAACCCAGTGACAGAGAGGGAGGAGTAATGAGCAAAGGGGTCAAGACTGTGTGGTGGAACCCACAGAGACAGTTGACCTGACAAGGGGGAGCTCTTGGATCCCAGACTGATAGCTGACAGGGCAGCATGGGACTGATCCAGATCCCCTGAATATGGTGTCAGTGAGGAGGCCTCAGCAATTCCTGGGGTCTTGGGTAGTAGATCAGTATTTACCATGGCTTATGAATAAACTTTGTGAGTCCATTCCACATGGAAGGATGCTCTCTCAGCCTAGACAGAAGGGGGAGGGCCTAGGCTCTGCCCTGAATGAAATGACAGACTCTGGAGATCCCCCATGGGAGGGCCTCACCCTCCTTGGGGAACAGTGTAGAGATTAGGTGGGGGGCAGGGGAGCTGGTGGAGAGGCAAGGGAGGAGGGGAGGGTGAGGGAGCTGGGATTTACATGTGAAGCAAGCTTGTTTCTAATTTAAATAAAAATTATATTAAAAATGATGAATCATGTGGCTTTTATATTATACCTAAATTTTGCACATCTTTACAAGGTAGGACTGCAGAATGATACAATTTCTAAATCACATACTTTTCAAATATGTCATAATTTATGCAATTTCTATTTCAGATAATTTTTCAAAAACCCTGTTGCATTGCATATGGATGCAGGATAATGAAAGGGGATCTATGGAAGGGGAGCAGGGAGTCTAAGGGCAGGGCAGAAGGACAAGAAAGCAAGGTGGGGTATACAGGAAGGGAGGAATTAGATTGGGCTGAGAGAAGGAATGGGGAAGGTAGCTGGGGTAAGAAAGAACAATGTTTAATGGTATATGTGTCTAAAATGCCAATAAAATCCATTACCTTGTAGACCAAGTTGAATAAAACAATTTAAAATTATGTGATACTAAAAATTAGTCCCTGATAAGAACTATTCTAAAATATTCAATTTCAGGGTTGAACTTGAACATTCTAAGTTAAAGGTTAAAGCAAAAGATCAAGCTAAGAAAATTGAAGAACTTCGTGGATGTCTGCATAACTCGTGTGAAAAGCTGGAACAAGATGAAAAATTGGTAGGTCAGTCTCATTAATTTTTGTCATACCAAAATGCATTCTCTTACCTAATACTGTATGGTAATATTTCAGGGATTATATTAAATGTCTCACTGAAAAAAATATTTGTTGTATTCATATTAATACTTCTTGCTACTACTAGGGCTCAAGTCACCATGGCTTCACACAAGAAGCTATTTAATAAAATTGATGACTTTGGAAGTAGTTGACTATGTTACAGAAAAGACCTTTGGAACAAAGCTTTCGAAAGGTCATATATATCCATATAGAGAATATGGAGAAGAAAACAGCTGATAATCTGTTCTTCATGGACAATTCCACTATCATAAAAGAAAATAAGATGAATTGTACTAGTCAACATCCTAAAGATGAGAATTTGCTTTTATTAACCAACCTGAACAGAAACAATGCACTCCCCCTTAATACAGGACTCATGATAGAACTACTTCCAATGAAGAATTTCCAGGAATAAAGTGCTTAAAATCACACTATGTCCTGGCAGCTTATTAAAGAGACATCTCACTGGGAGGAGTAATTTGGCTTTCCAAATCTCAGGGTGATCTGTATGCACATAAATATGGAAAGGATGCAAACATGGGGGTCTTCTCCATAGAAACAAGCTTGGAGGGTCAGAAAGAATTGTGCCCCATTCATGTCATTCAAAGAGCAGTATGTTTGGTTTTGAAAAGACTTTAAAATTCTTTATTTCTTTTTGGAGATAAGGGAAATGAAGATTTATTAGGATATTAAGAACAGGCTCAGGGTGTGCCTCAGTCACCAAGTACTTGTTTAGAACACACCAGGCCCTGAGTTGAATCACCCACCCTTCCCACATTGAAAAAAGTCCAGTCAACTCAAAGTTACCTTTTGTCTTTAAAGTCAAATTATTGAAGCCAGATAAAAGATCTGTATTTTAAAGCAAATCCCCTCACTCAGTGTTAACCTGTCTAACTCTGGGAATCTGCCAGGCACATTTTCCTGCTTGTAGAAAACTGAAATCACAGGGGGCCTTGTAGACCTCCTTCAGTTGTTCTAATGTCGTTCTCTGTTGCTTCTCATCTTCTTATTAGCAATGTTCATCTTCAATAAGTTAATGTTTCTACTTACTGAGTGCAACTTGTTTCTGGATCATTTTAAGTCACCACCCTTTTTCACTGATAAATCATCTAGGTCATGATTTAAAATATCTTATTTAACATCATAATTCTTGGGTCCAGATGAGGATGTAGCAACTAGACCATAGCCTGGTAAATACAACTTCTCTGAATAAGCCATTTACAGCGCACATAACTAACACTCTGCTGGACTCCTACCACCACCACCACCCTGCCTCCAAGTAAGCCCACATTAGAACGAAGAATGAAAGGTGCTGAGGACAGTCATGCAAGCTTGAAAATTCTCTGAGACTGTTCCCTGGCCTTGGAGTCATGCCCCAGTTCTCTATTGGGGCAGTGGTTCTTCCTTTCCTAATAAAGAGACTGTGCTTGGAGCAGGGCATTTTCCACTTTGGGCTTCCTCTCTGCAGAACTCCCAAGGCACAAATGCAGCAGCCTTCATTCTGTTTTAGTATTTCCTTAATGTAAGATAGCAAGTGGCACTTTGATTACATTTCTCTTTAGAATTTTGAGTCTACTGTGGAATTTTTGGATTTGAGTCATTCTAAGAGGCACCTTTATACATTTTTAAACATGATGTTATATCTTAACTTATGTGTGTTTGTGTATATATTTGGGCGTTGTGTGGGTGTGTGCAAGTGTGTCTAGCATCTTTGGAGTACAGAATATGGTGCCATATCTTCCAGGGCTCAAGTTAAAGGTGATTGTCAGTCATCTAGTGTGGTTACTAGGAACAAAGCTCAGGTCTGCAGCATGAGTAGAATGCACTTTCCATGACCAGACAATTTCTCCAATCCCACAAATCATTTTGGATTAGCTCTTCCTTCTAGGTTGTCAATGAAGCTGTATTCAAATAAACCTTAAATACCAATTAGGAAATGTGAATCTTTATGAAGACATAACAAAGGGCCTTGTATTTATGGTCTTGGCTTACTCTTCAGCCCTGTGTTCCCAGTGGTACCCTTGGGTCTCATCTTAGAAGGCACTTATTTTAACATTATTTGATAATTTGGCATGTGGAAATTCTACACATTAGAAATGCATACCTTTCCACAGCACATTCTGGTTCTTTTATATTTAATAGTCTTTTCTATAGCTCCTTTCTCACTTAAATTTTTCTTTTGTTTGTGATGTAATAATAGTTCTTCTCCTGCTAAAATCTCTTTGAAGGATGTGAATCATTCAGTAGACATTACCTCCAAAGCCCATGCTTCTTTCACTTCTAATCTATGTTGCTTAGTGCTCTCAAATTATCCTTATATTAGATCCCCCAATATGGGGAGTTTTGAGATGAGCCCACAAACATTTGAATTGTCTAGTTACATGAGCAGTATGTAAGACCCGCTCCGGGAGGACCATTTAGCTCACTGATGAGTACTTTCCCAAGCACTTGGTTTCAATCCCCAGCCACACACACACAAATTCACACAAATGAATGAGAATATTGAAAATTCAGATTTACTGTGGGTGATACTGATACTTTAAAAAATTTTAATTTCTATTATTTTGTGTTTATGCATGTTTGCATGTATGCATGCATGTATGTATGTGTACCTTGTGCATACCTGGTGCCTACAGAAGTAATAAGAAAGCATTGGATCCCCTAGAACTGGAGTTATGGATGGTTTGGAATCACCACGCAGGTCTTGGGGACCAAACCTAAGTCCCTTGCAAGAGCAGCAAGAGATTTGCATCATTGAGCCATCTTCCCAGTTCCTGATGACAAATATTTTAAACAAGAATATAAAACTTCTATTTGAATCACTTACTCAAAAGTAAAGCTATCAAATGTATGAAGATTTTCTCTAAATATATCATTACAATTTGCTTTAGACACAGGCAGGTGCTCAAGAAACTTTGGGGGAATTATGTGAGAACACCATTCATTCCCCAGTGAATCAGACAGGAATTCAAACCCAAAGTCGGTGGTCTGAACCCACTCAAATGAAAACTGTACAAGAGTCAAATATAAGTGCCCCGGAAAGTTTTGAACAACAGTGTATAGAAGAATTAAGGATTAACAATGCATTGTTATGTGAACTATACAGGTGAGTAAAACTAAAGATTTGCAGAAAATAGACTCACCCCAGCTTTTCTTAACCACTGAGCCATCTCTTCAGCCTGACCCCAGCTTTTCTATAAGACAAAATTTACAGTGAAATAGTTATGAGATTAGTGGGTGCAAAAGCGAGCCAGCCAAAATAGTTTTGGAAAATAATCTTAGATGGTGCAATACTTGTTGTAAGTTTTTAAAGTGGCACAAGAAAGATGCCATGTGACAGAGTTCAAGAGGAGGAATTTTCTAATTAGGGGAAAAGGATAATAAAAAGGGAAATGGGAGGGGAGAGACGGGCCTCTAGGGATAGGAGCAGTGAGAAGGAAGAGAGAGGCAGAGAGAAAGAGGAAGAGAGGGAGGAGGAGGGAGGAAGGGAGAGAGGGAAACAGAGAGAAACAGAGACAAAGAGGGATGGGAGGTGGGGAGGGAAATAGTGAATGTGCACAGGTGGTGCTGTTAGTGGCAGCAGCTGAGGGTGTATCCTGTCAGAGCCCCAAGGACAGGACAGGACAAATGCTTAAATACTAACTATTTACCTTCAAAATGTCATTCCAGGGTATACTTGATTACACCCTCTCTTTTGATTAGATATTCGATTTTCTCCATTAACATTCTTTAGTAGTTAATTGATGTAAGTTTGCTAGTCAGCTTGCCAATAAATAGAAATAGTAAAAGTTTGGGTGCTGTTTGGAAGGTTGTAATGAAAAGTTAAGTGCTAACTACTCTTTTTGTACACAGACTGGAGCTTCCTTAAACCAGCTAGCTACCTTTGGTATTACCATTAATTATTGCCCACTGCCCAGTGTTTAACTTCATCCACGTTCTACACAAATATTGAAACTAAGAGCTTGGGAATGTCCTTGAGGAGATTTTCTTCTAACCTCCTTAACTTGTTTATTACTAAATACAAGTATCCATCTATTTTCTGCAGCCTTAATCTTATATATATATATATATGGAGTGCAATATAATATTTAATGAGGATATATTAGTAAATATGCTATTATAGCCTTATATGTTAACATTCCCATAACCCCAAAATGTTGCTATGCTTTGAATTAAAATATCTCTGCTGTAACCATAAGGTTTGTATATGTAGAGTCCTCCCAGAGGGCAGTATTTTTCCCTGTCAAGCCATATGTCTTTGATAGCCTTGTCTCTACTTCTGATATTGTTTGGTATACTTGCTACCCCATACTTTCTCTAGAAATAGAAGGAATCCTTTGGAATAACTCGAAACCTGTAATTGTATGCATGGCAGGCATGCTCCTACACACTTCTCAGTGTCAAGATTTTGTTTAATAGGGAAATTCTGTGCATTCTTATGGTGCCTTTAAAATACAAAGAGACTTTTGTGGATGGATGAGATACATATTACAGTGTACACCCTTTCGGTCTGTACAGGAATAGGAGGCTAAGTGAATCCTGTGCACAAGTTCACATCTCGGTGGAGCAGGGCACTCCTCTGAATACATCCGGAACAAGGTTTGCTCTTGAGAGCCCTTGTGTGGCAAGCACCTGCCCTCGCAGACACTTCTTGCCATGTGAAAACATGACTCTCCCAGGAAACCCAAGGTCTTCTGAGGACTGCATTCGAAGCTACCCAGTGGAGGTATTGTCATTTCCTCTGTTTTCAGACTTGTGATAGGATCCCTGTTTTTAATTTCGTGTGTCACAAAATTGGTCATTTAATGGGCATAGAAAGTAAATGTACTGTATGTATCAATTATGATAGAAAGCAAAATATGCATTTTTCTAAAGTGTGTAGAGTCTGTTGTTCCCCATTAGATTAAATAATTGTAATGGAACAGTGAAGTTTTTAAACATTGTTTAGATGCTATACTTATGTAGTTGCAAAGTGGGTGTGACTATGGGCAGACTTTGAGGCATGTTTCTGGATGATTATAGCTTGATTGGTCTTTACGGAGCCTGGGTGTTTCCCCACAGATTCCCAGATCTGCACACTTATCATGAGTGAATTACCAGCATCCAAACATGTCACCATGTATGGACATTTATAATTTAAAGTAACCTGGAGTAATGCTCTTAATGTATAAACTAAATGAAACAAAAACAAAAGCAATTCTTAGAACTAGGTTTTTCCATTTCCTTAAATGGAAGATATCCTTAATTGTGATTTAACTTGAAACATGTTTGTATCAATTTTAAAATGTATATGTATGGCTCCACAGTTCTTTTTAGCATTCCAATAGCTATAAATAATATAAATAAGAAAATGCTTGCATTTTTTTAAAGTTTGCTCATGCCTCTATATTTCACCCTCCTTTAATGACTGGTGACCAGTACCCACATGATAGGTCTCTGGGGTATATAATACCCTCTTCTGGCCTTTGTGAGAACTGCACATACATAGTGCACAGGCAAACATGAAGTCAAACCATCCATACACATAAAAATACATTTGAAAAGTAACTGGGTAGATAAATAAGAAGAAATCACGTAGCTTGCATCTTTCCTCTATTATGTTTGGTTTATCATTAGATGTTTCTAAGCACATTCGTCATAGTTTTAAGAAAGAAGGCTAAGTCTCCAATGTTTTAAAACTACTTTGTATGATTTTTTGAAGATGGAAGATGAGGAAAAATCAATCAAAGAACTTACCAAATTAAAACAGTATTTAAGATGTAATTTGTATCAGCAGCAGCAGAAAAATGATGAACTAGAAAAGGAGATCCTTAGGTAAGATTTTAGTATTGCAAATATTGTCAACCATTCATATTAGCTATAATATTAACTATATTTGAATTAAGACCTAAATATAAATTCATTTTATTTATGCTTTTTATAAGAACTGTTTCCAAGCCTGCAAGGTGGTTCAACATACAAAGGGGATTTCTGCTAGACACGGCAAGCTGAGTCATATCTTGAGCCCCACATGATAAAAGGAGAGAACCAACTCCTAATACACACACAAATATGAGGGCGAAACAATAGCAAATAACTGCATCTTAAGTTTTACTTCAGAAACTGACACGATCTGAACCTTCCTTATTTCCCCCATGATTTTCCTGTCCTAGTTCCCCAAATGTGAAAATTTCAATTTTGTGCCCTCACAGTTAGCCTGGATGCTTTTAGAACTTCTCACTCCACTTCATCAACCATCATGTTTTATTTTTCATGTTATTTTTTTATTTTTCTTCTCATGTATGATTCCATCCAACATTAAACAAGTTTAGTATATAAAGCCCTTCTGATTGCCTATCTGTATTAAGTTTGTATTTTCTTTATTGTTATAAAATACAGCATGTTATAAACTCCTTTTCCATAGGTATCACTTGTGTGCCCAAGAGGTGTGTGTGTTATTTAGTTTTACACATACTTACATACACACACACATAGATAGACACACAGAGACACACATGCAAGCAGAGTAATAAGTGAATAAAAACTTTATAAACGTATACACTTTCCTCTCTTTAGGTGTACTTTGGATTAAAGCTAATAATAAGTTGATGTTTTATATAAGTATATGAATACTGATAAAAGTATTTATAAAAATCCTGTGGATAAATATGAAGTCAGTTATTTGACTGCTGTATATATCATATTAATTTATACTCTTACCTAAGATAATTAAATAAAATGATTCCAAGAAAAGTTATATTAATTTAGGTCATGATTTATAGATATATTCATTTTATACAAATAGAACCTGCTTAAGGAATCAGTAAATATGTGCTAGTAAAATATATTATTTATTTGTTACATTCTTATAGAATTAAGAAATTCTTGAAAATGAGAAAAATTGGGCATGAAATTGGAGAATGTAGTTCTCATGGAAACTCAAGAACTGGTCATTTTTGAGACACAAGGTGAGTTTAAAGAGCACAGCTCACTTTATTTTTTTCCTCAATATGTGCTTTTATTTAAATTAGAAACATGAATGCTTCACATGTCAATCCCAGCTCCCTCTCCCATTTCTCCTCCCTTGTCCCTCCACCAGCCTCCCCAGCCCCCCATTTCATCCCCACATCATTCCCCAGGGAGGGTGAGGTGCTCCTTGGGGGGAATCTCCAAAGTCTGTCATTTCATCCAAGGCAGGACCTAGGCCCTTCCCCATATGTCCAGGCTGAGAGAGCATCCCTCTATTTGGAAAGTGCTCCCAAAGATCATTCATACACTATGGTAAACACTGATCTACTACCCAAGGCCCCAGTGATTTCTGTGGCCTCCTCACTGAGACTACATTCATGGAGTCTGGATCAGTACCCTGTTGGCCTCTCAGGCATCAGTCTGGGATTCAAGAGCTCCCCCTTATCCAGTCAACTGTCTTTGTGGGTTTTACCATCATGGTCTTGACCCATTTGCTCATCACTCCTCCATCTCTGTCACTAGGTTCCAGGAGTTCAGTTCAGTGTTTAGCTGTGGGTATCTGTCTCTGCTTCCATCAGTCACTGGATGAAGGTTCTAGGATGGCATATAGGGTGCTCATCAACCTTATCATCAAGGAGGGGCTATTAATGTAGTCTCTCCACTATTGCTTAGTTTGCAAATTGGTGTTATCCTTGTAGATCTCTGGAAATCTCACTAGTGTCAGCTCTCTCCTCAAGCCTATAATGACTCCATCTATTATGTTATCTCTCATCCTGCTTTCCTCTATTCTTACCTCCACTAAACCTTCCTGCTCCCCCATGCCTTCTTCTACTCTCCTCTTATCCCCTTCTCTTTTCCTGGTTTCCTCTCCTCTCCCCTGATGTTCCCAATCTGCTCAGGAGATCTTGCCTCACTCCACTTCTCTGGAGTATCATGCATCTCTCTTGGGAACCTCCCTGTTTCCCAGACTCACTGGCACTGGGATTGTAGGTTGACACTCCCCTGATTCATATCTAAAATCCATATGTGAGTCAGAACATACCTTGTTTGTCTTTTTGTGTCTGGGTTACCTCACTCAGGATGGTTTCCTCTAGTGCCTTCCATTTGCCTGCGAATTTCAAGATTCCATTGTTTTTTCCACTGAGTAGTACTCCATTGTGTAAATGTACCACATTTTCTCTATCCACTCTTCAGTTGTGGGGCATCAAGGTTGCTTCCAGGATCTAGCTATTACAAATAATGCTGCTATGAACATAGTGAACAGACATCCTTGTTGTGTGAATGGACATCTTTTGGGTATATGCCTAAGAGTGTAATTGCTGGGTCTTGTGGTAGACTGATTCCCATTTTTCTGAGGAATCTCTATACTGATTTCCATAATGGCTGTACAAATTAGCACTCCCACCAGCAGTGGAGGAGTGTTCCCCTCTCTCCACATCCTCTCCAGCACAAACTGTCATTGGTGTTTTTGATTTTAGCCATTCTGACAAGGAGTAAGATGATATCTCAGAGTTACTTTGATTTGCATTTCCCTAATGGCTAATGATGTTAAGCCCTTTCTCAAGTATCTCTCAGCCATTTTATACTCCTCTATTGAGAATTCTCTATTTAGTTCAGTCCCCTACTTTTTAATTGGATCCTTTGGTGTTTTATTTTATTTTTTCAATAACATACAAATCTCTTAGTGCTTCGAGCAATGAAATGAATGTAAGACTGCTGCAGATTGAGTGATAGTCGAAGTTTACTTTTTCTAATAGGATGACCCATGTGTCTATTTCTAAGCCAGAGCAAAACTTAAGAGATTTAGCATTAGAATCTTTTCCCGCTAGGCTTGTACACTGCTAGCTATCTTGCAATAGTGCAGTGTGTAGTGGAGAGTGTGGTCCTTGACTCACTCATGTTGAGCCTTTTGGCTTCTTGTGCAACCCATGTCTCACTTATGCTCCATTGATATCAGAGCATGATTTGAAGTCAGGCTTAAAACGACGGAGTCTAGACAGAGACTAGGTCTCCTCTTGAATCTCTTGTCTGTCATCTGTCATTTCCTTCTCTACTCTGACTTCCATCAGTTCTTTGACACGGCACTTGATAAGTCTGTGATCTGTTTCACTATGACTTACTATCCCACCATGATTCATAGAATCACTGGTAGGTTTTTTCTGGCTGTGTCTTGTAGGCTTTCTAATACATTCCTTTTTATTGTTAGCACTTAGTGTAAACTTGGCAAAACTCAGGCTGACTTAGGAGAAGGCATGCCTTAGGGGTGGGTGTAGTGATTACATTGATTGATGTGGGAAGACTTGCCATCACGGGTATCACAAGTCTCTAGGCTTAGAGATCCTGGACTGTATAAATGTAGAGGGCTAGGCACCAGCACATGTGCATTGGCTTGTTACTCTCTGTTCCTGGCTGATTGTTCTGTGATTATCTGCTTCATGATCTGCTACCTTGACCTGGTGGATGATAACATGGATTTGTCATAACCCTTCCCTGCTAAGTTGCTTGTGTCTGCAGTTTTATCATAGTAACAGGAAACAAAACCAAGACACCCAATAAGCCTTCCCTGTGTTTTGATAGGAGTCTGGGGTCAGACATATAGTATGTTACAGAAGTGTTCACATATCCTACTTCCATTCTTATGATTTTAATTATATGACCCACAGCAAAATGCTTTTGAATTATTTTTCACTTATAAAGCAAGTGAGAACTAGACATTTTGGGACCATTGTGGTCTCAGAAACTAAGTAAACATAATTCCCCCATGGACGTGCAAAAGGGGAGGGAGTATTTTGGACTTATGACAAAAGACTGTGCTTTGTAGAATTTCTATTTCATTTCTTTCATTCTTTTACAATGAAATATGTCACCTAATCTGGAGAAAACGCTTTCCTCTGGGTACTTACTAAGACACAGTTATTTATTGTTGTCATGAACAAATTCAGAAGCATGTTGTTCATCTGAAATCATCTTATGTAAGGCTTCATTTCTTTCTAAAAATGAAGAAACAATTTCACAACAGAATTCCTGGTCATCTGGCTCTTTCAATCTTTCTGCTCCACTTCTGTGGTTTTCCCTGAGTCTGGAGGGTATGGAGCTGTGTCAGAGCTGGGCTCCACATTATCTATTAATCTTTGCATTATGACCTATTACATTTTCTATATTTGGTGTCCATTTGCTATAAAGAGAAGTTTCCCTGATTAGGAGTGAGAGCTACACATGTTTGTATGTATAAAGGTAAGTTTTAGAATGCAGTTAAGAATTATTTTTGTTAAAAAAAAAGACCAAAAAATTTAAAAACCAGAAACAAAACTAAAAAAACATATTTTTATTTGATTTTTTAAAATAAAAAATTAATTTGTATTGTTATTCATGTTTTAAATTTTATTATTTCTTTTCAAGTTTTCCTTTGCAGTGGGGGCAAGTTACAAGGGCAGATATGGAGGGACCGGGAAATGAGTGGGGTTGAGGTTCATGATATGAAATTCCCAAAGAATCAAAAAAATTTGTTCAAAAAAGAAATAACAAACAAAAAATGAAGTATTGGTCTAGAAATATGGCAGCAGAAGGTTATCTCCTAAGGTCCATGTCCTCACTAGCCCTGGATAGTTGGTTAGGTTTCTGGTACTGGGCATGATTTCCCTCCTGTTGAGCAGGCTGTAAGCTCAATTAATTAGTTAGTTGTTAGTTACTATCGATACATGAGTGCCACTATTGCCATGTTGGCCATTGCTGTGGTTCACTGGTGTCACGGATGGATAGGACTATTTTTCCCTTCTGTGGCAGTGCACATAGTAGTTTCTGGTCCTGTGAAAGTTAGATCAGTAGATTACTGTTAGTGCCACTTTTAAAATTTCTTCTGAGTTTACATTCCCCTTTTCTGTACTTGCTGAGGCATCTTAGTTACTTCAGTTTCCAATTTATTACCATCAGCCAGCTCTTGAACAAAGGCTGGAATCTGAATGATTGTGCTGGGCTTTTCATAGGTTTTCGGTACAGAAGTGAGCAGGTACATGTTTCAGCAACAGTGGGTTTTTTGTAGCAATTGGGGTACAAGCTTGGCACGTAGAGGGGTCTACTGGATCTTCCCAAATCTCTGGTTGTGATTCCTTCCCTTTTGCTCACTCTATGTATTCATCATTAAACTTACAACATCTAACATATTGTAGATCTTTCTCCAGCTAGGATGAGCACTCCCTACTCTGTGCATGAGGGTTACACTGGGGAGGACTCACACACAGAGGAGGACTTACCATTGTGCCCCATCTCCAAACCTTTTGAGAAACATATGTAGGTAATTAGTTTCTTGTGTCCAGTTTGCACAACACAAAATGCACTAGCTGCAAGCTTGAAGTAGAAGTCTCAGAAGTTTGCTCTTCCATAAGCAATATGTTTGCTTTGACAAGTCTCACAAGATGATGTATTGTGTCTTTCTGAATTCTCTTCCTTTAAACATCATGAGATACAAATGCTTGTATCTGAGAGTAACTGGTTGTGCTTGACAAAGTCTTGGCTCTTGGTCACACTGACCACAGACTATGATGTATGCATATACTCCGTAGAATCGCTGCCGCACAATGCTCCACACATCTAGACTCATGTTTAGACCAACTGTCTTCTGACAGAAACATAAAGACCTGTGAAATTTTTGACATTCTCCTGTTATCCAGTGTTCAAGGTCTAGGATTTAACAAATCCCCACAGGATCAATGTGTCATTTATCACTGTTTTATGATAAAGACAAGAAATATTGCAAAGACAGCAAAGGCTGCCCAAATTCAAGCACTGTCTGAAGTTTTTCCTTTTCCTCTTGAATATATCTCCCATGTGCAGTCATTTCTAATGCTTGGACATGCACATGCAGACTTCCAAAGCTGCATGTTTAGAAACCATGTTTAGAGAAATATGGAGACCCTGCAAGTCCCAGATGTGTTCAGGCTCATTTTATGTTCCCTTCCTCCTCTTCCCTGAGTTGGGCTCATTTATGCTGATACTATGAAAGTCTTTTCATCTAATTATCCTAAAAAATGACCTCACCAGTCTTAACCTAACAATACATCATTCCTTTGCAGTTTTGTTAATGTTTTAAATTGGCTTTTCAACAATGTGTTCTCCTCTTTCTTCTTTTACAGGAATATGGTTAGACTTTGTCACATGACTGGGTGAACAGATACTCCATGCTTCCACTGTGGATACAAGACTCAATGTGGCAGTCTTGATGTGTTCTAGAGACATCTTCTGGGACCACAGAATGTGTATTGAACATCCAGCTAATTCTTCTAACTCCAGCTTTGGAAACTTGGCCCCTCATCCAGGCACCATCTACCAGCAAAGATGACAAAGCATTGCCTTAAACTAGATTTGTAATTAAACAGTAAATTATTTCAAAAACCTTCATCTTGCTACTTGGTTATTAGTTTTCCTTTCATCTTTTTAATTTTCTATTTGAGAACAAGATTTTTTTTATCATTTTGTTACCTTTTTCATTTATTTTTATGTTTCCTCATTTTTCTTCTTAAATCACCTAAGTGATTATAATGGAATTGTTCCACTTAATAAAATTGCTTAATTTAGTATTTTCACTGCTTTCTACCATGTCCTCCATGAGAAAAGCAACCATTGAATCATGTTCTCCTCACTGTGCCCCTCCCCACCAGTGCATGGCTTCTTACAGCCCTCAAGTGTGTGTCCCTCCTATGCTCATATGACTGCTGAAAAGCCCTGAGCCCCACCATCAACCTGATCCCTTGTCCAGGACCACTTGCTAATTTCCCACAGCCTTGATGGAAAACACAGAGAGAATGGTAAATTCACCTCGGTGTCTGTCTTAATTTTAGATCTGATTTCTGTTACTCTATGATAACTCAATTTAAAACTCCTTTATTCCGGTTTTCATTTTATGAAGATGAAGAGGACTTGCGTCCATGTTTCAGATTGTTATGGTGGCATTAGCTGCCTCTTTCCTTGCCTTGTTAAAGTATCTAACAAGAATCAGCTAAAACTTTGAAGGATTTGTTTATGCCTTCAATTGAGAGGCCACAGCCGACCACGGCAGGGAAGGCTTGACAGCAGGAGTGTGGGGCAGCTGGGCACATGGCCTCCATGATGAGAAAGAAGAGAGATCAGAAGTGGGGCTCAATTAGAAACCTCAAGTTTCACCACTAGAGACTGATTTCTTCCAGCTAAACCACAGCTCAAGGTCCATATGAGTTGAACAAGTGTTCAAACACATGACCTACTGGGTAGAGATTATTTGAGTTAATCACTAGTCCATCTTTTTAAAACTTTACATATTTTACATCCTGACCACAGTTTCCACTTACAATTTCATTGTCTGTGCTACTGGTGTTATATTCAGGAAGTTGTTTCCTATGCCAAAGCATTCAAGGCTACTTCCCACTTTCTCTTATATCAGGTTCCGTATACCTGGATTTATGTTGAGGTCTATGATCCAATTGAACTTGAGTTTTTTTTTATTTTTTTATTTTTAAATTTAAATTAGAAACAAGGTTGCTTCACACATCTATCCCAGGTCCCTCTCCTTTTCCCTTTCCTCTTCCCAAGCCGTCCCACCAACCCCTCCCAGTACCCCCTCATTTCCCAGGGAGGGTGAGGCACTCCATGGGGCGTCCATAGTCTGTCATTTAATCCAGAGCAAGGCCTAGGCTCTCCCCCAAGAGTCCAGGATAAGAGTGCATCTATCATTGTGGGATGGGCACCCAAAGTCCATTTGTATGCAAGGGATATATAATGATCTACTACCTAAGTCCCAGTAGACTGCCTAGGCTTCCTCACTGATGCCCACATTCAGGGGGTCTTGATCAGTCCCATGCTGGATTCCCAGCCATTAGTCTGGGATTCATGAGCTAACCCTTGTCAGGTCAGCTGTTTATGGGGGTTAAACCAGCCTAGTCTTAGCCCATTTGCTCATCAGTCCACCCTCTCAGTGTTTAGCTGTAGGAGTCAGCCTCTGATTCCAACAACCATTGGATGAAGGTTCTGTTCCCCAGACTCTTTGGCCATGGGATTGTAGGCTGGCACTCCCCAGATCTATGTCTAAAATCCATAAATGAGAGAATACATATCATGTTTCTCCTTTTGTGACTGGGTTACCTAACTCAGGATGGTTTCTTCTAGTGCCATCCATTTGCCTGCAAATTTCAGGATTCTATTGTTTTTTTTTCTGCTGAATAGTACTCCATTGTGTAAATGTACCACATTTTCTCTATCCACTCTTCAGTTGAGGGGCATCTAGGTTGCTTCCAGGTTCTGGCTATTACAAATAATGCTGATATGAACATAGTGGAACAGATATCTTTGTTGTATGAATGGGCATCTTTTGGATATATGCCTAAGAGTGGAGTTGCTGGGTCTTGTGGTAGGTTTATTCCCATTTTTCTGAGGAATCTCCATACTGATTTCCAAAGTGGCTGTACGAGTTGGCACTCCTACCAGCAGTGGAGGAGTGTTCCCCTTTCTCCACAACATCTCCAGCATAAACTGTCATTGGTGCTTTTGATTTTAGCCATTCTGACAGGAGTAAGATGGTATCTCAGAGTTGTTTTGATTTGCATTTCGCTGATGGCTAGGGATGTTGAGCACTTTCTCAAGTGGCTCTCAGCCATTTTAGACTCCTCTATTGAGAATTCTCTATGTAGTTCTGTAGCCCACTAAGAGATTCAGCGTGGTTGGCTTTATGTTGAGGTCTTTGATGCATTTGGACTTAAGTTTTGTGCATGGGGATAGACATGGATCTATCTGCAGTCTTCTACATGCCAGCATCCAGTTATGTCAGCACCATTTGTCGAAGATGCTTTCTTTTTTTCATTGTATATTATTAGCATCTTTCTTGAAGATCAGATGTTCATACATGTGTGGGTTAATATCAGGGTGTTATATTCGATTCCCTTGGTCTACCTGTCTATTTTTGTGCCAATACCAAGCTGTTTTCAGGACTACAGCTCTATAAGAGAGCTTAAAGTCAGGGGATGGTGATGCCTCCAGATGTTGCTTTGTTGAGTAACATTGTTTTGGCTACCCTGGGTATTTTGTTTTTCTATACAAAGTTGATAATTGTTCTATCAAGGTCCGTGAAGAATTGTGCTGGGAATTTAATGGGGATTGCATTGAATCTATAGATTGCTTTTGGCAGGATTGCCATTTTTACTACATTGATCCTACCTATCCAAGAGCATGGGTGATCTTTCCATTTTCTGAGGGCTTCTTTAATTTCTTTCTTTAAAGACTCAAAGTTCTTGTGATACAGGTCTTTCACTTGTTTGGTTAGTGTTATGCCAAGGTATATTATGTTGTTTGTGGCAATTGTAAAGGGTGATGTTTCTCTGATTTCTTGGTGGTCTGATTTCTGATTTCTTTTCCCAACCTTTAACTCTGTGGTAATGTCTGTCTCTGAGTCTGAGGTGTGTTTCTTGTATGCAGCAGAAGATGGGTTCTGTCTTCAAATTCATTCTGTTAGTCTGTGTCTTTTTATGGGCGTGTTAAGACCATTAATATTGAGGGATATTAACGACCATTGATTGCTCATTCTTCTTTGATTTGGAATGGTTGTTGGTGGTGGAATTTTGTATGGAATTCCACACTTTTTTTCTTTTGCCTGTTGGCAAGGTAGGATTATCTAATGACTTTGTTTTTCTGATTGTAGTTAACTTCCTTGGGTTGGAGTGTTCCTTCCAGAACTGTCTATAGGGCTGGGTTAGTGGATATGTATTGCTTGAATCTAGTTTTGTCATGGAATATCTTGTTTTCTCTATCTATAGTGATTGAAAGCTTCGCTGGGTGTAGTAATCTGGGCTGGCATCCATGGTCTCTTAGTGTTGGTAGAACATTACCCAGGACCTCCTGGCTTTTAGAGTTTCCATGGAGAAGTCAGGTGTAATTCTCAATGGTTTGCCTTTATATGTTACTTGGCCTTTTTTCCTTAGCTGCTCTTAATATTCTGTCTTTATTCTGTATATTTGGGGTCTTGTTTATTATGTGGCGAGGGGACTTTTTTTGTGGTCAACTCTATTTGGTGTTCTGTAGTCTTCTTGTACCTTCATTGGCATGTCTTTCTTTAGGTTGAGGAAGTTTTCTTCTATGATTTTGTTGAATATATTTTCTGCCCCTTTGAGGTGGTTTTCTTCACCTTCTTCTATACCTATTATTCTTATATTTGGTATTTTCATGGTGTTCCATATTTCCTGGATGTTTGTGTTAGGGATTTGTTGGACTTAAATTTTCTTTGGTTGATGAATCTATTTCTCCTAGTGTATCTTCAACACCTGAGATTTTCTCTTCCATGTCTTGTATTCTGTTGATTATGCTTGTATGTGTAGTACCTGACCATTTGCTCAGCTTTTCTTTTTCTAGCCTTCCTTCAGATTGTGTGTTTTTTATTGTCTCTATTTCAGCTTTCAACCCTTGCAATGTTTGAATTGTTTCTTGCAGTTTTTGCTTGGTCCATTTGATGAGCCCATTCTTCTGCCAGTTGCATGAAAGCACATCATACTGTTATGCTGTTGTCAGCATTGGACAATGATAGTAAGTGGTCTATGATCTCCTGTACTGTACACTGGATCATTGTTTTAGTGTGTGCTTCCTATAGACTGAGTACTTCTGCTATCTTGCTGGCATTCACATTTAACCTGCCTAGACAAATGCCTGGCACAATGCACAGCACAGAGTGGGCTCTTGGTGAAAGCTTGTTAAGTCAATCTAGTATTCACTGTCATGGTGATTGTTTATGCAATGATACCCGGGCAAAAGAGCCCAACCTTTGTGGAAGTAAAGAGAAAGGTGGGCAGGGGTAGACTTCATTGTCTGTTTCTAAACAGGAACATGATGGTGCAGAATGTGAGGAGTCATGCTATTAAGTCCCTTCTTGTGCTTCTAGCCAGATGGTTAATGAGATATTTATGGTCATCATGGATTTTATTACTCTTTGAAAGTTCAAAGAAGAAAAACAAGAGAGTCTGCAAAATAAAATCAATAGAATAAAAATAGAGGTAATACTCTGGATCTGAGAGTGGTGCTTTGTAAAGGTCAGTGGTTGAGAAGAGATTAGTGGAATATCAAAGCTTAAGAGGAGAACCATGGGCACAGGAGCTCCTACAGGAGACAGACAAGCTCTCGAATCTTATCAGTCATGTGCACTACCATCGAGATTTTGTTCTATCATACGATGCTAGTCTTGATGAGGATGAGAATTAGACAGCATCGTACAGTGTAGGCAAAGAAACAAGAGAGAGGGATAGTGAGTGCTTTTGCCTTTGTTTTCCTGTGGTGTGCTGGGAGGTTGGGAAGGGTTTCCCATAATAAATAAATATCTCACTAGTGGGTTGGTTTGCTTGGGTTTAAGAGCTCTGGAATTATAGGGATTATTGGAGAGACTGTTCA